GCAGAAAGAAACACAGAAAGTTAGCGTCTTGAAGATTGAAGAATTCAATCCTAGTCTTACAATAACATGATGTACCAAATAGAAGTGGAGGCTTCGGCCGAAACCCTAATTCTAGAAAATAGACAAATCGTTCTTCACATCGGCGATGGTGAAGTATCCGAAAGTCGAGAAAGAAAGACAGATTTCCCCGCCACACTCACCCCAAATGGATTCAAATGCTACGCCAAATTGTCAATTCAAGATTCGATTCGATCAAGAGTCCGGACCCGTGTACATTAATCCGACCCGTTGTCACTTGTGTATTTTTTTTATTTTTTGGTGATTAAGGTTAAACGAGTAGTGGAGAAATACTAAAATATGTCAATTTTAAATATATATATATATATATATATAAAACAAAAACAAAAGGCAGAAAATAGTGAAATATTCAAAATATCAGAAAATGCCCTTGGTTAATGCAAATATTAAGAATTGAAATTATTAATTAGATGAGAATAATATATTAAATTCACACTTTTTTATATTTAAAAAAATTAAAATTAAAAGAAAAATCAGATAATGGATCCTATTTTTATGAAACACAACTACCCATTATCTTTTTAATTCTAAAATAAATTTTAAATTTTAAAAAAAAAGCCTCTCGCAAGCGCGAATATTTGTATAAACCACAACGTTTTTACTCTATTTTGTAATTACTTTAACAAATTATTTTATATTCTATTTTGGCATAATTAATCATATTATTATAGCTTATTGAAATCATTGTATCCTCAATGAACAAATTACTTATTTATTTAATTTTCGTTCAAATATTGGTAACGTATTATGGCAAAGTTCAAGCTGGCAGACACAGATTTATTACTCTCAAGATAAAAATATTTCAAAATTTATTTATTATACATACACACACATCACATTAAGCGGAATTGGCCATAACATGAACTCATATATATCTATCATGTTATAATCATAAGGAAAATGCAAAAGAGTATCAAATTACTTTCTAACATAAATACATACTGCTATGACCACAATTTGCACTACACAAATCGTATAAGCATATTCCTTCATTTGACTCACATTTCAATTTCTTGAATATGTTTTACTTAAAACCATTAATTCTTTTGATTTTTTATTTTTCCCTCTTTTTCTCCCCGGTCCTTGGAACATATGGACCTCGTATTTTGGGACATAATTGTTTTAATCAGACAGAATTTCTATCCAAATGGTATTATCAAGGCCGGTCTTGAGATTTTGAAGGCCCTGTGCGAACCTTAAATTGGGGCCTCACATAAGCTAACACAAACTTACACCATTACGTAATGTTATACAATGAATGTTTTTTTTTTCTTAAAGTGACCAAAGTACCCCTATTCCCAAGGACAAAATTGAAATTTCACAAAAGAATTAAATTGGATTAAATCGATTAAATTGGGTCAGAGATGTTACACCTTTTGAATAATCACCATGATTGTGACGATGAGTCTTTGTCATCATAGATCATATTCAGATATTAAATATTTTTTAACACCTAATTTATTTTGTATCAATATTCCAGGACCATCATTAATTTGATGCAATTATTTTGGTTGACTTAGTTGGATGCATTATTTTTGCGCAAATGAATATATGAGCATAATTACTGACTAATTCCTTGTGATTGGGTATTTATTATTTCAGTTTGTGGTTGTGAAAGTAGATGGGATATTGAATGTTGGTGTTGACATCGGACAAGCCTTTAACACAAGCAAGTTTTGAAGTTGAGCCCTGAATAGAAGTTGAGGCCCTACAAACCAACACAACTAGAAACGTCTTTGTGTCAACAATTTGCTTGAGTCTTTGTCATCATAGATCATATTCAGATATTAAATATTTTTTAACACCTAATTTATTTTGTATCAATATTCTAGGACCATCATTAATTTGATGCAATTATTTTGGTTGACTTAGTTGGATGCATTATTTTTGCGCAAATGAATATATGAGCATAATTACTGACTAATTCCTTGTGATCGGGTATTTATTATTTCAGTTTGTGGTTGTGAAAGTAAATGGGATATTGAATGTTGGTGTTGACATCGGACAAGCCTTTAACACAAGCAAGTTTTGAAGTCGAGCCCTGAATAGAAGTTGAGGCCCTACAAACCAACACAACTAGAAACGTCTTTGTGTCAACAATTTGCTTGAGTCTTTGTCATCATAGATCATATTCAGATATTAAATATTTTTTAACACCTAATTTATTTTGTATCAATATTCTAGGACCATCATTAATTTGATGCAATTATTTTGGTTGACTTAGTTGGATGCATTATTTTTGCGAAAATGAATATCTAAGCATAATTACTGACTAATTCCTTGTGATCGGGTATTTATTATTTCAGTTTGTGGTTGTGAAAGTAAATGGGATATTGAATGTTGGTGTTGACATTGGACAAGCCTTTAACACAAACAAGTTTTGAAGTCGAGCCCTGAATAGAAGTTGAGGCCCTACAAACCAACACAACTAGAAACGTCTTTGTGTCAACAATTTGCTCACTCTGAGTGCTGCTATTTCCACCCACCTGTTCTATTTTCTCACCCACTATGTAAATTTGAAAAAATAAAATCCTACTTTTCCACCCACCATTATTCCTAAAATACCCTTTAATTATTAATTCAACCAAACACCATAAACATCCAAATTAAAAACATAAAAAAAAATAAAAAAAAAAAAAAAAAAAAAAAAAAAATAAATTCATCTTCTTCATGTGTTTTCAACATCACGACCTTACCCTACCATATTAATATTCTCATCAACCCCTTAGCAGTACTGGTGGCTTCACGACCGCGACACCACCACCACAACAACACACGACCAACAAGACTACAATGGATTTTAATTGAAGTGATGTTATATGGAATAAGGACCCGCATGTGGGTTAATCAGACTAAAAAATCTTTAAAATAGAATAAAATTAAAGGACAATTTGGCCTCTATTATCAACACCCACCAACCCAGCCACAATATTAAAGGTGAGAGTTTGATTTGATTTTTTTTTTTTTTTTTTTTTTTTTTTTTTTTTCAAAGGATTGGGATGGGTAGATCAGTGCTTGTTGAATTTGTTGTGGTCAGGAAGATGGAAAGAATATGGAGAGTTAAGAGAAAAAATTTAATTTATTTTTAGGGTTTTAGAAGTTGTTTTACAAAGGGATAAATTTGTCTTTAAATTTTTTAAAATAAGGTGGGTTGAAAAATAGGACAGATGAGTGAAAATAGCAACACTCTGATACACATAAAAAAAAATTGGGGCCCCTCAAAAATCAGGGGCCCTGTGCGGTGGCACCACTTGTACACCCTCAGGGCCACCCCTGGGTATTATGAGGATAATTTGAATACGTTACTATCACAAGTATTACCTAACAAAGTTTCAGATTCTGGGTGCTGAAGTGAAGTCATCGGTGCTACATCGAAGTCTAAAGTAGAAATAAATACCACTGTATATGGGGCAATGTTGGAATTCTATTATGAGGAGCAGGCGCTATGCATCATGCAGAACATGTATCACCGCAACAAGCTTTCAAATTCGCAATCTTTGTCCTTTCAGTCTAGGAGCTATTATATGGATCAAAGGTTGCCTCATAAAATACTCCGATACAAAGTGTTTTGGTGTGAGTGACACAAATAACTCGTTTCATGAGATAAATTCCAAAATTGTTGATGATCCCATGTTGATTCGATATAAAGTTCATAATTTGTTAACCTATTTATGTTCTAAAGTTCAACCTGGAATGCTGTATATTAATAAGAAGCTACGTGTATCAAAAAAGATTTCACTATATGATGTGGTAGAATGTACTATGGACCTTTTTAGCGTAGAGTGTAAAAAGTATCTTGTCTTTGCAATAAATGAGCTTTTAAATTATAGTTATAGAATGAGAGGTGGGCGAGCAATTTATGGGAGTTCTTGTGTCATGTTTGAATTTTATCGCTTTTTCAACGATGTAGTTGTTCCATAAAATTGCTAGCAAAACCAGACTCAAAGACATCACAGGCACACCAATGGTCAAAAGTTTAGATTTTTTTACCTCCTATCCAAGGCAGCTTGGGAAGTTCTGAGAGAGCAAGTTCTTGAGCCTGCCTGGCCATTCATCTCAAAGCTCCAGCCTATGACATAATGAGATGTGAGGAGTGAGCCAGCAGAAGAGGAGAAGCCAACATACCAGAGTGGAATATGGGGTTTATAAACATACTCCACCCAAACTTGCATTGGTTGACCACTGACGATGGTCAAGTTTCGGAACCCGCCATTGTTTGGAGAGTAAGATTAGCAGACAAGAAACCATTGTAGGTGAAACTAGCATCTTCAGGTGCTGTTATTGCTAGGCTTACTAGGAGCAGGATGGCCGGGCAACATTACTTTGACAAGCTTGAAAAACATGGCTATTATTTCTAATTCTCTACCAATGGATTCATTTTGATAATTAATGAAATATCTGAGATCAGTGGTTCTAGAACTTTCTCTCTCAGTTGTTTCGATTCTCACATTTTCTGTCTATCCAAACACTTGTGACTTTTATCATTTCCAATACCCTATGCATCAAATCATCGAGTATGCCCACACACAAAAATAAAGCAAAACCCAATGAAGCTGAGCTGACCCTGCATTCTCACACTAATTAAATATGTTGTCTTTGTGTAGAACAAAGAGCGATCCAGACCGTCCAGTGCCTGCTACCTTACGCATCAACTTCAAAATTTCGATGCAAATTGCATATTAAATTCATGAAATTTCTAAAACAAGCAAGTTTTTCCCTTTCTTTTTCATGATATTGTTGTGCACTTCAATATTCACTCCCTTGGCACGAGTTTGTGTGTATGGAATTAGTACTTTTCGCAGAATTTTATTCTCACCCAACTTACATACAGATTGTTAACAGTATTGATTTTTATGTAACAAGTTACAAAACTAATAAGCAGTCAACATTCTAGTGTGCTAGACAATCGTAATTGCTTCGAATCAGCGACCACCTGAGAGGAGTGTGGACTCTGCAGCATATGATGAATGTGAAAACCCCTTGCCCAGAGAAGACGAATATGACATTGCAAAATCATCAAAACCTTCATGGTGAGCAAAAGTCAAGCCACTTGAAGAGAGCCCAAGAAGAGAGAGCTCTGGCAAAGCAACGTCACCTTCCAAATACTGCACAACCTGGCGCATGCTTGGCCTGGCTGTAGGCTCTAAATGAGAGCACAACAGCCCAAGCTTCAACACCAACTCCACCTCTTCGGCTACAAATTCGGAACTCAAGTTTTGATCTCTTGCCTCAAGAATGGCACCTCTGTTCCAAAAAGAAAACACCCAATCAACCAAAATCAAATCCTGGTCTGGACCTAGTGCCTCTATTGGCCTTCTTCCACAAGCTACTTCAAGCACAAATGCCCCGAAAGCAAACACATCGGTGCTCGTTGTGGCCCGGCCTGATCTTGTATGCTCTGGAGCTAGATACCCAAGTGTTCCAACTATATGAGTAGTTTGAGGGTCTGTTCCATGGTCATATAATCTGGCAAGGCCAAAATCTCCTAGCCTTGCGTTCAATTCACCGTCGAGTAAAACATTGCTGGCCTTCACATCTCTATGAATCACAACTTGTTCCCATCCTTCATGAAGATAGAACAACCCTGAAGCCACACCTCTGATCACTCTAAACCTCTGGCTCCAGTTGAGAGTGACCACAGGCTGGTCATACAGGTACTTGTCCAAGCTTCCATTAGACATGTAGTCATAGACCAAGAGCAGCTCCCCTTTTCTTCTGCAATAGCCCAAGAGTGGGACTAAATTTCGATGGCGAAGCCTGCCAATACTCACAACTTCTGCAATAAATTCCTTCATCCCCTGGCGCGATTCGTGCGATACTCTCTTCACAGCAATCTCAATTTTTGAGGACGGTAATATGCCTCTATAGACTTTACCAAAACCCCCAGCGCCCAAAAGCTCCTTCTCCTTGAACCCTTTTGTGGCAATGTATAACTCTTTGTATTTAAACCTTTGAGGCCCATACTCAAGCTCCCAATCTTCGAGTAATTCTGCAAACTTCCTCTTCCTTCTTATGAAATAAATTAAACCTGAAACTACTAGCAAAACCAAACTCACAGATAAAATAGGCACACCAATTGTCAAAAGTTTAGACCTTTTTTTACCTCCCATCCGAGGCAATTTGGGAAGTTTTGACATAACAATTTCTTGAGCCTGGCCATTCATCTTAAAGCTCCAACCCAAAACATAATGAGATGTGAAGATTGAGCCAGTGGACGAGGAGAAGCCCACATACATGGTTTCGTTAAGGATCGGGGAAAGGTCACTATTCAAGGACAAAAGTGGAGCTTGGGGTTTCTCAACTTTGATTGGAGCCAAAGTGACACTGATTTGCTTCTTGGTACCATCATAGTCCACCCAAACTTGCATTGGTTGGCCACTGCTAAGTTTCAAGTTCTGAAACCCGCCATTGTTTTTAGCATAGTATCCAGCTGTAGTAGAGTTTGCAGAGTGCAAACCATTAATATCGATCCCAACATGGTTGTCATTGATATCATTGAACTCCTTGCTCTCAATGGTATCAAGCTCCACAGCAAAAACATGGTTGGTGTCATTTCCATTGTTGGTCTCATTGAAAAGGCCAAGGTACTGGCTCGGAAGAGACCCGGGAAGCCCTCTCGTTGGAGCAACGACGAAAACGATCCCATGGCCACTGAGGTCTGCATATTCTGATCTAATGGCAAAGACAAAAGTGGAAGAGAAGGAGAAAACTGTGCCATTAGGTGAGCTCTTGAAGTTTACTGGGTTGGGATAAAAGGCATGACCCTGGTTCTGTCTTGTGTCGTTTGTAAGCCTCAAAAGACCATTTGGTGTCACTCCTGCGATGCCGTCTAGGCTAAGATTAACAGACTGAAAACCATTGTAGGTGAAACTGAGATCTTCAGCTGCTGCTAGGCTTACTAGCAAGACTGCTACAAGGTTGAAAAACATGGCTATTGCCTCTCTGATTTTTTATGAACTTTCACATAAATTTCAAAACATTTAGCCATTTCAAGTATTTACAAAGTCATCGACTATAGATCACCACCAGGAATTAAAATATCAAACTCAATATATTCCAAGCCGACATTCGAGAAGAAATATAGATAAAATCATTACAACTTGGACCGGCATTATCACACAGATTAAAACAAGTCGTTTTCATGTAGAAAAAAATAGGGTAATTGACAGAGTCTATGGCCTACCTCAGAACGCGACTGGTTCATCTTCTATGGCAGTTGGTTTGTCCATAGAAAACACATGGTTGTTATGGACTTATGGTCAACCCAAGATAGGCCTACCGTGGCTCACATTGGCTTCACGTTTGACATTCTTTTTTTTATCTTTTTCTTTTTTGGTTTTTCAATGATTATCTGGAGCATGTTTGAAGTTTTTCATGCATTATTGGGAACGCTACTGTTTTGTTTTTTGATTTCTTTGTTTTTGTCCAACTAGGTAGAGTTGAATTAGACAAGAATCTTTGAACAAATATAAATCAGAGATACATCATACATGTGACCTACACCAGAAACATGGCCTGGCCCTTGAGTTTTGTAGGGCAAAATTGCATTTAATTTCCAAATCCAAAATGTCTACTCTAATTTCATTTTCGATTTTGACAGATGGCGTTGCTTGCGCCACTTCATCACTATCTCCTTTTGAAGGAAGGATGGCTTATTGAAATTTATTCCTAGATTCTTATTTATCAGCCACCTTGTTAGAAAACTGTTTTGTCAGTTGAAGTTGAAGTCTAAGTGTCACATCCCAAGGTTTTTTATATTAATAAGAGCATCCATAATGGGTTCCCTAAACCACCTCCTTAGACAAATTTTAGAGAGGAATCATAAAAATGCAACTTCAACCATACTCCCTATCCACCTCCTAAAATAGGGAGTCCTCTAAGAGTTCCTAAATCTGAGGAGAGAGAAAAGACTCCTAGTGGCTCCCTATAATTTAATGCTGTTTTATTTAATGAGTATTTCAAACTTTTATTTAATGCTAACTATTTTTTATTTTATTTTATAATAGAGATGGATCAATTAAAAAAGAGTTCAAGCATTTATGACTCTCCAAATTAGGGAGTATGGTTGGAATTGAAATTTTTTAGAGAACTCCTAAAATAGCTTTCTTAAAGAAAGTGAAATTCTAGCAATCTTCTCTCTAATCTTCTCTTTCAGACATTTTCTTTTTTCCTCATGACATGTGGCACTTTACTTACACTTAAAACAATTTCATTAATGCATTAGAAATACTAGCTTTTGTTTTTCCAATTTACCCTTATTAACCGTATCCTTTAATTAATCCATTCTTATTTTACTAATAGAAAAATAAGACTAGGCATTAATAATAATAGAATAAATTTTTTCTTTTGACCCACTAGCCTCATGTGCCCTCGCTTACAGCCAGCCACCACACCATTCTCTCTCTCTCTCTCTCCCCCGTTCTCTAGCCAACAGCCCTCCCCTACCCCGGACGTTGATTTCCTTGGCAGCGTAACGAGCCGTCACCACCTCACCTCGATTTTCGCCCTTCCCTACACACATCGCGTCGATCTCCAACAGCAACCCCATCGATCTGCACCACGACGATGACTACCACTCACGTCGATCTTCTCCCACCCACCACCACCGCGTCGATCCCTGCCACCCACGTCTTCCTCCCGTCCCCTGTGGTTGGGTTGTTGGTTGTTTTTTCCATTTTTTCATGTTTTCTTCTTAGTGTTTTAATTATTTAATTTCTTAAAACTGATCTTTGAAAAATGAAATTCTGTGTTTGTTAAATGATTGGATATTTTTATTAATGTAAATAATATTTGTTAATTTTTTTAACAATAATTTAATAGAAGGTTTTTAATATATATATATATATATATAATAAAACAATAAGGATGATACATTTAATAATGTTAAATTTGGAAAATAAAAGATAGCTTGTGTGATGTATTAATGACATTATTTTGAAAGAAAGTAAAGTGTCACATGAGGAAAAAAAAGAAGATGTAAAGGAGAATGTTGTTAGCATTCCTTATAAAAATAAAAAATAAAAAAATAGACCACGGAGGAAGAAAGTGGCAAATAACTAAGGATACTGCTTACTTTCTTCATTTTAAAGAGATACTCTTCTTTCTTGCGAATTATAATTTGACACATATACAAAAATAATTCATAAAAACCACAAAAAGAAAAACTTATGCACATATGTCACACTATAAGACTCCTACTTATATAATAAGGAGAAAAGTATTATTCAATAATTAATGTAAAACAACTTTGAACATCTGGATTGATTGTTTGATGGTTCTTAAGAAGGGAACCTCATTGCCAATGGATTCTACTATAGTGGTGGTGACTTCCCCCTTCCCCCTTCCCCATGGCACCCCCGTTTGAAACCCCATGTGTGCACATTGGTGCTTGAGCCCCCCTCCCCTTAGAGTAGCCTATCGTTATATAAAAAATAATAATAATAATAATAATAATTAATTAATTAATAAAAATATATTAATTAATAAATAAATAAAAGGGGGAACCTCATTCCACACTAATATTTAATAATAAAGGGAAACTTAACAGAGAGATTCATCACGTGTGAAAGGTATTCGAATATTTGAATTTTGATAGTGTATTGAAATTATAAGGAACTTTAAATTCTAATAATATAGTATTTATTCTTTCACACTCATGACAAAAAGTTCAACTCTATACGAATTTACTTTGGAAATTTGCGTTTTATCGGATATCATTTTGTTTTAAAGATCAAGAAAGAACTTAAATTCTTCTGATTAATTCAATGGACGTTTTCATGATAAAAAAATAAAATGAAAAATACTATTTCTTAGTCTTTTATTTGAGTGGTCTTTCTTTTGTATTTTTTTTCCCACTTCTATTGTTGTCAACTTATCGGACACGATGGCTATCACCTGAAGATAACCGGGTCACACAGTGCCAGGCCCGTTGGAAGAAAGGACCTTGATTGTGGCTATAGACATCATGGTTGGTTGGGTTGGTGGTCCAATATTCTGCTTCTTCAAAGTCCGAAGTTTTCTAACTTCACCATGCACTTTATTAAGATTTGCTTTATAATTATAAGGAAAATGCTAGAGGCACCAACTTTGGGCACCAACTTGGGCACCAACTCTCTAATAGAGCATGGGACCCGGTGTATTGGCGGGCTCCACCTCTATTAGAGAGTTGGTGCCCAAAGTTGGTGCCTCTAGCACCACCCTAATTATAATTGTTCTCGAGTTTTCATAATTTGAAATCATTGTATAATAACCTTGTTATTTATACAATTTCCCAATATATGCAACCAAACAATCATTGTCCACTAACTCAATCTTTGATTTTCTTTTAAAAAATCTTTCGATAACTTAAGAACACATATGGACTAAATTTATAGCGATATAATACTTACATTAAAGACACATCAATTTCAGTGCAGCACCATGGTGGACAAACAATTAATGATGCATAATAATCTAGTTTTGTCCATAATTAACAAACAAGACAGAGGCTTTGGCAATTGGCCATTTTGGAAAAGGAGGGAATATTTCCACACACACCGACCTCAACAACAACAACTCCCACTCTCCACCATCTTTCCCAGCTTGCAACTTTCTTTTAGACCTTCCCACTCCAACACTCCCACTCTCTGTATAAAAGTTGAATGTATGCCTAAGCCACTATGCTCTGAGATTAATGGTTATGTTAAAATAATTTTTATATTCATAATTTAAAATAAAAACCCAACATTCTTCTTGGGGTGTTTCTCGTACGCAAATGAACCGTGAGCGGCACCGCACTTCTTTGATGGACTCAACATTCTTCCAATTGGAATGAAAAGGATGACACTAAAGTCGTTGAACTCCTTTTTCTTAAGTTCTTTGTCTTATGACATGAATCAAAGACTAAATGCATTGTGTTGTGTAGCATCTCATATTAGTCTCTCGACATATGTTCACATCTGCATTTTGAATTTTTTTCCCCTTAAGTGAGACAAAGGACGATACAAATTTATGCAATCCCTTGTTGCTTTGTTGAATTTTCTGCTCAAACAATAATGAAAGGCATCATTTTTAAGTTTTTTTTGTTCTTCTTTTTAATATAAAGGAAAATTTAAGCTAAATGTTTGAGAAGGCGATAATCGAAGTCTTAAACCTTAAGCGCATACATTCAATATTCAAGATATAACGGTTATTAATTGAAAGACAAAGTAGTAATCTTTGGGTAATAATTTACATGTCCTTTGTTTTTCTTTTGGTCTCAGACAGTATTTCCTCATCAAGGTTTCATATACGAAATTTGATCAGAAAAAGGAAAAAAAAATAAAGACTACCTAGTTTGGCCGTGGAGAAGACTGAGAGGAGAATTAGAAAGGGAAGCAAAAGTAGCATCCATATCTTTATTAGAGGACAAGCTCATCTTATCAAACGAAGATGATGAAGCAAACGACTTCATCAGATCATCAAAGGCAGCCTCATGATCACGATCACCCTTCCTCAACCTACGTGGGCCCCTCAAGTCCCCTGGAACTTCAATCTCACCGTCCAAGTACCTCACCACCATCCTCATGCTTGGCCGTTCGATCGGCCCATGGTTGGAACACATGAGCCCTAATTTCAACACCATCACCATCTCACCCTCGTCAAACCCCCCATTGAGCCTCCTGTCCACAACATCAAGCAGCCTGCCTTCTCTGTACATCTCCCAAACCCAGTCCACCAAAACCAGCTCCTCAGCCACTGCCTTGGGCTCAATGGGCCTTCTTCCACAGGCCACCTCAAGCAAAAGCGCGCCGAATGCATATACATCAGAGCCAGTGCTGGCCTTACCAGTCCTCGGCAGCTCTGGTGCTAAATAACCCAAAGTGCCCACAACCCTAGTTGTGGTGCTTGAAACTGAGCCATGTTCATGAAGTCTTGCAAGCCCAAAATCCCCAAGCCTTCCGTTTAGCTCATTGTCAAGCAACACATTGCTTGCCTTCACGTCTCTGTGAATCACAACTTGTTCATAGCCTTCGTGTAAATAATGCAGAGCTGAAGCAACGCCCTTTATGATCTTAAACCTCTGTTCCCAGCTCAGTAGGGTTTTGGGCTCATCAAACAGGGCATTGTCCAAGCTCCCATTTTCCATGTAATCGTAGACAAGAAGAAGATCGCCTCTTCGTCGACACCAACCCAACAATTGAACCAAGTTTCTGTGCCGAAGACGACCTATGCTGGCGATTTCCGCTACGAATTCACGCAAACCCTGTTTTGAATCGTTCGAAATTCGCTTAACCGCGACTTGGGTTTTCGATTCTGGGAGTGTTCCCTTGTATACTTGACCGAACCCGCCTTGCCCAATTAGCTCCTTGTCTCTAAATCCTTTTGTGGCTTTCTTCAATTCTTGGTAGGAGTATCTATGGGGGCCCAGCTCCAGCTCCCAGGACTCTATTGGGTCGGAGTTCTTGGTTTTCTTCACGAAGAGGTAAATGGCTACAGAGATTGCAGACAGAGAAAGAGCAATGGCGGAAACTGATAGCCCAATTGTTAAAGATGGGTGTTTTTTCTTGGGTTGTGGAAGTGAAGGAAGAGAACCCAAGTCAAGAGCTCGAGCCTCTCCGTTGATCTTGAAGCTCCAGCCCGATATGTAGTGGGAGCTAGCAAGCAGACCCGTTGAAGCTGAAAACCCAACATACATAAATTCTTCAATAATTGGCGAGAGATCTACGTGAAAGGAAAGAAGTGGGATTTTGGGTTTTGAAGAAGAAAGTGAAATTGTTACATTCACAATATTTTGAGCCGAATCGTAGTCGATCCACGCTTGAATTGGTTTCCCACACTTGAGGTTGATGCTCTGTTTCGTAGCAGAGTCTTTGTAATAGGCAGCAGCAGCAGAGTCGTTTGAGCTTAAGCTGTTGATGTCGATGCCTACATGGTTATCGTTGATGTCTCCAAACTCGAAGTCTTGAACTGTGTCAAACTCAACTGCAAATATGTGGGTTGATAAGTTGCCAATCTCACTGCCATTGAGAAGACCAAGATATTGACTAGGCAGAGCTTTGAGATCTTTGGAGGGCGCTATCGTGAAGGCCAGGCCATGGCCTCCGAGTTTCGGGTACTCGGGGACTATGGTGAAGGCAAAGGACGTAGAGAAAGAGAAGGCTTTGCCATTGGTTTTGTTCTTGAACTGAATTGGTGAAGTGTAAAAGGCATGGCCCATTAGCCTACTGGTGTCGTTGGTCAATTTCAAGATGCCAATTTTTTCAATCTCTGCAACTCCGGTTAAGGTTAGGTTGGCAGCCACATCTTTGAAACCAGGATAGAAGAGCTCACTGACCTGAGATGAAGCTGGGAAACAGAGAACAAGTAGAAGAAGAGAAACAGAGAACAATCTGAGAAGATTTCCCATGTGATGATGAGGTGACAAAATTGAAAGTTGGATCAAGAGGCTATGGAAGGAAGATTTTTCAATAGGGTTTGGTGGGATTGGAGTGTACAAATGAGATTTGGTGATCTGAGAGAGAAAGGTGGTTTCTTAGAGCAGTGAAGGATTATTGGGAGACTAATTAATTGGTCACATGGGCCATTGGTCCATTGATTAGGCGTGAGAAAAGTGAGAGAGACAGAAAGCAGCCTATGGATAAATTTCTGTACAGGTAGAGAGCCACAGAAGATGGGCAAAAAGGAGACATGCTCTCTCAGTCTGGAAGAGTGTGGGATGCTCACAAGCATTGGAGAACAGAGAGGCACTCAGCCTCCTTTTTATCTGGTGAACCGATCGGATAGGACATATTTTGTGACGTTTGTCTGTTAATATCTTGTTCTTCCCTCACAAAAACAAAAATAAAAAGGTGAATTTCAGTGATTGGTTTTGGCTTTTCCACTCTTTTTCCCTTCAAATTTGGCCGACAATCAATGCTCAGGTGGTAACAAGAAGTTATCCATAATTGTAGGTATAGGGTGGATCTTAGGTGGGTTGGATAAGTTGGAGGGTTTAAACCAAATTTAACCGAAACTCGTCACTCGAATCTTAATTCGAAAAATTATTGAGTACATCTGATACACCGATGAGTTGGACTTCCAGTGGTTGCAATGATTAACATTCTTTTAGAGAATATATACCACAGTATCATTAATGCTTGCCTAAATGAGAAAATCTGAGATTAGGAGATCAAAAAATTATAATCTCTAATGATATTTGTTTAACAGCAAGTTGGAAGGAATCTTAACTTTTAAACGTTAAGGGAGCAGGCTTAATGCCATTCTAATGCCAGCCAATATGCAATTTCTTTAGTCATTACGCTTTCAAAGATGATTGAAGGTTAAGGACTACAATTTACAAAAGTTCAAACCCACTATCTCACTATATATTTAAAAATGTGGGCTAGGGATGTCACTTCACCTCGGAACACAGCTTTGCATTATTCAAAGTCACAAACAAAAATGTGCTTCTTAATTTAATCGTTGTATTGAGAAAATTTCCTTCTATGGGCACTAAACAAAAGCAAGAAACTTCGTATGAAGGCAATAAACAAATCCTATGCGGCATGATGTGGAATTAAGATAGATTTAGTTTTCCTTTCATGGGCACGTTATGATAATGAAGTTGCGTCTCACTTTTAAAATTCTTTATAGTAAAAATTACTTTAAAAGAATTACAAAAACATGGACTGAATTGTTATTGCACTCGACATTGGACATTTTAAGTGAAAACACTTTATCAAACGGACTTTTAGTTTTCACTTTATGCACATGTCATGATGATGAAGTTGCGTCTCATTTTTGAAGTTTTGCATAAATAGACCTCTCAAAACTTCTGTTTATAGTCAAAGATATGGAACGAACCGAAATGTTAAAAAAAAATTATTGCAATGTAGATGAGGGGTTGTTTTGTTTTCTAGAAATTGATTCTCTATGTAAGTAAGAGTCTAAATTAAAAGGCACAATGATTCCATGCTGGTTTTTTGGAAAGGTGCATGTCCAAGAATTCAAATTGGATTAAAAGAACATCTACTTGGTCTGTGATGAGATATAAATTATAATGCAGCCACACATACCAAGACGATTGCTGAGTCCGCAAATTCTTTTAGCTTTTGTCTTGTGGGCACAGGGCCCCTGCACATTTGGTTGTATTGAGACACACATTACGACGCTTCCAACTGCTATAGAAACAGATACAGGTAGGTTTCATTCGGACACAATTAGACTTCACCATGTGCTTTTTCTCTTACATTCTGAAGGCATCATTTGGCTGTTGCAGATGTACTTCTAATTTTGTTTTTGGTTTTATTTTTTCCTTTTTCATCTTGGCTGTAATGTGAAGCTTGGCATTATTTTACACGATTTTCGGCTTGAATTCCAATTAGCTGCTCATATTTTCTGTTTTGGCAAGCAGAATTTTTATATTTTCATAGCATTTTACAGTTTTTCATTAGCTTGCTTTAAAAAACTAACAGATACATAAGGTTCAATTGGGCTGGTATATATTTACCTGGCTAAACTCATGAGAATGGCTGCACAAGCACATTGCAATGACACAATGAAGACCACCACATTCTAATACAGATTCTCAAATTCCTACTAGAGAAGGTCTAAAATTGGTACAGGCAGCTTCCGTTGTCGCTCCTCGCGGTTGGATCATAGTTTGCTGCAGATGGATCAGTGCAACCTTCAGGGACAGGCAGGTTAACCTGTTGGGCTGCTTTCCCTGCATCCAGACAATTATTAAAAGCTATAAGAATTTTTCTTCTCAAGTTGGTTTTTCCATTTACAATCCTAAAGCCAGATGCAACCCTATCATCAAGGCCTTCAGGATCAAGAGTCTAACCATAGAAATTTCCACTCATGATGGCATCGTCGTTGGCGTCTCCTAGAGCCGCCTCTTTCAAGTACTTTTCAGACAATTGGACTCTCTTCACATTGTCCTGCTCTTGCACAAGCAAGTTTCCATACTCAAGCAGCTTCGCAAGAGTCATCTTCGGTTGATTGAAAGTCGGAGGACCCTCTTTTGAGTTCACAAGCCTCTTACCAATACTTTCTACCCCCACACTGGCGACCCATTTCCTCACTTCATCATCATAAACTCTGGCCCTTATAGCACCAAAGAAGTCTGCACACAAACACAATTGTATTAGTCAATCTCTTGTTTGTGGTTCAAGTTACAATGCCTCATGTCCCATATTCATGTTAGAGATTAAGGCACAAAAACTTACCAATGGACTGACCAGGGAAAGTGTCAACAAGCTTGACAATGTCATCTCTAGGAACATTGTCAGCCCGGAAAATCCCTGTGCACACGCCAATGCAGTCTTCACGAGTAGGCGCCCAATAGAACTTTTCCATACGTCCATCACGGATGAGAGGGGCATACAATGTGGAGAAGTCATTACCGGTGACTATGATGGGAACGCGGGGATTCTCCTGCTTGTTGTACATGCCAGGGAGTTGGACATTGGTTGGGTTGTCAGCAATGTTCATGAGGGTAGCATTCACCATTTGATTGTTGACAGTGTATTGAGTGGTTCCACCAAGTCTTCCAGCTCCTGCATCTAGATCATTGATAAAGAGGCAGCACATTTTGCCCTTGCTGATGATGTCTGCTGCCTCACGGTACCTTTGCCTGATCAGTTTTGCTGGCTCTCCAGCATTTCCACTTTCCAATTCTCCAGCACTCATCATAATAGGGCTGAGAATTCATTGTCATTCTTAGATATTTTACTATAAAATAATCTGAACTCAACTCTTTTCTAAATTCAGCAATGTTCATAAGGGTAACAGATTTTCAATTGGCTGCTAAAGTTCTCAATTTATAACCAAAAAGAAAGAAGGGCACAAAAAATGTATACTCACTTGATTCCCATTTTGGCAAAGACAAGCTCACATTGGAATGACTTTCCTTGACCTTTGCCTCCCCATACACCCAAAATAAGAGGAACCTGTTCCAAATTTTTTAAGCATCCCAATCAATTAACCAATATCTATAACCTACCCAGAAGAATTGGAGTTATGATCAAAATTTAACAAACCTTAATGTTTGGCAGGTTCAAAAAGTTCTTAGTAATGTGAACAACAACTTTGTCCATGAAAGCTGGAGCAATGTAGTAGCCATCCATAATGTTGTCCAATCTGAAACAGAACATGAAACATTAACCATCCTATGAATTTACATGGGATCAAGTTCATATGAAAATTTGACTTTGAAAACTTGAAAAGTATACTTACTGGCGAAGACCAGTGCTGATGTAATCATAGGAGCTCATGACTGCATAGTGGGTCCCGCTACCCATAGGGGCTTGGAAGAGGGTGTCCACCATGCCCTTTCCTCTGGTGATGTCCTGCTGGTCATCTGAAGTGTCAAAGGCAAGCCCTCCCCACCTGTCTTTTGAGGTCTGCTTTTCCTCATCATATTCTGCAGAAACCTTGAAATTCCCAGATGAAATCTTTGGGTGCGTGATCTTGGAGGTGGCCTTCTTCAGGCTGATGCCTAAGAAGGCAGAGCTTGGATAGGAAGATGCAGCACCTGAGCCGTTTAACTTCAACTGCACCAAGAACACTCCATTTTTCAGAGTAAATCAAACAGACCCAGTAAAGGAAAAAACCTCTATCACAACTTAAAATCATATCATTCAAACACGAAATTGCAGAAAAAGAAAGAAAGTTTGTTCTACCAAATGAACAGACACAAAATGAAAGAGAGACGATCAAAACAATGAGAAAGTTTACAAATTGATGATTTAATCGATGAAAACAGAGGAAAACAAGAGTTGGATTTGTTACAAAAAGGGCGGGAAGTTCACAGTACCGGTGCTCTGTTAACAGCCGTGATGGTTGCTGAGATTGAAGCAGCCATTGATTGCACAAGTCAAAAGCTTGCAATCAAATGAAGGGTGGAAATGTTTGAAGGAACAAGGTGAAGTCTTTAAACAGAAATAAAATAAAACTGAAAGTGTTGTCGAGCGTTCTCTTGGGAAGGAGAGAAAGGCAGGGGACAAGAATTTATAGGAGGGAGAGAGGTTTTGGAGTGAAAGTGAAATGGAAATCATGGGAATTGGCTTACGAATTTCCAACGGCCACACAAATGGGGAAGGCGGTATTACGTTGCTCACTGTATCCTGGTGAAGTGGACGTTGGTTTTGGACCTGTGGGTAGTTAGAGTATTTAGGAAACCAATGTGAATGCTCTTATGGGCTTACATGGTTTGCTTGGAAACGGAATGAAGACTGCTGGGCTTTTTATAATAAAGACAAAATGGAGTGTTCTGGGAACTCATTTGGATTTGAGGTTAGGGTTTAAGCTTATTTGTTCTCCACATATTAGTTTAGTTTCTTCAATTGTATAGGATTGTTATTCCTTCTTCTAATATACAAACGATATTGGGGGAGAAGGAATTGAACGCATGACCTTGGGTGAAAAAATAAAGGTTCTTAATTTACTTGAGTTACCAACACATATATATACACACACAAACGATGTTAAAAGATTGGGTTTTTTCACACACACAGAGTTAAAGGTGCCATAGGAATTTAAATATGAGACCATTGGTCTACAAGTCAATGTCATTGGACTAGATGTGTTGGCTGAGTTACTAGCACCTTGCTTGTACATGATTCTTATTCCTACATGGAGGATTTGCTCATTTTTGGACTTATATGTCAATACAAATTGACACGTGTGCATTTTTTTTATGAGTGTCAAATTGTGATTTGCTGAAGTGACAAAACAATATTCTTCCTCAATTGTTTTTAAAATAAAAAACAATTTAAATGTGTGATTCGAAAGGTGCAAGATGACCAAATTTTTGAAGCCCATTATTTTTCTTGCTTTCTACAATAATCACTAGCCACAAAAATGAAAAATCTTTAGCCACAGCCATCAAACTACCATTTATGGAAACAATACATAGAAGTCGAGAAACTTCTGGTGTGAAACACCAATAAATCTTTTGTCCCATTTGGCATGGATATGGAAACAATATATAGAAGTCGAGAAAATTCTGGTGTGAAGCACCAATAAATCTTTTTGTCCCATTTGGCATGGATAGGACTTGTCATGATCGGGCCCAAGACACCTCATTTTCATCATCCCTATCTTTAACTGGGGATAAAATTGTTGCAGAAATCTCCCCATCTTCATTTGTTGCTTGATGGATCTTGGTTCACACTGGATGAGGTTTTCTTCTTTGGCACAATGGAGGGCCGAAGCCCCAAAAAAGCAAATCCAAATTGAACTGGCCAGCTCAAACTTCAAACCATATAATTCTATAATTTATTTAAAACACTACAAAATAATTCTGTGAGGACTGAGAATATATATAGCTATAGCTTTTAACATAGTTTGATCATCCTATCCATGCTTCTGTTTTTGTTGTTGGAACCCTCCAAAATTAGTACGGATTGACTCCAATCAGAGCTTCCCGCTTTCAAGATCGATTGTTCTTAGATGCTCTATTTTCCTACCGAGGAGTGACACTCTCAAAGCGCTTGCAGCCTCTAATTTGGACATGTACAACGTTGTCAGCTCCATCTGTGCCATTGATGATCTCGCAGCATTGTCTACGTGGTGCCTGCACATTCCATCATCATTTCCCAAAACATATGTTAGGCACACACGCTAATAGTCAACCTTAATTAATTCCACATAACCAAACATTGCAAGATATTTAGACACCAGTAAAATTGTGCCAAACACGTTCTTATAACTTTATGACCATGAGAAAGACTCACTTTGGAAATCAACTACGCCACCTAATTTTTCAAGAAAAAAATTCAAGCTAGTGAAAGAGAGGCATTTCCTTGACCTTATTCCACAAGTCAGGGTTGAATTTGGGAGCTGAGACGTTGAAAAATTGAACTGCCAGAGCACTAGTGTAGTTACATTTAGGACAATCTTTTTCCTCTTTTCCCATATTGTATCTCTTGTAACCAGTCAAGGTCTTACCCACACCAACACTCTCAACCCGATCCAACATAAAAACAACGGGTCTCTCACACATGTTCGAACTGATGGGTTGAGTATTAAATGTGAACGGACCAGTGTCCCAACTCCTCCACGTCTGAAACGTCCCTACCCGCCGTTTCTAACTTCTTAGAAGTCACTAGAAACGGATACAACTGCACAGTGTAACCCCAAGACACCGAAACAGACCAATTACGATTCAAGTCATAACAAAAACTTTGCTGCAGGATCCGACTCGGATCCACTTCATACCCGCTGACCAACTTTTCCACCGAGTCAATCTGAGTTAGGTTTGGAAATATTGACTCAAAATAGTCAAAGTGGTGGAGTGACACTAGTGGGGCCACCGGGTGCGCCGCTAGCAAACCATACGGGCTTCCACGTATATCGAGCTGGTGGAACCCGAGTTCTTTTGTTACAGGCACTCCGATCTCACTCAAACAACCCTGAATCTTTTGATCTGAGCCGTAGAATTTATCATACCGATCGATGCACCCATCTAAGATCTTAACAAGCTCAGCAGCCAATGGATAACTAATAGCAAACCCGCCTCCGCCGTAGGCCATAGTGTACGAGTGTATCACATCTTGTTCCACGCTCTCCGAGTTCCCGCCAATATAATACATCTGATTGTGATCGTATTTCGCTAACACCGAAACTAAGTTATCAGTGAAAAACACCGTATCATCATCTCCCATAACGAACCACCTCACGTTTGGCGACCCCAACTCGAAGCTTTCCTTTACGATTCTGGCTATGCGAACCGCGGACCGGGAACCGTACCAGCAGGAGTATTTGAACCGTGACGTGTCCTCGGAGACTTTGTACGGTGGGACCGTCTCTGTCCACGTCATGTTGGGGAAGGGTTTTTTCGTCAAGCCAGACGAACCCGCGGGTGACGTTAGGCTTCCACCACAGCTCGGTGTAGTTTCGGCGTTTGTTCCATGACTTCACCGAGCCCGCGATGCCAAACAAAATGTGGGATATATTTGTCTGTTCGTGACCTTCGATTGAGACGCTGCCGATTTGGTTAAAGTTGGTGACTGTGTTAATATGGGGTAGGGGGAAATGGGAGTAATTTGAGAAAGCAAAGTAGAGGATGAGAGAGATGGAAGCGACGGAGCAAAGAGCCAGAGTGGATTGAATGGTGAGAGAGAAGACATCTATGGCTTTGATTGTGGGGAAGACTAGGAACTTCCATAAATTAAAAGGATGGTCGTGAAGGGTTTTTCTACATGACATAATTAATATGGAAAACTAAGTACTCTGAAAATAATTTTCTGGGAAATCATGAAAAGGAAGAGGAGGAGGAGGAGGAGGAGGAGAAGGATATGGGTTTTGAAATATATGAAGGTTGAAGGGAGAACATAGAGGCAGGTCCTACTTTGATGCCTAAACGTCTGGTTTCTAACTTGACGTATACTGCCGGGTAAGTGCATTTAATTTAGTCACTCTTGAGACTTGACTCTTTTCATATGTACATTTTTATGTTAATTTATCAATCTTGACTCTTTGATAATTCCCCAAAATATTGATCAAGAAAAATAAATCTCGAAGAGATTATGCCCAAGAATGGTGATAGTATACTTTGAGTTAAAATGGCGATTAGAAATATTTCCTAAATTTTATTACTATAATAGAGGGTTCATATTGAAACAAAGAAATTTCTTAGTTATGACATGTTTTACCTTCTAATTAAGGAGTTACATTCTCAAACCGATTGCATTCTCTAATCTGAACTTCTATCAACAACCCCTCCTCCTTGTGTGCCGTTGATGATGTGACAACATTGTCTACGTGGTGCCTGCCCATTTCTCCAACATGTTAGGCACTCCTCAAATCAAATATAATGTCAAAGACAAACATTATTGAACTATTGTATACAACATACAACAAAACAAATAATAATTCCAGGCATATATGCCACTAATTGCGCTGAACTATTACACAGCAAATTCAGCAGAAGATTTAGGCGCTTTCTGTTTATCGTTTTCTTCCCTCCACATTATATTTTGACTATCTGGTCAACGAATCTTGATCTTGGGTCAATGCCTATAAAGCATTTCAGTTTGGTAACTAGTCTATAAAATTATGACAAAAATATCAATGAAACTAAGGGCTATATATGTTCTTATTTTTATCTGATTTACTTGATTTTTTTTTTAATTTTAAAGATATTTTCCTAGAAAATTCATGCAACTAATTAAAAGGCAAATTTTAAATTCCTCACCTTATCCCACAGTTTTGGGCTCAACTTTGCAGCTGTGACATTGAAAACTTTAACTGCTAAGGCAGGCCTACAGTGACATTTGCCACAATTTATCTCTCCGATATTTTTATGCATCTTATACATCGTTGTGGTTACATCTTCGCCACCACTCTCAACTCAATCCAACAAATAAATAAGCAGTCTCTCACATGAATCCGAAATAATAGATCGGGTATTTAACGTGAAAGGACCCATCTTCGAACTCCACATTTGAAACATTTGTAATGCCGCTTCTAGCTTCCTAACTATTAACAACTCTTGATACAACTGCACCGTGTAACCCCAAGATACAAAAACGGACCAATTACGCCGTAAATCATAACAAAAGCTATGTTGCAAGGTCCGATCCGGATCCATTTTAGACACACCAATTAGCTTTTTGACCGAGTCAATCCGGGGTCGTTTTGGAAATATGGACTGCACATAGTCCAAGTGGTGGAGTGACACTAATGGGGCCACTGGGTGCGCTGATAACTAACCGTATGGGCTCCCACGTTTGTCAAGGGCTTCTAGAATTCAAAACTGCACCAATAACCTACTAAGAAAGAACATAGCATAATGGCCAATTTATAAATATAAAGCCCATTACTTTCACAAAACAAGAAGCGAAATACGAACCCGACTAAGGTCAGGAACAATGCCTTCACCTTGGTCTCCAACATTAAATGTCCCAAGGACTACGCTGTGTGATATCTGTCCAATGCGACCAAGAGGAACACCACTAGCCTCATTTCCTGCCAAATTACATCAAGAAGCTTATATAATTAATCAAGGAGAGTTATTTCCTTAATTAATTAAGGGATTTATTTTCCTATTCTATATAGTTGAAAAATCATTGTATAATTAAGAGATTAATGTATCTATTTCCTTGTAAAGTACTCATGTAAACTCCTATATATATTTCTTTATGGAGAAGAATAAAACTTAACCCAAAGTATTCAAACCATATTCATATTTTAGCACCTAGAAGACTCCCTATTTTAGAAGGTGCATAGGGAGCACAGTTGAAGTTGTATTTTTCTAATTCATCTCTAAAATTTGTCTAATAAAGTAGTTTAGGAAACCCACTGTAAATGCTCTTATGAGCTACATGGGTTTGCTTGGAAATAGAATGAAGACTTCTGGGCTTTTTATAATAAAAACAAAATAGAGGGTTCTAGGAACTCATTTGGATTTGAGGTTAGGGTTTAAGCTTATTTGTTCTCCACATATTAGTTTAGTTTCTTCAATTGCATAGGATTGTTATTCCTTCTCCTAATTTACAAATCATATTGGAGGAGATTGAACGCATGACCTTGGGTTAAAAAAAAAGGTTCTTAATTTACTTGAGTTGCCAATACTTTATATATATATATATATATATATACAAGCGATATTGGGGGACTGGGTTTTTTCACACGGGCACTATTAAAGGTGCCATGGAGTTTAAATATATGAGACCATTAGTCTACAAGTTAAAGCCATTGGACTAGACCTCATTGGTTGAGTTACTAGCACCTTGCTTGTACATGATTCTTATCCCTACATGGAGGATTGGCTCATTTTCGAACTTCTATGTCAGCATAAATTGACGCGTGTGTATTTTTTTTATGAGTGTCAAACTGTGATTTGGATGAAGTGACAAAATAATATTCTTCCTCAATTGTTTTTAAAATATAAAACAATTTAAAACAATTTAAATGTGTGATTCGACAGGTGCAAGAAGACCAAATTTTTGAAGCCCACCTTTACTTTTCTTGCTTTCTACACTAATCACTACCCATAAAAATGAAAAATCTTTTGTCACAGCCATCAAACTACCATTTATGGAAACAATATATAGAAGTCGAGAAACTTCTGGTGTGAAACACCAATAAATCTTTTTGTCCCATTTGGCATGGATAGGACTTGTCATGATCGAGCCCAAGGCATCTCATTTTCATCATCCCTATCTTTAATTGGGGATAAAATTGTTGCAGAAATCTCACCATCTTCATTTGTTGCTTGATGGATCTTGGTTCACATTGGATGAGGTTTTCTTCTTTGGCACAATGGAGGGCCCATAGGCCGAAGCCCCAAAAAAACAAATCCAAATTGAACTGGCCAGTTCTATAATTTATTTAAAACACTACAAAATAATTCTGTGAGGACTGAGAATATATAGCTATAGCTTTTAACATAGTTTGATCATCCTATCCATATATATTTAGCAATTGGTACATGCATGCTTCTGTTTTTGTTGTTGGAACCCTCCAAAATTAGTGCGTATTGACTCCAATCAGAGCTTGCCACTTTCAAGATCGATTGTTCTTAGATGCTCTATTTTTCTACCGAGGAGAGACACTCTCAAAGCGCTTGCAGCCTCTAATTTGGACATGTACAACGTTGTCAGCTCCATCTGTGCCATTGATGATCTCGCAGCATTGTCTACGTGGTGCCTGCACATTCCATCATCATTTCCCAAAACATATGTTAGGCACACACACTAATAGTCAATCTTAATTAATTCCGCATAACCAAACATTGCAAGATATTTAGACACCAATAAAATTGTGCCAAAACAAGTTCTTATAACTCTATGACCATGAGAAGACTCACTTTGGAAATCAACTACGCCATCTAATTTTCCAAGAAAAAAATTCAAGCTAGTGAAAGAGATAAATTTCCTTTACCTTATTCCACAAGTCCGGGTTGAATTTGGGAGCTGAGACGTTGAAAAATTGAACTGTCAAAGCACTAGTGTAGTTACATTTAGGACAATCTTTTTCCTCTTTTCCTATATTGTATCTCTTGTAACCCGTCAAAGTCTTACTCTCGTCAATGCTCTCAACACGATCCAACATAAAAACAACGGGTCTCTCATGCTTGTCTGAACTGACGGGTTGGGTATTAAATGTGAACGGACCAGTATGCCAACTCCTCCACGTCCGAAACGTCTCTAACGCTGTTTCTAACTTCTTAGCAGTCACCAGAAACGGATACAACCGCACAGTGTAACCCCATGACACCGAAACAGACCATTTACGATTCAAGTCATAACAAAAACTATGTTGCAGGATCCGACCAGGATCCACTTCATACCCGCTGACCAACTTTTCCACCGAGTCAATCCGAGTTAGGTTTGGAAATATTGAATCCAGATAGTCCAAATGGTGGAGTGACACTAGTGGGGCCGCTGGGTGCGCCGCTAGCAAACCGTACGGGCTTCCACGTATATCGAGCTGGTGGAACCCGAGTTCTTTTGTTACGGGCACTCCGATCTCACTCAAACAAGCCTGAATCCTTTGATCTGAGCCGTAGAATTTATCATACCGATCGATGCACCCATCTAAGATCTTAACAAGCTCAGCAGCCAATGGGTAACTAATAGCAAACCCGCCTCCGCCGTAGGCCATGGTGTACGAGTGTGTCACATCTTGTTCCACGCTCTCCGAGTTCCCGCCAATATAGTACATCTGATTGTGATCGTATTTCACTAACACCGAAACTAAGTTGTCAGTGAAAAACACCGTATCATCATCTCCCATAACGAACCACCTCACGTTTGGCAACCCCAACTCAAAGCTTTCCTTTACAATTCTGGCTATGCGAACCGCGGACCGGGAACCGTACCAGCAGGAGTATTTGAACCGTGACGTGTCCTCGGAGACTTTGTACGGCGGGACCGTCTCTGGCCACGTCATGTTGGGGAAGGGTTTTTCGTCAAGCCAGACGAACCCGCGGGTGACGCTAGGCTTCCACCACAGCTGGCTGTAGTGTCGGCGTTTGTTCCATGACTTCACCGAGCCTCCGATGCCAAACAAAATGTGGGATATATTTGTCTGTTCGTGACCTTCGATTGAGAAGCTGCCGTTTTGGTTAAAGTTGGTGACTGTGTTAATATGGGGTAGGGGGAAATGGGAGTAATTTGAGAAAGCAAAGCAGAGGATGAGAGAGATGGAAGCGACGGAGCAAAGAGCCAGAGTGGATTTAATGGTGAGAGAAAAGACATCTACGGCTTTGATTGTGGGGGACACTAGGAACTTCCATAAATTAAAAGGATGGTGGTGAAGGGTTTTTCTTGAACATGACATAATTAATATGGAAAACTAATTTGATGCCTAAACGTCTTGAAATATGGGTTTCTGGGAAATCATGAAAAGGAAGACGAGGAGGAGAAGGATATGGGTTTTCAAATATATGAAGGTTGAAGGGAGAACATCAAGGCAGGTCCTACTTTGATACCTAAACGTCTGGTTTCTAACTTGACGTATACGTGCCTTTAATTTAGTCACTCTTGAGACTTCACTCTCTCTCAAACCGATTGCATTTTCTAATCTGAACTTGTACCACACTATCAACAACCCCTCCTTGTGTGCCGTCGATGATCTGACAACATTGTCTACGTGGTGCCTGCCCATTTCTCCAACATGTTAGGCACTCCTCAAATATAATGTCAAAGACAACATTATTGAACTATTGTATACAACAAAACAAATAATAATTCCACGCATATATGCCACTAATTGCGCTGAACTATTACACAGCAAATTCAGCAGAAGATTGAGGTGCTTTCTGTTTTTCGTTTTCTTCCCTTCACATTATATTTACTTTTTTTTTAAAAAAACAATTATACTTTTTTCAAAACTAAAAGTTTTTTTGTGACTAAAATCTAAATTTACTTTTTGGGAAAGGGAAATATCGACTGCACATAGTTCAAGTGGTGAAGTGACACTAGTGGGGCCACTGGGTGAGCTGATAACTAACTGTACGAGCTCCCACGTATGTCAATCTGGTGGAAATAAAAGAAACCAAGCTCTTTTGTCAAGGGCACTCCAATCTCACCCAAACAAACAAGCCTGGATTCTTTAATCTGAGCCGTATAATTGATCCGACCGATCGATGCACCCAATCTAAAATCTTGACAAGCTCAGCCGCCAATGGGTAGCTTACAGCAAACCCACCTCCACCGTAGGCCATACTGTACAAGTGTATCACAACTTGATCCACACTCTCCGAGGTCCCGCCAATATAGTACATTTGATTGTGATCGTATTTCGCTAACACCGTAACTAAGTTGTGAGTGCAAAACACCGTATCATCATCTCCAATAACGAACCACCTCACAAGCTCTCTTTTACGATTCTCGCTATACGAACCGCGGACCGCGAATCGTACACGCAGGAGTGTTTGAACCGTGACGTGTCTTCGGAGACTTTGTAGGGTGGGACCGTGTCTGGCCACGTCATGTTGTGGTAGAGTTTTTGGTCCAGCCAAACGAACCCGCGGGTGATGTTGGGCTTCCACCATAGCTTGATGTATTGTTGGCGGTCCTTCCATGATTTTACAGAGCCGCCGATGCCAAACAGAATGTGGGTTATATTTGTCTTTTCATCATCGTCATCGTCATCATCGGAGATTGTCTTTTTCCGGTGGGTGGAGTAATTGGCCTCTATTTTGTGGTGTACAGAGAAAAAAATGTAAAAGACGAGGGAGATGGAGACGATGGAGAAAACAACTAGAAGCTTCCAGAATTTGAAGGGGTTGTTGTGAATTGCCTCTGCCTTTGTTTTTTAGAACACATTTCTCTCCTAATTAATTTCTATGGAAAACCAAATGGTATGAAAATGGAAATGAAGGAAGGAAGAGGAGGGAGACTATATCTATACTGAGCGGGAGACTCTGTCTGTTCTGTTCCCCAACACTTGAATGGAGCTATGCGTTTCGTGCTTTCATCTCTCTATTGAACGATTATGTGACAAATATTAATTGCAAAAAAAGGATATTTAATTTGCAGTCAACCCACAAAGATTAGTACCGAAATTATTTAATGATAAAATAAAAATAACAAACTTCATTAGGCAAGTAATCTAATCAAAAAAGAAGAAAAGGGGGATATATTTCGACCAAGAACAGAATGAATTCTTTGTGAGTCATTTTGAAGGACGTAGTCTAAATTTGGGCCATGTTTTTTAAGATAAGCCCAAACCTACGATTCATGGGTTCGTCTACAGCAACTGCAATGGATTTGGGAATACATCTATTTGAAATTAATACAATTTCATCAATTCCTATCCGGTCTAATATATATTGGATTATGATTTTTTTAATCTAATACGATTACATTAGAGGTTTGAATCCAATCCAATCTAATGCAATTGATATTAGATTGGATGATAGGTTTTCATCATAATGAAAAAACATAATAATGAAATATGAAAAATTTATCGCCAGGTGTTATACAATCAAATATTTTAATAGACATAAATGTAAAATATAAATGAAATGCTAGAGAAAATTATTTTGATTTTATAATATATTAAATATAATTTCATCAAATTACTTAAAATATTTTTAAATTTCTTAATAAAAATTACCTAATGAGCAAAATAAGTATGAACCTAACTAGATTAATTGGATTGGATTTGATTGGATCCTCACAAGCAAAAATTGTCATCTGATCCAATCACGTTGGTTTTGAAATTTAGAGATCCAATCCAATCCGTTAAATCATCAAAACTGATTAAAATTGGATTGGATCATCCACACCCCTAGAAGATATGCTAAACTTGGGCATTGTTTGTTTCCACATAGGCTTGTAATGTATTACTTGGGAAAGGCTGGGCATACTCACCAACTCGTGGGTGACTGTTAACCGTAAATTAGCCTCAATTTTAGAACCCACACCAAGCTATAATATAATTTCGTGAACAATTGTCCAGAGCAAAACTCATATGGCTAATATTCATCGCATAGAGTCACAGAATATGCAGTCCATCTTCATTGGCAAATGTGTGTGCAGTGCATCCATATGTGAATATTGAAGTTCATGAACCAAAACAAAAAAGTACATTCTGCACGTAGAGGAATATTAGAATGCAAGAATATATCACGTTTTTGTAAAAGATACATATGATGAACGGGAGTGCTGTAACATAATCAGAAAGCTATATGATATATATGTACTGTTTTTCGTTGTTGCCAAAATTAAAGAGGAAGAGGAAAACTCACATACAAGGATACCGAGAGGCTTTTCATGTACTTCAATTCAATGCATGAGACAGTGCGCAATTTAATTAAGGGCTTATAGTGAGTTTTCAATACATACCTTGTTTACATTTTGAAAGAGCATGTAGGTCTGGTAGGTACGATTTCTCTGAATCTCTCACTTCATTATTTGCAATGTTCATTCCACCTGTATATTAATCAATCCTCTTGTGCTCTTCATTTCTCCAATCTTCTGTCGTACCAATCACCGATCAAATTAAGGAACAACCTGTCTATACTGATCAGAAAGAATGTAAAACCCTAATTCTAACTTCAAGAAACTTCTTCTCAACCTGTTTTGTTAAATTTCTGCTTTTCAAAAAAAAAGAAGAAGAACTATTTGTTAAATAATTCCTGCCAGATACTATGTCAGAAAGTGGGAGAGAGAAGCTGTAAATCAAACCGATGATCAATTTCATAATAAATATATAATACATAATACATATCATCCCCTTAGCACACAAAAATTGCGCTAAATATCATCCCTTTCAAAAGTGATCATCAAAATCAAAAGAACTCTCTTGTGCTCAAAGTGCTTGGTGTCTCAGTCGGCTCGGGTCCTAACCGGAGCTCCAAGTCCAATTCCTCACCCCTCTTCATCGTCTCTTCATCCCTGCACCCTCCACTTGTACACTCTCCTGTATTTTTATTAATGTCGACAGTACAGGCTAATCCGGATGGCTCCTCTACAAACAACGGAAGCTGAAGCTGAACTTGAACTTCTTCAATGCCAACTTTACCCTTATTCCCGGCGTCGATGATCACAACATCATCATCTTCATCTCTGGTAAAAGGGTATGATAATATTGGGTTTCTGGGGATGTTGGTTTCGTTTAATTCCATTTGTATTGAATTGTTGTCCTCCGAATTAGCACGACTGTGACGAGCACTAGGGTTTTTGGTAATTCCATCAGTGGAAGAAATATTTGCAAGGTGGTTTTGATCTTCGGAGAATTGTCTGATCCGGGCTCTATCTCTTCGATGAATGTTCATGTGACCCCCGAGAGCCTGCGCGTTAGAGAAGCTCCGCGTGCAGAAGGTGCAGGTGTAAGACTTTGCCCGCCCTGAGCCACTGATTTGGTCATCCGATGAGCTCCATTTAATCTGATCAAATTTTTCGATATTATTGCCCGAGTGATTTCTCTCCATAAAGAACACACACCTACACAAACAGACTCAGAGAGAGAGAGAGAGAGAGAGATAGAGAGAGAGAGAAGATAAGAGAAGAGATTAAGGTGGTCAACTGGTCGGTTAAGTTGTTTGAGAAATTTTCATATAGAAACAATATTCGTAGGGACTACTACTTCCAGACAAAAGTTAGCATGCATGAAAAAATAATAATATTTTTGGCCAGAGGAATTTTGGTTTTTTTTTTATCAGCAAAGGCGGGGATTATATATTATTAACAAAATAAAACGGGAGGAAGTATATTTAATTCGATTTTTTTTTTATTGAAATGTGACATAAAGGTTTTTGGAAGTTTTTGAAATTTGTTTTTAAGTTGGGATCAGCTGACTTTTAGTGCCAGTTTGGCTTTGCTTATTTAGGGTGATAAGTGATTTTTTAAAAATTTTGAGAAGCCCAACCCGTTTGGTAAACTGCGAAAAAATCACTTATTGCTAAAAATTGCTGTGAGATAAAGCTATAAGGGAAAGCAGCTAATGAGGTGCTTTCATTTTCTGATTATGCAAGAATCAGTTTCAAAGAGATGTTGGGTTTAATGATTATGCAGCAATCATTTTCTGATTATGCGTAAAATCAATACCAACAACACTTTTAACAAAGATTTTACCAAACGCCAAACTGCTTTATCTCACAGCTGATTTCTCTCATAGCAAATCTGACAGCGATTATTTTCACAGCACAGCAATGCCAAACTAGCCCTTAGACTTTACAAAAAGTTAATCTATTTAATTCTTGCAACTGAAGTGCATCTTGAACATTAAACTCTTCCAGCAGTTGGAATTTTTTTTACGAGTTAAACTCTTCACAGGAGCCTGTAAAATTAAATGTGGTAATTTCTGCTTAATTACTGCTACATGTAGTAGTAAAAGAAACGACAGATTTCGACTTCCCTACTGAGGTATATGCTATATACAGCGATGTACTAGATTCGGTGCATCTAATAACTTGTTAACTCAAGTTCTATCTTCCATAGTTAATTACCTCAATTAATTGATTAAAAATTTTAATGGGACCGTTTTGCTAGTTACTAGTTGAACTTAATTATATGAAATTGGGGGACTCGAGTTAAGTTTAAACAGGTAGCTCGGAATTAAACTCGGGTTAATTCGTTTAATAAGATATTTTCGCTTAAATACTTTAATGTTTAACATTCCAATTTAGCTGTCAACAAGGTTTAGTCCAATGAAAAAAAGTAATGCTACGCTTACCATATTTTTATTCCACATTTTTATATCACATGATGTGACATATTCATATCATATGTCACATCAATTAAATCAATGAAGTGTATTTTAATAAAAAAAGTTTAATTAATAGTTTTTTTTTAAGTGTTAATAAATTATAAAAGAAAAGAAAATATTAAATAATTTTAATTGATGTGGCTATCCACTTCATCTGTTAAATAAGGTGGTATGGGAATATGATATACAAATATGGTAAGAGTAACATTATTCTAAACTTAATGCGTCATTTTTTATTTTTTTTCCGCTTGTGTTTTTAGTTTTTCCTATTAATGTTTGAGTGGAGAATGGGAGTGCTTGAAGTATAATATACAAAATTCTTCTTTGTTTTTTATTTTAAAAAGTTTATTCTGATGCTTGACAGTTGTATGCAGTGGCAGTTTTGTAAATATAATCCAAGTTGAATTGAATCGGCTGCACCCTGAAATATATAGTAAAATAAATTGATGATCCTTATCGTAAGTAAACTTTGTGGTTGCACCTGAAATTATTTAATTCTTTTTTTAGTATAAATTATAGTCTAAATTACATTGAAAATGAGTTATCACACATACACGTACACAACACAACGGTGTTATTGCGGTTCAAATATGAGACCACGATCTTATTATTTACAATCATTATCATTACTTTATTTATTGATTAAATTTTATTTAAGTAATGTTATATAAAACCTATATCCTGGGGTAAATTACTTTATAAGTAATTGAAACAAAAATTTGGTATTTCAAATTTATTGTGTATTTAGTAATTAGGCCACTGTGTAGTGTAGACCTTTAGGCCCTACCAATACGGTCCTATCGTTCGGATTTTATTCTTATACGAGTTCACATACGTATTCCAGTAATACCAATTACTCATCTCTCCGCATGCCCATATTTGGCATGGTCAACGGTTGACGAGTATAAATTAAAGTTGACCTTTCAGATTCCAAGGTTTGTTTATTATTTACCAAAGACCATAAGGGGTATTGTCCTAAAAGGAAAAAAAGGACCATATAAAGGACAATACTTAGCTGCTCTCTTTGGGTGCATGATTAATTAAAGGGAGTTTCATTAAAACACCCAAAATGGGGATTGAAATTATAAAAAAACCCAAGCATTATTTAAACATATAAACACACCCAAAACCCATCATTACACACACTAAAAACCCATTTATAAACACACCCAAAAAGTTGACTTTGAGGTTGATTTTGGGTGTGTTTCTATGTTTAAATAGTGCTTGGGTTTTTTTTATAAATACATGTCTAGGATTGGGTTTATTTATAAATTTGTATAAATAATATTCACCGTACACATACATAATTGAAATTTTTATTTTTTAAATTATAATTTAAAGATCATCCCTGTAAAAAAAAAAAATCAATCAATCAATCAAGTGAAGATCGTTTAGTAATTCATACATGTCGAATAAATTTCGATGGTTTTGTTAACAATTAACATTCTCATGATGAGCTAGACGATCTCTGATTTGATTGGTTTATTTTTTCTTTTCAGAAATTATGTTTAAACGGTTATTAAAAAAATGAACAATTTCGATTATGACATGTATACGATGAAAATTCAAAGAAAAAATCTAAATACATACGGGATCATCGTATGTAACCATATATATTATAGAAACTTTGAGTATAAATTGAAAATTTTATCTCTTTTTGATATATAAGTTTCTGTAAAAGCCTTTGATGACGGATGTGATGGATTGACAATGACAAGTAGTGAATTGCAATGGTTAAATTATGCATTGACATCACCATCGGTTGAGACTTGAGAGCTTACGTACATGTACCTAACAGCTCCAAAATGTTGCTCGCATGCATGATGATGATGATGCCATGTGACGATAGTTAGATAATGACACTTCTTAATTTGTGTTGCTGAGTTGCTTGGGATAATGGATAAATATTGGACAAGTGCCTGTTATTCTCTCTCAACCAACACAATAAAATAAAACAAACACGAAAATTTAAAAAAATTTAAAAGAAAAAGAAAGAGAGAGAAATTGGCTGTGACTGGCAATAATATTGCAGTACATTAGTCATTCACCACCGTCCAAAACCATGATTGGATAGAGATATCGATGTGAGGTTTTGATCATGTATCATAGATGTTGAGAAATGTGGCTAGAGGGGAGGTTCATGCAAGTGATCCGGTAACCGACAATTTCATCATCAATTAATATACTATTTATATTAACATGTGTATTATATAGTTTCTTCTGGTCTAACATGTTATGTTTAAATATAATTTAGAATCAAGATTGACAATCGATTGAATTCATAGTTTAACAATGTCATTTTGATGATCTGTTTCATTACGAATTTAAAGTGAGATAATCATCAGTATACTATATTGGAGATATGGTTGTAACGACTTTCGTTTATAATAAAGTATGATTGATCTGATCGACTTCTGTAGATGTACCCTCATTTCTTCCATAATAATCGAGTTGGTATTCTAAAGCACTTGTTTTCAAAGCCATGGGGGATGTATTTGACTTGAATTTGTAATGTGGAGTGCAGGAAGTTAAAAGGTAAAGTACTTGTACCCTTTCTCAACGTGAAGCAATCAAATGGGCTTCTCAGCATTTCAAGTGTTACAAACATTAGGTGGATTTGGGCCCTTAGAGATGGTCAGTGTTAATCTCACATTAGGCTGGGCCTGTTTCCTGAAGCTTCCTTGTAAATACACTGTTCAGCCCCAAATGGATGAGATTGTATAAACAATACTGGATTAAATGTTAATTCATTTGTGATAATACCAAAGACATTTCACGGATCCAGTGCACGACACGACAAACATATATCTTGTTGTAACAGAAATTAATTCCTTGTAACATGGTTTTATTTGTATTATTATGGTTTTGTTTTTTTTAAGTTTGATCTCTTTTTTGTTGTTCTGAGTTTGCAATCTTAATTGGGATGTCTATGTCAGAGTTTCGCTCCGTTATTGTAATGACCATTTGTGGCTAGTTTGTATTGATCTTTCTATCTAATATTTTTTTAGCTGAATTTATGAATGCAACCGTATAATTTTTGAAAAAAAATAACAAATATTCCTTTTGATAAACGAAACATCCCAACATAGGGCATCCGTGAGTTAGTCCAAGATAGTGAATTTGCCCATTTATGCTCAAGCTCGAGTCTCATTTCGTATAAATTAGATATTCCAAATCCGAATCCCTTTTTCTGTGGATATCCCAACATACGATTGGTTGGTTTAGGTTGATCTTTACCTTCGTATGTACGATATGTGATAAATATCCAAAGGGGCCTCAGATACAGATAAATTAGCCAGCTTTAGTATTTGGTGAGCTTGTGAAGTAAGTGAGCTCGTGAGAGCTGGAAGTTGGAACTCCCTCCCATACAAATATACCCTTAGTTGTCAAACAATACATAAACAATTACTCCCAACACCACAACCTAATAACCCCAGAAAATTAATTCTTCAAAATTCTCATTCTTTAAACAATATATAGCTTGGGATTTGTCAAAACGCCCAAAAAGAGATAGCCCCACGCAAGCTGAGATCAGAATAATATCTCATTCTCTCACTCAATTCTATAATATACCACCCCTTATATATAGCAGAGAAAAACGACATCTGAAACCCCATGTGCTCCACTGCCACTTTCCTCCCGAGACCTCCCTCTGTCAAAAAAAACTTCAGACCTATCCAACTCACACCTTAATGAAAAACGACAATCCCCAACCAGTAACCATTAATGCCGTTTTACATAGATGTAGCTCTTCGTAGAAGCCGAAGCAAACAATCTCACTTTCCCTAAACATATATATATTCAAGTTTTATTCCATCTTTCCTTTTCACATGCATCGTAGAAAACAAACTCCCACATCGAAAGAGCCTCAAATCATTAAGTCAATTTTCATTTCGTAGCCTTTTATGGAATGTAATTGTTTGGTATGACTTAAATTCCTTTTCGAATAATTGCCCTTTTCTCAGTTTTGCCTGTGAGCTCATTAAAGTCAAGGGGGGGTTACAGTTGAGTTTTAAATATAATGGACCCAGCAGAATGATCGCCTTGTGTACTGCAAGAAATTAAGCACTGTGCTTACCTAGCTAGCTATGGCTAGGGTTAGGGTTTATATATATAAAGGAATTATATGGACATGCCATATATAATTTATTTGATGTTGTTTATTTATAAAATCCATATAATTAGGGTTTCGTCACTGATCGATGGCTATTATCGCTAAATCATACATACAAGTTATAACACAAGAAGATCCAAAAGATGGTTAGATATATATAGAGCAGCCTAGAGATGGTGGAAGTGATAATATTCTCTTTTGTGATTAAAAAAGTTGGTATTAATTGTATAATGTGATGGTGATGAATAGTTAATTAGATTGATTCCATAGAGTTGGTGGCCATTTTGGACAGATTTGAGAGGAGGAGGAGAGAGAGGGAAAAGTGAGAGAGATAACACAAGCAAATGGATTTTAGCGGAGGAGGTTACGGAAACTGAAAGAAGAGATCTGATGGGTGATGATAATAATACAAGAGAAAAGAGAATCGATGTTGGGAAGTATCTGACTTTATGTGACTTTGAAAACCTAATCTCTCTGGAGTCTGAGTTTTTTTTTGGTGTGTGTGTGGGTAAGTTTAGTTGTCTATGACTCTATCTGATGGAATGTCAGTGAGGTACTGAATGGGAAAAAGAGTCACGATATTCCATGCAGTTTTTAGTCAGTTTCTTCACCCTTCAAACCCCACAAACATACAACACATCTACTCCTAATCTCATCATCGCCTACCTAAACTCTCTTTCAATCTCTCTCTCTCTCTCTCTCTCTCTCTCTCTCTCGGGACAAGGATATTCGTTCTATAACCTAAACTCTTGACTGCACTCTTCTTTGGCTGTATCACACCAGCATGTGGCTGATATCATGTCTCTTCCATATAAACCATGATCTGTATCAAATTTACTGCTTAGTTAACCTATAACTTGCTAATTACCTCAACGTTAAATTAATTCTAACTATGTGAAGCTGGCCATTAGAGGAAAGAAGGTGTTTGAGCTCCCATTTAAAAAGAAAAAAAACTGTATAAATCATAAATATGCATATAGAACTGTTACTCAGAAAACTACAAGAAGAAGATGATGATCTCAAATTGTAGGCTTAGGATCATGATATTACTTTCTTAAGTAATTTCCATCAACTTAGATGGTAATGACCCTGACAAGGAACCAACAATTACACTGTAATCAATGGAATATATAATTAAAATAATAAGCTGAGATGCATTGTGATTATCAACAAAGACGAATCTTAATTTCATCCTTTTCTGTGATTCCCATATGGTTTTGTTATACCTTACACAAATGCATAAGCACTCCAAGAAAGCCAATAGATCAAATCAATTTAAACGAAGAGTGAAGCCTTGAGCCTCAAGATGAAAGAAGAAGAAAAAAAGGTGCAAATAAAGAAGGAACTCATCAAACAGTGGACAAAAGTCTACATATGATCAGCAGTTGATGATGAGCCTCTGCTATTTATCAACTTTAATTACCTTAGGCCGGTCACCGAGCCTGAGCTCAAGATCTAAGTCCTCTATAGAGCTGGTGCAGCTAAGTTCAAACCCTTCTGATTGGAGATGATGTACTTTATCAACAGAACCTGATTTAAGGAAGAAAGGTGTCGATGACGGGACGTCTTCCGTTCTTCTTCTCTTGCAACTAATTATAGCTTCATCCTCATCACCTGAGAGGGATGGACGAGCACAACGAACAACCAAATTCAAACTCACAGACAAATTGTGAAGATCAGTAGTACTTGTGACATGGTGATCACCCTTAGCCCTACACCCAGATTCCACAGCTCCTGAAATCTTCTCTGCTTCAATAATATTTCTTGCAACAGATTTATCATAATTATTTCTGTTTGTGCCCAAGATTGACCAAGATTGAGGAAAGGATAGAGAAGCAGAAGAAGAAGGTGGGATCTTCAGGGTTTGGTCAGCACAATTTTCTTTACATGGTAATTGAGCTGAAACCCTAGAACCTGAGGATGGTGATGAGGATGCAATAGTAGCACCGGGATCGGAACTAGGGTTATTAGGGTTGTAAACCAAGGCACAAACTTGATGAGATGGGTATTGAAAATTACCCAAAGATGAAGAGGAGAAGGGATTATGATTTTGGACAGAATGATCATCCGGATGATGATGATTTTGGAGGGTAGTTTCGTCATTTGGAGACTGCTTTAGTCTAGCCCTGTCTCTCCTGTGGACATTCATGTGGCCGCCTAGAGCTTGAGCTGAACGGAACTCTCTCCTGCAAAAGCTACAAGAGTAAGATCTCGGAGGCCATATGCACCCTCCAAGAGGCCCGGCTGCATCTTCGGCGAAAGCTTGTTCTTCCCACGAATCATCGTTTGATGGGTTGCTAATTGGCACTTGCAGATGATCATGCTGAGATGAGCTCAAACTATTGTGTTTGCGCTTTGCCCACATCCAGTACCTTGCTTGTTCCATTGCACTACCACCACCACCTCGGATTTACACTCCAGTAAAGCTTAATTTGAAGGAAAACTCAAATTGCAAAAAAGAGGAAGAATTGTAAGTATATATGGGCTTTTGAAACAAAGTAGAACTAATATGTTATCCTATACATATATATTTAAGTTATAGACACTGAAAAGTATACATGGATTAATCTGAGGCATAAAGGGGCTGAGATTGGTTAGGGAGGTGTTTAATTGGAAGGTGTAAAGTGGTGGGTTCTCTTCTACCTTGCTCTGCCATAGAGTTGTAGCTACTTGATTTTATTTATTTTTTTTTGTAAGGATTTTTGGTTGGCTTTCAGTCAGTACTCACTGAAATGAGAAGTATATTTTTTTTTGCTCTCTGTTTTTTCCTTAGGAGGGGGAAGCAATGGTTGAATAATAAATCAGTGTTGTGGGTCCTGAAGATGAGCCCCTCTTGTAAGGTGAGGGTTTGCTTACAGACAAACTGAAACAATCTGACTGAAATCTCCCTTAAGCAAAATAGTGAATGCCAAGATGCCTCAATTCCTCCTTCACTTGTACTCAATTAGATGCAACATCAATAGAGTCAAAGAGTCAGAGTGATCAGGAGGACACATGACATCATGCATCATCATTATTATATCATTAGGAGCAAAGATATTGTTTATGTCTCTACCTTAGTGAGCATAATATAATGTAATTCTTTTTATGTTATGTTATCAGACCACTAATTTAGGCAATTACAAAGATAGAAATGCATTAACAGTTCTATAATCATGGTTGCTCTACATGTATAATTCTGATTTAACAGTAAATGTTTGATTAAGAGGCTAAAAGAGTATTTAGCAGAGGTAGCCGTATATAGGCCAGGCTGCTGCCTTCACAATTTTAAATTCATTGTTTTCTTGGTCTCATTAATTCCAAAGATATACACGTGTGCCGAATATTAGTAGTCTTCAGGGTTGACAGGCCGTCCGTTGTTGAAGTTCTGGCAAAGTACTACGTAACCACCACATCTAGAACACATGGCCCAATCCACATTCAATTAACACTAATCTCTTATTAATTCAAACTTTAATTTGCTTTACTTAATACATGGGATCCAATTAAGAAGAGGGACAAGCAAGTAAGAAATTAACACAATGACAACATGTGTCAACGGGGTCTAGTTGAGTGGAAAAGGGCATTGACTGCAGATCATAAGTCTTAAGTTCGAACCCCCATGACATATTAGTTGTGTGCGTGTGTGTGAGAAACCTCCTTGTAATTTAAATTATCGCTTGTACTCTAAAACACAATGGCAGCCTGCATATGCTCCTGGTTGATTACTATCAGTTGGATCAATTTAAAGTAAACTTACTTATAGTCATTTTTTGAGTGGCCCTAACATTTCAATCCACATTTCAACAGTGATTATCTCCCTAAAGAAATTATGTTTCCAGAATTTCAAAAACATATATAAATTTTGCTTCTTAATTTGTTGTTGATGGATACATAAACATAATAAACTCACCAGTTTTAACCTTTTTATTTTGTCGACCTCAAGATGTTTCATATTGTTTCTATATCGAAGTGAACGTGTTTGAATCAAATTGCAAGACTTCCATGTCAATAAAGTCATCAGTCAACAATAACAAATTTTTTAGATTCCCAGAAATGACTGGGGATATGGTAATGGTATGGTCAGGTCTTAAAATTTGGCTTAAACGTCCGGCCAGAGGTCCAGTTGACTGACTGGGATATTGGATTATCCTACGGGCCAATTCAAGATCACACAGTCACACACCCCAAGATTTCAAGAAACGGGATAAGAAGATAATTTTTATTTTGATCCAGAAATTTAAGAAGCTTAACTGAACAATCTTCTAGTTTCGAATGAAAGCTAATGTTATTGGATTTAACTTCTATATATAGTCAACGGATCCATAGCGCTCGGTTGTTAGAGCATTTGTCTAGACAGATAATCAGTGATTTTAGGTTCGAACCACAAGACAATTCCCATTATTTCTTTATATAATCCGAAATACAACAAATATATATTTACTTAACTAAAACAAAAGGAAAGAGAAAAACCCAAGTCGTTAATTAGATCATGAAAAACACATGACAACGATTAATCAAATATATTGAGATTCTGTTTAGTGAATAATTATATATATTCAAAAGTAGTGGCAGAGTTTCAAACACTAGCGAGGCCATAGCCAACATGACATGCATATATAATTGATCTCATCACATAGCTAGATTAAACAACAAGGTCTCGAATTTTCAAAACAAGTTGGCAACTGAAGGAATGGTTTCATTATAAAAATGGAACAGGTCACATGCATATGCCTGCTCAAAAATAACCTCTGAATGAATGCATCTTGCTAAGATGGATGCCTTCATTATTAATTCAGCACAAGGACTAAGACTCTTTCTTTTTTATGTTAGAATGCACAGTGAGATTGTCCTATCCAGAGAGATTCTACGGAATTAATGTCCTCATTCTCAACTTGATTTAATTAATCATACATTTCTTCACTGAGCTGGCCTGGTTTCTCCATATAAAACAATATGTAGCAAGAGAGAGAAAGGAGGTTTTTCATTTTGCAAAGACAATGAAGATGATGGTGTGGTCAAGAAATTATTTTTGAACTTGGGTTGGGTGAGACATGACACTGAGTGACTGCATAATAATACATGAGGATAAGAGATTTGCTTTCAATAGTCACGTATGTTTATCGTTGATGCGTATGAGATTCATTATGCTACTTATATCATCGACTGCTGAAAAACGTTCATACATACTAATAGATGACCATTTTTAGCATTAACATATAATTTAGCAGTTACAGTTATTATTTTCCTTCTGAATGTTAGTAGAATTCACTTTTACTGTTTCCACTGTTTCTCAAACAGCTAAGCATTATAAAGCAAAGACTGTACTTACCTTTCTGTCTGCTTGCTAAAACTATATAGAAATTGACAAGTAATTTTTCAACCGTTTACTAATTAAATAATTATGCAGCACTGTTGGTCAGGTCATTGTCTTTGGAACTTATTATTTTAAATCAAAATAAAGACAAGAGTTTAGGTGCAATAGGGGTACCTTTCTGGAATAACTTAAAATACACGCATCTTTAGTAGATAGTATTGATCAACAAAAAATATTGCCAATAGATTGCATTAGAAGACATTCCACAAAATACCAAAAGTCTTTTTCTTTTTATTCTCTTCCCGTTCTATAATCTGGGTAATCTAAGCATCAACTACACTCTACTTTTCAAACTGAAAGACGTATATCCTTGAAGATAAACTTTTTTTTTCTCTCTCTGCCCATAAAGAACAATACAACTAATGAGATTTTCTTATATTTGTTTCTTTTAATACAAGTTACGTTGTTTTTATTCTTATCGAATAAATGTCTGTTCATGATATTTTCCAACAAAGCACGGAATAACTCAAGTATAATAGTATTCTTCATCAGTCGTCTCTTAACTCTCAAAAAATATAGAAGCAAAAATGTTATGTATATGACAAGAGAATTTGTTCAAACCATTTGCTAGGTATAGCAAGATTATATATTTAATCCAATAATAAGGGAGAGCCATTCATTTGCAAAGAAGATTAATTTGTGTAATATTAGGTATTTGGTTGCATATCACCATCAAATATATGTCGCCTTATGGGAGAGAGAGATATACAGAGGACCCTCCGAGATTGTCGAGGCAACTTTATACGCAAGACATTGATTGAGAAATTAAATATAGAATTCCTCAGCAAATAACTTAAACGGCAAAGATGGCAAATATTCATCCATGTTTTCATGTGTTACGTTGTTGCACTTGTCACCTCCTCAGCTCTCTGTGTGGGCTGTTAATCCAAACTTAATTAACTCAATTATTTTTGAAAACAAGAGGTTAATAGCAATTAATGGTCGTCATCAATCATTGTTATCCGTCACTTCATAATTCTTTTTGCACTTTGTTTGCTTAGCTATTGACTTTACTGGTATGTATGTGCATGGATTTGTGTGGGTGTATTTGAATCAGAAATAGTATTTAAAGGATCAACTTGTGCATAAACGCCATGGAACTAATTTGAAATTAGTTCCTTTTCACATTGTACCACCAGTATGTATGTCTGGAAATATGTCATCATTTCATTCAGTTGTGACGGCTCTAAATTATGCCAAATCCAAAAATAGAATTTATTCAAAGAGAATTGCGACTTCAAACTTGGTAGTTGGTGATTAATAAATAAGAAATTTAGAAAATTAAAATCTTAGTATCCTTAACAGCCAATAACTCTTGGTAGTTTAGTAATATTCTTTTTCTTAACGTTGAAAGACGTCTTAAATTTGAATTTTTGGTCTAGTTGAGTAGAAAGGGGCCTTGACTTGCATATTAGAGCATGTCCATCCCAAAAGGCTAAGGCTAAGGCTAAGACAAGGCAAGGGCTGCCACTATTCACGTGAATAGTGGCAGACTTGCCTTTTTTGGTTCCACCCCAAAATGCTAGGGCAAGTGCAAGACAAAAAAAAGAATATGCAACAAAATATAAACAATTTAGAAATGCAAGAAATAAAATGATTGTGCAATAAAAAAATAAATATGGAAGAAAATATAAACAATTTACAAATGCAAGAGAAAAAATTATTACAATTAACAAATATTTGAAGGAGAAGAGTTTGTATGAGGATTTGGTGTGGAAAATGAATAAAATTGTTATGTATTTATAGAGAAAACATCCATAATTTTTTGGTATTTTTTTTAACAAAAAAATTGAATTTTTTTTCTTCAGTATTTTGGGATTTTTTTCGCTCGTTAACGTTAGCGCCTTCGGACTTGAGCCCAGGCAGGATCTGCCACTGGGCTTGCCCGGGCTCTTTCTTGCGCTGGAGGTCCAAACCCAGCTGGGGGGGTCCTCTTGCCCTAGCAAATGGGCTGCGGTGGACATGCTCTTAGAGGTCTAAGATTCAAACTCCCAATGGCACCTTGGTAATGTGTGTGTGTGAGAGAAACTCTCTACCTATAGTTTCGACTATTGCTTGTACAAAAATAAACGTATCTTTTTCCCGTTGATGTAAAAACCAAATAGGATTGGTGTGTGGTACCCAATGGGCTTAAAAGCCCAAGTCAAATTGGGACTTGTTCAGCTTAATGGTGCATCCTGGGCTTGAAGCAACAAAATGATCTGAGCTTGTCGAATTGGATTTGTAAATCAAGGGTAAAAAAAAATAAATAAATAAATTTGGAACTGAATTCAGAATAAAGAAAATTTGACATGCATGATGACTAAGGCAGTTTGCTTTTGTGGGTACTAATATAAATGGAAGAAAAAGCAAACAAAAATTGTATCTTTTCATATACAAATAGTGAGGGCCTTATAAGGCTCTAAGATGAGGCACTATCTCTTAACGGTTAGATTAAACTAACTAATTTGATCAAACAGTTAAGATATAGGACATCTTTTAAGGGCTCTTAGAATTCTACATTGTATCATATAGATAAGCTTACGATCAACCCAAGAAGGTCAATGGCCTGGAGGCCCTGCACAGACCAAGAACGGCCTCCAGTCCGCCATAATTGGTTGGGACACCAAGGAAGCCTTTTCTGTTACCACTCACTAATGTGCTCAACACACCCAAGTGATGCAAACAAAAAAAATCCGATTTTCAAATGTCTCCTCACTAATAAATTAATAATGAGACAAACTATAAGTTTGAATTGCATTATAATAAGGAAGCAATTCCCTGTCATGCTGAATAATTTACACTCAAGATTATTCAATTAATTGTGGACACAACTTTCTTTTTCTTGATGCTGATCTTAGTTTCATTTTTTGTTTATGTTTTTAATTAAGGATCAAATCACAAATTAAGCCCGGTCGGTTGCTACAAACTTATGTTCTTGGCTAACTTAATCTAACATTACAAATTTGTTCGAGAATTATCAAGATTCAGGATTGAGGATGGCCATGCTACTGATGATGATTTCAGAGTCACGGCTTCTAGCGACCTCGTCAATGTGCGGGGCGCAAAATCAGCAAGCAGTCTATCTGATCACATATTATCTAACAATCCCAACAATTCTTTTATTACTTCCTGTGTTCCTGTGGATAATCAGTGCCTCCAATTTGTTGATCGTCCCACATTCATCATGACGTATATTTCAAAAATAAATTAGTTATTTGTGGGCCCCGCCAATCTAATTTATAGAAATTAGAAGGAATGAACCAATTCATGTTTTCCCAAGTCATCTCATCAATAGAAATAGGAAGTATATTAAGGTTTTTCTTTTCCCATTAAATCGTATAGCCGCGCGGCTGTACTACGTTTTTATTATAAAAAAAATAGTATAGCCGTGAGGTTATACGTTTGTTAAGCGGGTCCCTTCTTGTTTAATTGTTTACAGGAGGAGGAGAAGATGGGGCAACATAATTCGATGATGAAGGCTGAAAAGAACTCAGAACAGACTCGTACTGTCTGGGGAAAACTCAATTTTTTTAAATGCTGAGATTCTCTCCCAGCGTCATGTTTCTGTGATGCCAAAAGAAAAAAGGGAAGATGAATTTTCTACACAAACTTTTATTGGTAACAGAACAGGGCATGGGGTTTGGGGTAGATGAGATGGGGGTGGGGTTTTCTGGGTTTGGTTTATTGTTCTTGTTTTAAATTTTTGGTGCGTGGAGAGGTTGAAATGGGGTGGAATTGGATTTGTATTTGATTTTATTTTTTAAATATAATATACTCAAAGAGTACAGCCGGGCGGCTATACTATTTATATAATAAAAACCGTAGTATAGCCACCCGGCTATACTTTTTTGACACGTGGCCGCTATCGCTGGGCGGTCCTCTCCTTTTATCCTTTTTAAGTATACCCCTCGGGCTATACGTTTTAATATTAGTATAGCCGCGCGGCTAAACTACGAGTTTTTAGTATAAAAAGTAGTATAGCCAGCGGCTATACTGTTTTTTAAGTCTGAACAGCAGCACAACCGCACACACCGGAAAACTGAAGAAGAAAACGTGTGGGTGTTTGCTCACTAACCAACTTACTTGAAGACTTATCTTTCTCACTAAAATATCATGCGTTTACCTATGAGTAGCACACATTCGCGTCCACTCAGCTTGCCCAATGTTAGACCAAGTCAAGATAACACAGCTGGGATAGTTCAATTTGATTTCATTCAAACACGTTTGTTTTCACTGAAGATGTAGTTGGTGTAGAAAAGACTTCTTGAGTACTTGTTTTGTAGGAATTGTTTGCAATTCAAACATATATACTGTTATTCATATCAATATAAATATACGCCTACACAACTGTTATTGATGTACTTATCTTCTCTTTCTAGTATCTTCATCTTATTTTAATATATCGGTTTCAATATTGGTGCAAGAATTCACAATTTAGTTCATTCTCCTTCAGCCTTGAGCATTATTATAAACAGCTTTCTTTATATTGCATACTGCAGATAACCAATAAATACTTGAATTGAAGGGAGCAATTTCAGTTCCAGAAGCAAAATACATGGCAGGTTTCAACAGCCTAAGATGGTCTTTAAAGCGTATGAACGCCCTCATACGTAGTTGGAGTCGGTGGAAATAAAGGCATCGGGTAATTAAATTAAATTGGCTAGCTTTTTCTTCTCTTCTTTATTTCTGTATTTGCATGAAAATTCATATCGAGTGTGTTAATTATTCTTATCGGTTGCTAACTATAACACTTAACGGCGGATATAGGATTGTTACACCATAGAGTCATGGTGTAAAAGTTCTGAAATTTGTTTAAAATGAAAATAACACGAAAATATAAAAAGACATAGTACTTCCACTCATAATTCATGACAAAAACAACAAAAATTACAATTGTCCACGATGGGTTTAATGATGGTTCGTTAACATGCATAATTAGATATACCATGGCAGAAGAGCTAGCAGGACTTGGAGCGACCGTACAATATGCCTGTTCTAGTGACCAAGCACCGATTGATGAGAGGAATCAAGAATGGGAAAGTAAGGGAGTTAAAGTGACCGGCTCAGTTTTTGACCTCAAATCTACAACTCAAAGAGAGAACCTCATGAACACATTCTCATCTGCTTTTGATGGCAAGCTTAACATCCTTGTAAGTTCATTTAAGTCAGATTAATTAATACTTTACACGTTAATTAGCAGATTATTAGTAATAAAATGGAGATTGTGTTTTTTTTTTTTTTTTTTTTTTTTTTTTTTTATACTTTTGTTTTTACTTGTGCATGTTGCATTTTCTATAGGTAAATAATACTGGAGCAATTGGAAATCCAGATAAAAATTTGGAATTTTCCAAGTATTATGAGCACTTGGGCAATAAAAAGTAGTATGAGGAACACCATTGTTGACTATCCCTACCGTCTTTCTCTACTTGCATACCCTCTCTTTAAAGCTTCAGGATATGCAAGTGTTCTCTTTCGCTGATCTGAAAGCTGAGCCTGAACTCTCTGCCTTTGCAGAAACAAGCAGTAAGTCATTTAGTTTTTTATTTTTATTTTACAAAAATCAAAGTGTATATGTTCCAACCATTACTGTTTTTTAAATGTGCTGTGACGCAAAATTCACAGAAGTTGGCGTGGAAATGGGCAAAAGACAACATTCGCACAAACACTGTGAAACTTATGTACAACAACAACAATGGGGCTAAAGTATCTCATCCACTTAATTAATGTTATTTTTGGTCTACCAGTTCAATTAATATGTTTCAATTAGGGTTTCTCAATAATCTAACATTTCAAACTTGTTTTCGGTTTTTAGGTTCGTGCTGATGATGGTCTCTGTCGTCCTGCAGAGCCTAATGAGATTTCATCTCTGGTTAGCTTCCTTTGCCTCCCAGCTTCTTCTTACATCAATGGAAAAGAATTTTATATCGATGGACAACAAACAGTTTGTGACCCTGTAGGAATGTGGAACCAGGGTTGGCCTGGTAATAGCACTTCCACACCCATTTGCCATAGCAAAGGGCAAGGGCAATGTAAGGGATGTTACTATTCACATGAATAGTAACAGCCCTTGCAAAAGGCTTATGGTGTTTTCACTCATTGCCATGGCAACTACTATTCACATGAGATATGATGAGAGGAATTTGTATAGAGTTTTGGTGTGGGAAGTGAAAAATATGACTAAGTATTTATTTTATAAAAAATTCTGAAATTTTTAGTATTTTTTTATATAGATTTTTTATAATTTTTTTGTTGCTGACATCAACAAACCCAGGATAGAGCACGGGCTCTTTTTGCATGTGGGCTGGCCTGGTTTTGTGGGACACACTACTTGCTTAAGCAAGTTTGGTCCACTGGAAGGCGTCGCTTGGGCTTGGGCCCTGTCCTACCCTGGCTTGGGGCAATCAGTGGAATAGCTCTAATATGAGGCCTAGGGCAAAAATCCAAAGTGTGCCCTATAAATAAAGTAATCACTAAAATTATAATTTTTTACCAACTAATTAATTTTATTAAAATTATAGCATTCATTGTTTTACAACATGAGACTTCCCATTTGTTATTGTTTGATGATAATCATTTGAGAAAAAATGTCATCGTGCGCAGTTAGTTTCTCTTACAAGAAACTTTTCTAAATAAATAGTATAGCCGTTTGGCTATACTACAGTTTTTATTTTTATAAAATAATATTCCCGAACGGCTATACAATGTTGACACGTGGCAAAGCGGGAAATAGGCACCAAGGGCGGGCCCTTTTTTTATTATAAATAGTATGGCCATACACGGATTTTTTTATAATAAAAATATTACAGTCGAGCGGCTATACGACTTTTTTAATTAAAAAACTAGTATAGCCGCACGGCTATAGTAACTTAGGCACGTGGTGAAATATGCGCTATGCGGCGGTCTTAGTTTTTTTTATTAAAAAATATATAAATAAAGCGTATAGCCGAACGGCTATACCCGAATTTTTTTATAATAAAGATAGTATAGCCGGCAGGCCATACTACGGTTTTTATTATAAAAAATAGTATAGCCGACCGGCGATACTCTTTTTTTTACACGTGGCCCAATGGGCGCTGGCGCCAGGCGTGTCTTTTTTATTATTATATAAATTGTATAGCCGCGTGGCTATACACGGTGTTTTTTTTTAAAACAGTAGAGCCGGTCAGCTGTACTATTTGTGACACGTGGCAAAGCGACAGTGTATATATACCCCAGAGCCTAGGAGTTTCAAAGTGAAAGTTTGGCACCACCACCACCAATCCACAATGGAGTAAAGGAAAAAAAAAAAAAAAAAAAAAAAAAAAAAAAAAAAAAAAAAAAAGAAAAAAGAAAAAAAGGAATAAACAGAATAAAACATCCTTCCCATGCTCTGTATATAAAATGCTGAATTCACAAGAACCAGCTGCTAATTGTAATTGAAGATCAATAAAGCAAAATAAGCAGCAAAGCATATATTCAAACAAAACGAACAAGCCCATGCATAAACAGAATAAAACATCATTACATATTTGAGATCAGATAACAAACTTAGCCCTGTCTTGAATATTGCTTGCTTCTTCTTCTCAAATTGAGATATGAGTCTCTAGCTGCCTTCATTTTGTTCACAACAACATCCATTTGTATCCGCTCAGACGGTAATATTGCAGAGCATGAGAGCCCTATCTCCATTACCGAAACCAAACACTCCTCCAATCTTGTTGCAAGGACAGCCTTGCTCGTATTTCGTTGTTGTATATTTCATCATCACCATCTGCATCATCTCTTACAATGAGCAATGAAGGATCAATTATGTCCATGGCATGGTCAGGTCAGGCATCATAAATTTTCAGTTCATTTTCATTAAGACCCGAGAAAAATCATCTTTGTTGCTTATCTGGGTCTGCACCTGAAACCCTTCTCAATTCTCAACGAATAAGTTCTCAATGGCGACCTTGAATCTGCAAGAATGCCTATGCAAAGTGATTATTTGGAAAATAGCAGCAACATAGAGAATAAATAGACAAAGAGAAAGGACTTAAACAAATGGAAAATGCTAGAGGCACCAACTTTGGGCACCAACTCTCTAATAGAGCGTGGGACTTGGTGTATTGGCGGGCTCCACCTCTATTAGAGAGTTGGTGCCCAAGTTGGTGCCCAAAGTTGGTGCCTCTAGCCACCACCCTAAACAAATGATGCACGCTTTGTTATTTTTTATTTTTTTCTAAGGAATTTAATTTTTTTTTTTTTTTTTTTTTTTTTTTTGTTTGGGTGCCCCTTTCAATTATGGGCCTCGGGCCCAGGCCCCAGTTGCCTTGGTCAAGGACTGGCTCTGTGTGGAACTATATTATCTGATCACGTATTTTCTAACAATTTGAACAATAATTCTTTTATTATTTCCTGTGGACAAATATCAGTCCCTCCAATTTATTGATAGCTCCAGATTCATATATTAAAGTTAATAATAACCTTCATTCAAATTTTCAATGTAATTTTAATGTATTACTTTGTAAAAGTTGCTTAAAGAAAGAAATTTATACTTCTATTGGATATCATATGAATCTAAACTATACCAAGCACATCTTCCAACTGTGAATAGTAGGGTGTCTAGGAAAGGATGCTCTTGTCAACTTGAAAATATACATATATACTAGATACATTAAAATTCTCCTATATAATAACGTGATAACATTCGGATGAGAGAATAAATGACTATCTTTACAGGAGTCGTTCTATGATGAGTGTCATATATGGACTATAGATGTGAACCTCTATGTTAGTCACGTGATTCATCTGAATAGTAACTTCACTTAAGTTCAATGAAATAATCAGGTGACTAATATGAAGGTCTACATGAAGAGTCCATATATAGCACCCTCACTATATAATTTTACATCTTTGCAGCAAAATAAGAGGGCCAAACAAACAGAGCAATGGCCCAACACAAAGATGGAGGCCCATAGCAAAGTACCTCAAAATTGTTTATGCTCGTCCATAGAAAAGTAGTTTTCCGTAATTTTCACGCAAATCATGATTAGATCCAAGCCGCGGTGGCACTTTTGTGTCCGTCAATTACAGAAAGTGTGTGAATCTAACGTTTGCTGTCGTTCCACGCAGCGACACCAGCGTGAGATGAGAACACAGATTAACGGTCAAACAAGGATTAAATTTCAAATCCAACCCCGATTAAAATATAGCGGATCGGGCGTCGCCCCACCCACACGCGGCAACCAACGAGATGGCCTCGAAAATCGATCCTTTCCAGAAAGTTCCAGCACACTCATGGCTCCCAAAAAAGTAATCCACGATCGCGGCTCAGATCATTCCACGTGGAATCCGACGTGGCGCGGGTTACATCCCTGTAAATGATACGCCTCGGTGTTCTGAGTCTCGGTCCTTTTGCTTTCTTCTCCGTCAGACCAGACCAGGCTGACTGAAAAATTCTCAGCCAACGCTTTAACTTTAAACTGAAATTTCACAGAGAGAGAAAGGGAATTAGATTGAGCTTCTGAGCTTTGTTTTGAGATTTCTATACAACAAAAACGAGCTCTGTGTGGTTTGGATCGGCGATGAACTGCAATGAAGGAGAAGGAGGAGACTCTATGAAGACGGAGGAGCACCGAGAAGCTTTGGTTTATATGTGTGGATATCTTCCCGGAGTTTCGCCGGAGAAATCTCCGGTACTGTCCCTGGCGCCGGTGCGGTTTCCGAATCGGATGGACGGTGGAGATTCGTGGAAGGACATCTGCGGAGGCGGTTGTGGATTCGCCATGGCCATCTCAGGTTTGCTTCTCTGATTCTCAGTCTCTCTCTAATTGTTTAGTAGTTGATGCTATTACTATTCGTTTTGTTAAGCTTGATCTGAAAGTTGATTAGCTGTGGCTGAGGGGGTGTGTTTGGTTATGGTTGAGATTAGAGTGTGGGAAGCTCATAACGTGGGGTTCGGCAGACGATGAAGGGCAGAGCTATCTGGTTTCTGGGAAGCATGGGGTAATGCAGTGATCTTCTAATAACTGAAATGTTTTAGGCATTCAAATTGTTTGTCATTGATTTTTGCATTTTTGCATCTTCTATGTATATGCTGCTGAACCTTTGTTAAGGAGACTCCGGAGCCTTTTCCTCTTCCAACTGAGGCTTCACTACTCAAGGCTGCTGCTGGTTGGGCCCATTGCGTTTCTGTCACAGGTGCACCTTGGTTCTGATTTCTGCTTTCTTTATTAGTTGAATTATGAAATTCATGGATAGGATATTCATTTTTCAGTACCCAAGATTTGTGTTAGAAATGAAAGAATTTAAGAGTAATTAGTTCATTAATATGCGGATTGAATGGATTCTTAGTATTTCTTTGTGACAGTTGCATTTAGTCCATTTGTGAAATTCTTTGTAATTCTACGATGTCAGTTTCAGTCATCTAATCAGATGATTATTATATGGATAATCTGGGTTTTCACGGGAGAATCTAAATAAATTCTTATTATTTGTTAATTTACAGAGCCTGGGGATGTATACTCATGGGGATGGAAGGAGTGTGTTCCGTCTGGGAAGCTTATCCATGATTTGGCTATGGTGGGAATTCCTCAAACAGATACTATAGGGAATCAAAGTTCATCACCAGCTGAGCAAGGTATTTCTGAAACCTGGGCATATCTGACAAAACCAATCAGGGAAGCCTTATCGATTTTACTAAATCAATGTGATTAAGACGTTATGATCTTATACAGTAAGCCCAATGCCTCAAGGCTTCAATTTGACTAGTGGGACAGTATCTCATCTTGACAGCAAAAGGGCTGGAGAGGAAGTTGCAAAGCGGAGGAAAGTTTCATCACCTAAACTTGAATCTGAAACCTCAACAGGTGGTGATGATTTCTTCACTTTGTCGCCTTGTCTTGTAACTCTGGGTCCTGGAGTAAGGATCACCAGTGTTGCAGCTGGTGGACGCCACACTTTAGCTTTGTCAGGTAAGACCACAAGGGTCAGGGATTATGCTTATGATTTTCAGGATAGTTACTCCGTCTTTGTGGTCACACCATATAGTTTTGTAGGTTGTAGGAAGTACGAAGCTATGGAAGATTTTTGATGTAAAGCAAGACACATGATGGATCATAATTTTAACCGAAGTTTCAGATATGGGACAGGTGTGGGGTTGGGGCTATGGAGGCGAAGGACAGCTAGGTTTGGGTACCCGGGTAAAGATGGTCTCTTCTCCTCATGTCATACCCTGTATTGAGCCATCTTCTTCTGGAAAGGATAGGGCTTCTGCGGTATCTCAAGGCACAAAAGTTCCTGGAAGTTATGTCAAGGAGATTGCTTGTGGTGGTCGACACAGTGTGGTAGTAACAGGTCAGCATTTAACTGATTGTTTTATAGTGCTGATATTTCTCATAAGTGTTAATACTTATAACTGAAGAACATATCAACAGATTGGATTTGTCGGTTGTATGTGCTAAGCCTACTTATTTGTTTTCTCTCCTTGATTACCTTTGGGTCAATGCAAAATGTGAGATTATTGTTGGCTGTTCTATGGATCCTCTTAATCTGATGAAAACATCCAGTTTTGTTGTGATCGCTTTCATTTTTGTCATCTACTTTCCCTTTATCAATAATTCTTCAATTTGCAGATGCTGGAGCACTGCTTACTTTTGGCTGGGGACTCTATGGACAGGTGAGCTTTCAATGATAGTCAGGGTTTTATGTTGTTTGAGTTGTTCTGCATTGAGTGAACCGTTTGGTAGCATTCTCCTTATATACTGTGATAATTGGGAGTACTACTGGTTAGTAATTCAGTTGGAACCACATTTTCTTTTTATATATTTGTCTTTCCTGATTATTGTATTTATTTGCGGTATCTTTTCTTACCCCCCATTTTTATCCAGTGTGGGCAAGGGAATACAAAAGATCAACTAAGACCAAGTTATGTGAATTCATTGGCCAATTCTAGAGTGAAAACCATCTCTGCCGGACTGTGGCATACTCTATGTATATCTGTTGATGGTCGTGTACATGCTTTTGGGGGGAATCAGTTCGGACAGCTGGGAACAGGTGCCGATGAGGCTGAGGTAAGCTCAACAACTTTTCTTTTTGGTTCTTTTGTTTTTTTATTGATTAATCAGAATGTGGAAGAAAAAAAATGTCAGAATTTATAACTGGAACATGCAAACTACTACTCCGAATCCAAGTTAGTTTTGTGATCTTACGCTTTCAGTCCAACTTGTTTCTGTCTGCAGTGTTATCTGCATTGTGTTGCTTTTAAAGAATACTGGTCTTTGCTGAGGAATTTTTTAGTTCAACTCTGTCGATGAATCTTGTATAAATTAACCAAATCACATCATTGTTGATTCAGACTCTACCTAGGCCATTAGAATCTCCGAGTTTGGAAAGCAAGCATGCCAAAGTGGTCTCCTGTGGGGCACGCCATAGTGCCATACTAACGGGTAAGAGGGTGCCATTGTCTATCCCACATTATAAAGAGGGCCAATATTTGTATTCTAAGTACTATCCATCAAATTGTCGATAGGGTTCTTAACAATTTCAACCAAGATGAGCTTAATGAGGGAGACCATAAACAGATTTTTAGTTACTTGTTGCACTAAACATAGTACTTGGATATTCACAATCTCTTTGTTATCTTTGCCTGCAGAAGACGGCCAATTATTTAGTTGGGGGTGGAACAAGTATGGCCAAGTATGATTCCTAACTTCTATGATTAATATATTGAGCCCCAAACGTATATGTTCTTTCATGATCATTTTTGAAAATTTTATATTCCTGTTTGGATGCAGCTTGGCCTGGGCGATTCTGTGGACAGGAACCTTCCTTCTCAAGTTTCTACAGACGGTTGCTTACCTAAAAATATTGCATGTGGCTGGTGGCACACGCTACTGCTGGCTGAAAGACCCGCTTGAATCTGTGTTAATCGATGACGGTGACAGAAACGGAATGACTTATTAGGATATGACTGCTTCAGATAATCTGCCTTCTAAGTTCTTAAATGCACACTTCGTCCTGTTTATGCATAATGTACATCCTTTTTTATGTGCGTGCTTGAACAGAACCATGTGTTCCATTCTTTGTAGATTTTAGAAGCTAATTTTCTTCCGACAGCAAATTGCAGAAAGTTGTGTCTGGGGTTTTTTTTTGGGTCGAAATTCTGCCTGGGTTCGTACACAAACATTAACTACTTGTACTGATACTATACATTCCGACAAAGACATTATGCTTCTTAGGTCTTGTCATAATGATCTTGGTTTGAAGCACAATACTTGAAGGCATGCTCAATTTTCTTGAATACAAAAGAGATGCCTAAAATGTTGTTTTTTTTTGGGGTCAACCATCAGATTCAGATCTTGCTTGATATGTTATTTCTTCTGCGTTGCAGAAGGTGTAGCAGCGGCCAAAAAACATCCATTCTGTGAAACCCTCTGGGAGCCTGAGCATAATGCAAATAAAGTTTTGTAAGTTTGTAGCATTCATTATCTTTACTGGTGCATTGAAATGAGAAACATTTAAGAAAAAAATGAAATCATTGTGGAATTTTTATACGAAAATAAATGGGTTAACAAATTATACCTCAACAACAAAATGTGCCCACATGTTGCTTGAGCGGGTTTCCATCACACCCTTCAAGATGGTCAACTCCAATCGACGGATAGCTTGGGCAATGTCTAGGAAAAGTCCATGTTCATCACATAGCATCTGAAATGGACATGGTAATTGGTTGAAACATTCTGCAATGAAGCTCTGTGTGTTCGAAAAGTTTACAAATTTGGGGGTCATGCAACACCAACATACCTCTATGAGCATGTGCCCTGGGTGTTGAAGATCTTCTACCACAATAGGGCAAATCTGAAGTTCGTTTCCGATTTCAAAACCCCTGCTTGTCCCATTTTGGCCACCAATTTTGGCCTCGCTCATGTTATTAGAACGAGGTACCTGGAAAAGATTCATAGATTTGGTCAGAAACTTGTAAGTGTAACAATTGGGACACCAGCTGGTAAACTATAAGTTGGCTTTGTAGAAGAAAAACTTCTGTGAGTCGGGGATATTGTGCCGGCCTCACAGAAGTTTTAGAGTCTTGGTGTACCAAACATGAATGAGCTTTGCATACCTCTTGATGCGCATAGCACCCCAGTTTTTCAGCTTGGTCAGTCATGGTTCTTAAATACAGCATGTGTTTTATGGTTCGGTCTAAAAGGCCATCAATGCTGCACTGAACTTGTCACAAAAAGGAAAAACATATCTAGTTAGAGAAAGATAAGTGATTATGTATTGCCCCGCAACAAAATATTGAACCTACAAAAAAACCCACCTTGTCACCATTTGGGACGAGTTCCCGCAGCTCTTTGACACGATCCTGAATCAATTGTCTATCTCTTGGTCTTAGCTTTGGGCTGTTGCTAAGCCTGGTCCTTCTTGCACTGGCACCGGACGACTTTTGTTCCTTTTTAGGCTTTGTAGAAGTGTATCCTTTGCCCTGCCGCTCTTTGTCAAGCAAAGTGCTCATCGTGCCTTTGAAAGAAGCTGATGCATGATTCCATGTCATTGAATCACTCTCCATTGGGGCACTTGCTTCAAATTTCAATTGTTCACAAGAAGCAGGAAATTGACTTGATGTGGTCATACATGATTTAATATTGTCAGATCTGCTTGATGAGGTGTCATCTCTGGCTACCATGGATTCAAAGAGGTTCTCAGCGTCGCTTCCTTTCGAAAGCCTTGATGGCTCAATACTGTGAATGAAATCTTTCTGCAAACCAGAGCTGCTACATGTGTCATCAATGGAGATGGATGAATTCCATAAATGTTCATCGGTCTGCCTCTGGAAAGTTGTTCCGAGTGCTTTGTGTAGTTCACAATTTTCAGGAAAGCTAAAGAAACTATCCTTCCTGTTATAACTTATATCTTCAGCATTATTGTAATTCAACAGTTGTTCTGCTATACCTCCAGCAGAGTAAGAATGGAAACCACTTAAAGGGTCTCCAAGCACATCCACGTTATAACCACCATACTGAGAATAGGCTAGAAGTTCTTCCTCCAAACAAGACAACCCAAACATCTGAGTCTCTATGGTCTCCAGCATGTCGGTATCTACACACTGACTGAACGGATTTGATTCTCCAGTGTGATAAATACGTGGAACACCATTCTCATTTTCTCCAATTCTCTTAAGAACTTCTGGCTGATCTGTTCCAGAGTCTAGAAGTACATTTTCAATGGTTGGCAATTGCACAAATTGCTCCAAAGTCGACAGTAAGGTATCATTCAGTCTGACGTTACCAACCTCTTCTGACCTTTCAACCTTGAGTGGGTTAATGGTAACAGCTGATGACTCAAATGTGTTCCCCATTAAACTAGATGATTGTGGCCATAATGATTCAGCTCGAATGTCCCTAAATAAGGTAAAAGGTACAGGTTTCCCCACAACATTGTGAATGGCATTGAATCTATCTTTCACAAAAGCAACCACTGCCAGATCTTCAGCAACCTACAACTTGATCAAAAAAGAAAGGGACAAATAAGATGAATACAAGCAGATCGATGTACATGGAACACACACGCAGACACAAAGACAGAAAGATTCAGATTGAGAATCACATGCAAGGTGCTTAAGCCCCAGACGGGGGTCAGAATAATATGTCAGATTCATGCAGCGTGAGTTAAAAAAATTCTAATGCTACAACTTCCTAGATAAACTCGTAAGCTATTAGTTACTACACTATAATGACATGCTTACAGGAAATAAACTGCTACAACCAATTCATGAAGTTTAGAATAAGTTCAGAATGAGCACGCACCGTTTCCATGGAGCCAAGTTGCAAAACTCCATATGGAAGTACAGGTACAAGCAAAATTGTCTACATGAGAAATCAAATACATAATCAGATTTTTCATCCATTTATAAGTAATTACATATGAATCCTGAGCATTAAAATTCGCAACTGTGACCTAGTCTCTGCTCATGCCACTAGGATATGCCAAACAAGTTACCTTGATACCCAACGCAAACTGAAGAAGCCATTCATCTGGACACTGAATAAATAAAAATAATTCATTTTTTAGATGTACTGTACAGTGTTCACTATCACTACTTGCAGAATTACCATTAGCTTGTTCAATAAGATTTACCTCAGGAACTAACTTAGAGTCAGACTCTCTGGTGCACAAACTGTGAAGGGAAACCCATTTATGGTTCCCCGTGCAAGCCACCTCACCGACAACCCTGAGAAATTATTCAAATCCATAATGAACCATTAGCATTCTTCATTCCCTAAAATATATGAGAACATTAATAGTTAACTCATTGTGTGGCTTGCTGGTGTCTCTTAGGAAACAAAAAATTTACATACATCGTCAGTTTAAATAAGTAGTGTGCATACACATGCGTGTGTAAAGACAGAGTTTTCGGCAAACCCGTAAGAGTAATGGTGATTTTGGACACCCAGAGTATTGGATTCATGGTGGCAAATAATTAAGAGCATGCTAAAGGAATTCTCCTCCACCAAAATTTCTTTTTGTTACTTTTATATTTGTAGATATTTGTTGTAAAACAAATCCGCAGAAACTTTTCTGGAGATTGAACGGAAGTACACAGCAAGACAAGAATGAAGAACAAGATTGTACCCTTTTCCAAATGTGTGCTGAAGATGTGACATATCAGCTACTGCTAGTCCAATTGGATAGCCCGTAGATCCACCATCATGTACACTTGTTGCACAATTTTTAAAACGCATCTGATTTGCGTCGCTGAAGTAGATGTCATCCGGTGAATGTTCCACAGCTTCTCTTGGTTTTGGATGATGGCAGTACCCATCCTCCCAGGCCAATATCCTTAATTAACAAGAAGACAACTATCATACTGGAGATCATCACTAGCCTTGATATTCATGAGAAACACAAAATGTTCGCCGTGAAAAAGGTCATTTAGATGTCAAAGCCTAAGCATACTAGAACTTTTTTTCATGTGAGAAGAATGATCATAATCCCTCTAGTCATATTCATTATAGATTCAAATTCTATTTTATGATTTGATAAGATATAAATGCTCAAACTTCTATATGCATATACACATGTGTTTTGTATCTTAAAACATGCTTGGCTGCACCAACAAAATTGAAGTCCCTAATTTGTGGTTCAAACAGTATGCATCAAAATAATCATAGAAAGCAATCTCAAAACCCGAAGCATTTTGATTAGTAACTTGATTTCTGAACTCTGATGGTGGCCAAACACAAAATTAAAAAATTAAAAAATCTGCAAGATTAAAAGTTCATAAATTTGAAATAATAGAAAAGAAAAAGTAACTTACAAATCGGTCTGGTGCTTGAGCTTCCAAATCACCGCATATTTCCAAGGCGAATTGTTGCTGCAGAGGCTCTTGAGCAACTGCCTCAGAGCAGTAGTTCCCATATCTTCTTAACTTCCTCAACAAGGCTCAAATTATTCAACAACTAACAAACGACACAATTTACTCACATCCAATAAACACAAAACGACAACACCACCACCTTCTCTAGCTGCCCCGGTACGAAGCCCGACCAGCCTGTTTAATCCGTAATCCCGCTCTTCGTTTAATCGGTGGACCAGTCGAAAACAGTTCCATTGCCGGACGCTCACTAAACACCAATCTGCTTTCGCTCTCAGCTACCTAATCAACTTTTTCAAGAAGCACTTAAACAAATCGACAATCAACAAAGACCTCTCCCCCTACTAGCTTGACAATTTGGAAAAAGCTGTTCATGATTCTGTTCGGATCGGCTCGAAGCTCAAATCCGCTGCCAAACAAACACGAAACTATTAGAATCAACTTTGATCAGCTCACTTCAATAGAAGATGAGAAGCAGTTACAGTTAGTGTGTTGCTCTTTACCTCTAAAATCAATGACGTTGCAGACGTTCATATTCGTTGGATTCCATGGCCCTCTCTCTGTTTCAGTTTTTCGTTTGGGGAAATTGGCCTTCTTCGTTCTCCAAAGTCCAGAAGCACCAAACACTCCCACAACACAAACAACGGCTTCTAAGCCTCTTCTGCAACCATCATATCATATAAATAAACAAAGAAAATGCCGCCACCGGTTAACCGGTCACGTTGTGTTTTTAATTTTTTTAATTTTTTAATTTTTAATAATGTTTTGTTTTATTTGGGCGGATTTCAAAATTGTCCAAAGTCAGATTCTATAACTCGGTTTGGACGGAGTGGGTGTTGGGGCCCACAAATTTGTTTGCTATGGGCCGTGGGGCCCATGGTCTGGTACTCTGGGTATGTTCAACACTGAAGTGAATCTGCAACAAAACAGCGACCCGTTTTGCAATTTGCAATATTTTGATTGTGATGCCTCTACTATTATTAGTCACCGGAAAAACATTATTAATTAACTAAGACAGCTTGCAAGTTGCAAGTGGGTGTGGGAGTCACGTAAAAATAATATATAAATATATACTTGTTAAAATAAGATTAACAGTAATTTAAAAAAACATTATCTGATTTGGCCTTGTACGACAAACATAAGCATATACATACACTATATACGACACAGTTTGAGCAAATACGATAAGTAGACCGAGTTTTCTAAAGTATTTTATAGCTTTTGGATAAAACCAACTTTGATATGTTGACCTGAGTTAGATAAGTGCACCAATACTCGTCGCATCTTATAGAACCACCTTCAAAATTCAAATTATGGATATTTTTCAATTATATATGCATTCTTTTAAAATATTGAGGTGGGTGTGCTTGACATTTTCTGCAACCAGTTGACTTAACAACATTATACAAATATATATGTTATTAATTATGCGATTCTTTTATTAAAATTTGGTTGAAACGCCAACGAGGGTCTATTCAAGTGAAAATTGACATTGACTTGTAGATTAGTAGTCTCAAGTTCGAAATCTTTATTCTCTACAGTTTAGACTATCCATTGTACTGAAAAAACAAATTTGGTTGGAACATACATGTATAGATGCATTGAGACAAAGGTGGCAATGTATTTTTTCTTTTTTTTTGGGGGTGGGGGAGGAAATATATTGACTTCTGACTTTAAGCTCATGCAAAACGCTTCTGAATTTGGTTCATTAAGAAGAAACATTTTATATAGGTTTTGTGAAGATTATATATAAAAGTGATCATGGCATCTCATGTCGTGGCAGCTTAAACATTTGCCACATAATTGGACCGACCATATGTTTGTTTTCGTCACATTAGTATAGATTAATCCTTCCACAAGTCAGCTTTGTGAAATTTATTAGGCGCCAATTCATTATTCATATAGAAGTACAATTAATATTTTAGTGTTGTAGATGAAGATGAATGAGGCCCCGCTTCTTAAAATGGAAGATGATTAGAGAAATCATATTTTTAGGTTTCGTTAATTGATAATTGGTGTGTTAGTTAACACTCATGAGTTAATTGTATTATCAAAGATTTCATATTCGAATCCACACGACATTATAGTTATTCAAAAATTAAAATTTTAAGGACCGATAGAAGATTTCTTCAACTTCAAGATAGAATGCCAAGAAGAAAATTTACCACTAAATGGAATAGTATTATTTAATGTGTCAAATACATGAAGAATGTGGCAGCTAAAGATGGCTTGATATAGTTTTTTCTTTAAAAAAAAAACCATATAAAATGTGGAAGAGAAGATGACTCGAGAGATATTTTGGTTAAATGAAACAAACAAATTCGTCACGTTTGTAATGGTCAAAATAATTTTAATTTGAAAAAGCCCTCGTTGTTTAAATTTATTGGAAGTGACCGCACACAGCTCGATTTCTTGCACGTCTGCTTATATAATTCATCACCATATTAAAATTTTCTTCATTTTTCTTTATTTTAGTGAAAAAAAGAAGAATGTCTTTTAATTACATGATGAACTCTTCACAAAAGTTTTTTATTTTTTATTTTTTATGAGCTCCAGAAAAGTTCTGGTGCATGCATCAATCATGCATGCATGTAGTCAACTAAGTAATTATTAAATTCATCATTAAAATGTAGTAGAAGACAATCTAAAATAAATAAATAAAGAAAAAAAAAGAAAAAAAAGAGAGAAATAGGAGTCTATATCTAGACTAGAGCCGACACTGAATAATCTTGTAAGAGAAAAACTAGATCAATGGGAAGCTATTGGTCCGACGGCACTAGAATTATTATAGAAGGCCAAGTACATACATGTGAGTGGGGCCTCCTTTACCATCCACATCACTTATGTGGGTCCATAATCAAAGTTGTATTGGAAAGTTAACCTGTTTTTAAAGAATCTCGAGGTAAAAGAAACCTATGATCATTATGTCCCATCCCAGCATTGCTTAATGTAATTGATCAGATGATTAAGAACTCAAGCACATATCTTAGCTGAGAAATGCTAGGTTTGGTACGTGGCGGTGGTACATACAGTTCAGTAAGTTATTGTGAGCCGTTGATTCATAAAGGATTTCACATGCATCAACGGTGTGTATGATGAATTACCAGATTGCGCATTGCCAATTGAGCCTAGCAATTGGATCAACTCTTTCCAAAGCACATACCCTAATTAGACTGTCACTGAGTTAATTACCAAATCGAATCATGCATCGACCGAAAAAGGTGGAAAAGAAGCAGAGCATTCAGTGGCCCTTGTTTACACAAATGGAGTGGTGTACGGCTATCGAGTGTAACACAAGGCACAGACCAAAAAGAGAAATGAACAGGAAAAGGCCCTTGAGCTAAAGCTATCAGCTAGGCCAGAGGCATACGTAAGCATTTTGGAGAGATGGGCCCATTACCAGTGAAGATCATGCAAGTGGGCCTAGTGATTTAGGCCCGCCGTTGACGGAAAACAGTCTATTTCAAGAATGATGGCAGAGTCTGTACACTCAGAAACTCTGGGCGCTTTGTCGGGAGATGGCCGTACTGTTTTTTGGCCCTTTTTCTTTTCGTTTGCTTCAATTCATTTTGTCGCGTCTTTATTAAAGGATCTTGAATTTAAGTGCCCAAAAAAACCTACATTTCTAATCGTTGGATCAAAAGGAAAAAGGAAAAGAAAATCATTTCAAAACAGCTATATGATGAACGGCCGGGAGAAGTCAAGAGAGGGAGGCAATTGACCACTTTTAGCCAAGATTTAATAATGTGATCATGCATGTACTTATTCAATAGTTTAGTTTGTTTCAAGGTCAGCTCTAATGTACTACATAACATGACTCCTTTGGTACATGGAGATGCTCAAAATCTTTTTAAAAATTATTGCAAAGCTTCCATTTTTCAGTGTGAAACACTCTTATTAAAATTATCATCCGGTCAAATTTTAGGTTTTTAGTCTTGGATTTGTTAATTGTTTCGGTTTTAGGTTACTTTGGGTGGAGTCTAAAGTTTAATACTTCAAATCTAAAATAATATAGATAGTTTTGATCGTTGAATTGCATTGTGGGGTAGTTCACTTTTTTTATTAAAAATAAAATTTGAATATGCTGAAAAAAGTGGGATTTATACGCAGGATTAAGTAATAAGTTTCCAAACATCTTACAACCAAAGTTGGAAAAGTGAAGTAAAATATCCAAAGAAAACAAGCTAGCTACTACTAGCTCCGGGAAAACTCTGTGGGCTTATCTTTGGGATGCCATGCTCTCCCAACTATTTGCATGCAACTCCTTGCCCTGGTAGTACAAATGAATGAAGCCCTACAGCTAACCACAGAATACAGACACAGCTTCAAAGATCAAATAATTCATGCAAAATACTGGACAGTTACCAAATGGACCGAAAAAAACAAAAAGAAGATGTATTTACGAAAACCGTTTTCCTGGTTCTTATTACAATATCTCTTGTGCTTTCTTTCCACCATTTCTTCTATGAGGTAGGTAGGCATGCGACTTTTGCAGCAAAAATGAACCTTCTTTATATCCTTTACAATAAAGCTGCAATATTTCATGCTGCTTCGGGGGAGGGACCATATGGGAAAAGAGGAAAGATAAGAACACAATTCTATACATACATGTGGCAAAGGGCATATTTTACTAAGATAAACAAACCAAAATCATTTGCATTTATAATGCAATATACCTGAATAAGACAATTGTACTGCTTTTCCTTCCACATTCGGCAATCAGCACGCGTGCATATCCCACTGGGAAAAAGTCGCAGCAATACTAAAAAATTCATCTTATAAATCTTTATTTATTTATTATGTATTCAAATATATCAATCTCTCCACCTGATTTGTATAAAGTTATTAGTCCACAAGCAAGAAGAAGCTCATACAGGTTAATCCAAATTGGTCTTGGGGCTGGGGGGGAAAAGAAAGGGAAAAAGAAAGTGACTGCATGGAGTTTGAATTAATCAGTGGCCAGAGCATGTGCAAGAGACCACACAAGTAATAGTGAGTGAAGAGGATATTTACGGTGATGATGAAGATCCTTGAGGCTGTATAGGTGGTGCATGTGCATGAGTAAACTTTACCCTATAGTATAGTATAGGATTAGGTTTCTATTTTTTATATAGAAATGATGTTGGGAGAGGGGTGAATCAAATTCAAACCTGAACTTCGGATGCAGTGATAAATGCTTTTAACCTTTTGATTTACTAGCCCATTCCTCAATTTCTTTTTTGATACTAGTGATATTTGGGGAGGGAAGAATCAAACCTATAACTTTGGATGCATGAGTAAATACTCTTAACCACTACAACGCCTTTGCGATTAGGTTTCGATTGTGCTTCATTGTCATGAAAAATTATATGCAAATCATATATGTGGTGCATGCATGAGTAAACTTTACCCTATAGTATATAGTATATATAGTATAGGATTAGGTTTCAATTTTATTTTTATTTTTACTAAATGCTCTTAACCACTTGATTTACAAGCCCCTTACTCAATTTCTTTTTTGATACAAATTATATTTGGGGATGGAAAAATCGAGCCTATGATTTTGGATACAAAAGTAAATACTTTTAAACACTTAAACTACAAAGTCTTTGCGATTAAGTTTCAATTGTGTTTCATTGTCGTGAAAAACTATATGCAAATCATATAGCCAGAATCTTGATCAAAATAACGAAAGGAATTTGAAATAAGCCCAGATATGATGAAGCCCAACTGAGTTGGACTGTTCGTGACTAAGCCTAGATGTGATGAGGCCTAAGAAGATACAACATATCAAAATGGAAATTAGAAGCCCAAAAAAACAAGTAATTTTTTTATATTATGAATTCCATAATGAGATATTTAGTAATATACCCACTTCTAGCACTAATATTATAAATAAACCCTACACAGTTGAATTTTTATAAACAAACCCAAAAAAAACTCAAAAAATGATAGCTGGCCTTATTGAATTTAATATTGATTATTAAATTACTTTGATGCCCTATTAAGTGTTTTGAGTATTTTTATGAGATTTCGGGGTTGAACTTGTTTTAAGAAATTGATGGCAGTTTTGTAATTTATAAGAAGTTAAAAGCTTTTTTGTTATGTTGTAAATGGGCTTTGGGTGTGTTTTTAAAGTCCATTTCATATGGGGTATTTTTATAATTTGGACTCTTATATTGGGTATAATAGCGAATCTCCCTAAGAATAACTGGCATTACCCTACTTTTTAGAGAACCCTTTTGATTGAGAGGGGCAATATAATGTACTAAACTCACACACACTACACGGATGCTAGGACTTGAACACCACTACATAAGTGGGTACTTTGCGAGATTTATCACATTTTAAAATGAAATTAATGGCGTCACTTCATGCTAAACTATATGCTAGATATTATCCAAGATTATGGACATTTGTCAATAAATCTTGGATGAGAAGACTGCACAGGCTGTATATGTGATCTCATGTTCCACACCTTGCAACTGCAGCCATTAATTATTTTGGATTATGAATTATGTTCTTATTTATTGGATAAAAAATCATCAATCATAATCATAAAATCATGACAATGCTGATTGGAGATAAAATCAAAGACTAACTCAACATGGCCCCCACCACCAAGATCACCAACACCTAAGCCTTGATGTTGCTAGAAACCAATTTTCTATACAAGTTAGTGTTATCTTTTCTCATTGTGTGTTTGCCTTCAAGTTCATGAGGGAAAATAATACCGTAAAGAACGCAGACTGTGACAAGAGCAGCTTGTTTAATGCTCCATTTGCAAAACAAAGCGGGCACGCAGGTTTTTGCTTTTGCTTAGGGTTTGCGGTGCTTTCGATGGCTGCTTTGAAGCTACAAATTCTATTGGAAAAGGAAAACGACATGAGGATTGAAGACTGGTTTTCAATTGGATTATGATGCAGGCAATGACTTCATCTACGACAGAGACAATGGAGTGGTTATTTTGATGAAGCAAGCTGTACATATACAGCCCATATATATATATATATGTATATGGTTGACGACTTGCTAAGAATAAATTTATAAGACATAGGATGTGGATGATGGACGGTCTCATTTGGGGTAATAGAGGGGGCTAACGCCCAAGGAAACAAGACAGCCAACTAAAAACAAAGAAGACGAGGCATGGAGTCTCCCTTTGACTCAGCAGCCAGGAAATCAGTAATGCAAGCTGGCACCCCATCAAAGATATGCAGACCTGGATTAAAATCAAAACTATTAGCAGCCAAAGTCTCATTTGGGTTTTAATTAGACTGATTAATACAAAGCAAATTGAAATTTTCTATTAGTTGGGATAAGTTTTATGTCCAAATCAAGTCGTGTAAGGTTAAGACTGTTAGACTATATGTCAATACATTCTGTCAATTTTAGAGATAATTTAACAAAGTTTGACTATCTCATAAATATAACATTGAGACTGACTTTCTCGAATATTCAGCTCCCCAAAGAAAAAAAATATTTTAAAGGAAAATGCTAAACATATAAGTTTCCATTTCTCCACTTTTATACGATTGTCTCATGTATTATAAGTCGTTACTTTGTAACATGAAATTGATGAGATGTGTTCAAGCAGATAATGTGCTATGTTACAAGGTAAGAGTGTAAGACGAATCTATTAAAGCCAACAAAAAATAAAATTTGTCACATTACTTAAACTTATTGGACATATCTCTGCACAAAATTTGTTTGTTTGTTTGATTTTTTTTGGAGAAATTCTAGGACTACATTCATAGTTCATTCAAAAAAGTCATTAGTTATAAAGGGTCATTACAATAACAGAGCAATCTAATATCAAAATTAAGACAATTTGGAGCTTCTCCACTAACAACTACGCATGATCGAATAAATTCTAACATAGGCATCCAAACTAAGAGTGAAAACTCAGAATAACCAAAATCAGATAAAGTTTGAAAAAATCAAGCAAAAAAAATATAAATAAAAATATCATAGAAGATATGTGGAAAGCTCTAACAAAGAATAGGTGAAAACTACACAGAAACCTTGAAAGAGTCTCTGCGACTTATTCCAAACATGAAGAAACCGCAAAAAAGATAGTGAAGGGGAGGAAGGGAGAATGGGAGAGAGGAGGAAGATAGGAGGGGAGAGGGGAGGAAGAACAGTGGCTTCCTCCCCCCTCAAAATGAAAATGGCTCTATTTATTTATTTATTTTACAAAATGATGTAAAGATACACACTCGCACATCAAGGCTACGTCACGCTAGTAAAACTAGTTGCAATTAAGTATTGAACGCATCACATATGTAAATCGTTATCATGTGAGTTGAATCTAAAACCCTCCATCAACAAAGTGACAACAACTACTACTAAACCAAAGATTAATTATACAGAAATTGTATGATTATGGGCGACTTAGTGCACCAGGTTTTTTTCTGGGGTAGTAGCATACAATATCAGGATATCATATTATAGTTTCGACGAATCAACCTATCTGATTAACACGATTACACAGAGAACTTATAATAATCTTGGTATTTGTTATGGCGTAGACAACCAGCTGATTAAGCATATGATTCTTAATTACTAAATCAAGCAAATACCTTTCTTTGAAATCAAATTTGATCAAACACATTAAAAATAAGGAATACAAATAGTAATTAGAAGAAGACAGCTAAGACAAAACTGGTGGTGGCGACGGCTATTAGTTTGAGACCCTAAAAAAAACGTTTTAATTATAAAAAACCGACCAATACAATCTTGTCTAGAAAGCTTAGAAACCACTGACCCAAACCAAACCAAACCCTCATAAAATAATAATAATTAACAAACTTAATTAGTAAAATAAACGACAATTACGAAATTTGGTAAGATGTAATTGGAAAGAAAGATGATATTGGCGTGGGTTTGGATAGAGCTTTCAAGGTCGTCGTGCGGGTTTGCGTTGAAAGCCTCCTGCCTGCCTGCGTGGCTTGGCTTCAAGAGCTGGACACTCCCCAAAACTCCCAATATCCCATTTACGCCACGTCACCAAATCCAATCCCACCCCTCCTTTTAAATCAACCACCATCGCTGCCACACAGCAAAGCAAAAAAAAAAAAAAAAAAAAAAAAAAAAGAAGCAGAAACAGAGCAATTAGCTTTCTTTTCCTCTGTTTGCCTCTTGGAGATCGAAATTTGCAGAAATTAAATGGAGGGTTTGATTCCTTTTGTGTACAGAGCCATAGTTGAATACAAGAATGGGAAACAAGCGGGTGGAGCCTTGAACTCGTGGTTCAGCGAGTCGCCGACTTCAGCTTCGTATATCCGTTTACCCGGCGACTCGGGTCGGATCCAAGCTTCGGATTTTCAGCTGTTTATGTCGGATTATGGTATGAATTCTGGTTCTTCGGCATCTTCTTCTGCTGCCCAGATCATGAAATCGTCTGGAGTTCAATCCCCAATTCGTCATCGAGTTGCTAGTAATTAATGGGGTGAAGTAAATTAGTGGGCATGCATGGATGAAGAAAGCTGAAGGTGTTGTTGGGTTAAGTGAAAACTGTGTAATATATTTTATTTTTATTTTTATTATTTTTCTTGGTTTTATGGGTTTTTAGTTTGGATGGAGCAATAAGCGTGTGAAAACCAAAGGGGCCATGCGCTTTTGCTTTGTTGGTGTTGTTAAGTGTTAGTGTGAAGGTAAAGGCAATCAGATTTGTGTCAAAATGATTCAAATCAAAATGTAAATGGCGATTTGTAATGTTTAAGGAAAGTCAAGTGTGGTGGCCAAAGGGCCATATTATCAGCTGTTGATTGGTTATTGACAGTTGTTTGTAACTAACTATCTCCAATTTCTTTTCTTCTTTTTTCATTTGACATTCTGTACATCTCCCATCTAAGGGCGGCGCTAGGAATTTTAACGGAAATGGTTAGCAAAGTTTTTTGCTCGAGGAATCGAGCCTAAAATCTGTTAATGAACTAAATATATGGGAGTTTAGTGCTACTAGGTTAAAATTTAGTTGGTTACAAGGTTTAATTTGGGTGAAAACTGCTTAAAATTAACAAAAATGAAGGTAATATATGTTTTTCCCTTGAAGGCTACCCTAATTTTAGTAATGAAGACCTCCATTCGGGTGCAACCATTTCCTTTTTTGGTTGAGTTAGAGACATTCTACTAGTAGGCCTAATTTTATCAACCAATGTTTTGGTCCCACATGTATTTCTCTCTCAAATATTAGAAGATAGGTTAAATTTCACTTTACTACCCGCAAGTTTCTTGAAATTTTGACTTTACAACACAATTTTTTTCTTCTCACTTTCATTCCTGACGTTTACTTTTACTATCAATTTCATACATATGTTAGTATTTCCGTCATGTTCTCCGTTAACCCATGATGTGGCGGTCTATTTATGGGTTTGAATAATTTGTTTTTCTTTTGAGAAAGATTTCGCAGGTGGAGGTCTGGTTGATAGTCACATGGGAGAGATGGGTGTGCTTAGACAAATTTTTAGGGGGGCGAGGCAATGGTGCGGAGGGTGTTGGTGGGGTGGGGCTATTGGAGGTCCAAGAAGGGGAAGAGGGCTGAGAGAGATCTCGACATGGAGATGGTGGATTGTGGCTTGGGAGTGGGAGATGGGGGTTAGTGCTCGAGAGAAGTTATTTTTATAAAAACAAATTTATTTTACTTTTTTTTTAAATTTTAATAGTTTCCTTTTTAAGTCTACGTGCCACAATGTAAGTGAGTTCAAGTGGAATTATTAATTGTCATGTCATCATTTAACAGAGTATTTGATGGAATGACTGACATATGTATGAAAATGGTAGAAAAGTCAAACTTTAGGTATGAAAACGAGAAGAAAAAAACTTTGTGTAATAAAGTCATAATTTCAGGAAACTTGCAGGTAGTAAAGTAAAATTTATCCTAGAAGACATTCTAAGTTCGGACGTAGCTTTCAGTACAAGGCACAACTTGCCATTGGCTAGCCCTTGTTTTGATCCTCTGCTTTATGTGCTTATAAAACTTGATGGACACACCTTCCTAAATTATTAGTTTTATTTTCGAGTTGAGAAAGCCACTTGGTGCGGTGTGGTGTGGATTGGATAAAATGTGAAAGATATATCTCAACTATACAATCTTATCATGCACGGTGGTTACAATTTCCTATTTGCAGAGATCACCAGCTAACATTTCCTTGTCAAAGAAGAGTAAATTAAGCAAAAGCAGCTTCCCCATCAATTTGCCGACATCTTTCTAGTCTGACATAATAAAAATATGATACTTCTGTTTCATGGGAGCCGTAAAACTTGAACCAAACCGATGGGAATTTGTTTTGGAAGACGCAAATTATTTATAATTGTTAATCGGGGAATTGGTAACGGGAAGATAAACAAGTTCAACTTGCTTTGGATCTGTACATTTGAAGCTAATTACAGGATTTTACTTATGCTTAGGAATTGTTAAGAGACTATTACAAGGGGGATTACGGTTAAACTCCTCTCCATGTCCTCTAATAATGGTTCCTGCACGTTGGGGGACAAATCCTCTGATCTACAATGTGTAAAACTGATGCAGGAGCATAAGGGTTGGATTAAGACATTGTTCACCCGTTTTGTGTTTTTTCTTGAGATGAAAGGGTAAAGTTCCCCATTGCCTTGGCAACCATTGACTGGTCAATAAGTCAGTTTTCTTTGGTGTGTGAGCGTGCCATTGTTAGTAATGAAAATCCTAGCAGACTTCTTAAAAATGGATAACTTGCGCTCGAAGTTACTGATTTCTACACAAGTGATTGTGAATTTGGTTGAGGAATATATCCCAAGTAAGTTCTTTCCTTGCCTCAGACTGGTGAGGACTTCATAATTTATCTCAGTATAAAATTGATGGTTCTGGCCAGAATAACCGATAGGAAATTGTACTGTTTTAGGCAGAACTGCCTTTTATAAAACTATAAATATACATATCAACACTAGAAAGACAAAAAGACAGCTGAAACTCCATTTCTGCCTAGATGGAAGACTCTGATCCGGGTTGGACTGGACTGTTAACTTCAACTGCTCAGCTTCAGCTGTAAATCGATACCAAAGTTCAATTTTGGCAGAGATTTAATCTACTTTAAGCTTTGGGAGGCTTCTGAACGGGCAGAATTGCAGGTTCTTCAATCTGAAGGGACAGAAGTGGCTGTTCTTGAGGATTTGATGAGTTGGGACTGCATTGTAAAATTTGTTGAGGTTTTCATATTTGAGAAAACTCAGACTCTACTTGTCTTGACTTTTGCTGAACCAAATTTGTAACGAGAGAGATCTCGTTTTGAATGACTTATTTATCTAAGTCTGAACTTTGGGAATTCTGATCTAATGCTGGTTTTTCTTGTTTTTGTTCAAGTGAACTTTTGGTAGATTTTTGTTGTTTGTTTTTTTTATAATGAATTTAGTGTGTTTTATTCTGTTCACCCTCTCTTGTATTTATAAGGAATGCTTTGGAGTAGGGTTTCTTTCTTTTAATAATGGGCGGCAAAAATTCTCAAAAGATATTTTCATTTCATTTTTTTTAATGCAAAAGAAAAAAGAGGTTTTAATCAATTATGGCAGATAAGCTCTCAACAATAAGTTCTCAAGATCACTTCCCTGTTTTTCCTGAAAGAGAACCTAACCCCTTTTTAATTCCAACTGCCCCCTGTGAGAGCTCAAACTGTGATGGTTAGTTTGATTCTCAGTTTGAACAGTTCCCTGTCCTCTTGCTTATCTCTTTCTGAGTTTTTAGTTTGCTTATGTCTCAGGAGAATCACCTTCTTTTGAGTAGAAGAAATATCTCTGATATACATGTAAGAGGGATTTGATTTTAAGAGTTTCAGAGATGTCTCTTCCTAGTTTGCCAGCCACTGACCCTCTTTCTTTAGCTCCTAATCAACTTTGTGATAGTTGATTTTGTTGACTTTTCAAAGTCTGAAAAAAAAGATTTCACGTGGGTTTCTTTTGAGAATAGTTCCTTTTAACAGATCTGTTGATTTGTTCCTAGGTTTTTTAGAGATGGCAGTAGATTGGGCTCTTGTTTTTGATCTGTCTAGAACGTAATTGCCATTTTTGAAAAGACATGAGCTGGGCTCTCTCTTGTTCTGTTAATTTGAAGCCCAGGTCTTTTATTTCTCTTGTTTCACGGGCCATTTGAGAAGTGGGCCGGTGTGTGTTTTGCTTTTGGCCCAAACAAACATATATTTATAATTTAATTAGTTATTTCATGAGATATTGTTATTTTTATTTATTTATATAGTTTTAGGGTATCTTTTATTATTTATGTCTGATTTTATAATTAATTAGTTTACTTTTGGACCAAGTAGCATTGGTGCCCAAGTCTTGTAAAGCCTATAAATAAGGCCAATGTAATCGTTTGTAGAGGTTATTTTTGTTGATGATTAATGAAATAGTTTATTTGTGGCATGAATTTGCTACAAGATATGTGAGTTTGCATTAGCCCTAGACTTGGGTGTTCATGTGTGTTGTTGGTGACCTATGTTCGAACCCCGATCCCCATCAATTGGTATCACAGCCAGGTTTTGTTCCGTAAGTTGTTATAGCATCCTCCTAATTTCATCCATCTCGTTGTAGTTGTCGACACGACCCGCTATATCCAAAAGCCTTCCCAAGAATGCAGATCTTAAGCCACAGCTTTGATACAAATTGATGGGGATCGGGATCCGGACATAGGTCCCCATCAAACAGGGATGGACCCAGGATTTCAAAATGAGGTGTGAGCTAAATTTACCTTACGTACAAAACCTAATTGCAAATCCCTAATTGATAATTCATAACATTGAATTGAAAATCCCTAATTTATACTTCTTGAACCTTAAAAAATCCCCAAATTTCAGTAACAATAAATTGAGGAAAGAAAATTGTAAGATTCCACCAATAAAATAATTTTTTTTGCTAACATTCCACCAATAAAATATGACCCACCAAGAAAATTGAACATGTTGAAGGGCTGATGCTTGAAGTGGGGTAGACTTTAAGGTGGGCTACATGTGACTTTAGGCTGGACAATAATAAAAGCCACCTGGGCTATAGCCCAGATTAGCCTATGGTTGGGTCCATCCCTGCCATCAAAAACCCTACCCCACATTCATATCCATAGGAATGTCCCTAAAATTTTACCATAAAAAGAAAATAGAAAATAGAAACATCTAAATACCAAAGAGAAATGGAATGTTTTGTAATTGATATAACAACCGCATTCTAAGTTCTGATGGTGGTAGAATACTTATCTTCGCACTTACAAAAAAAGAAAAAGAAAAAGAAGACTCCTAAAAAATATTAAGACAAATTAAAAGGGTATTTGGAGAGCTCTCATAAAATCCTTGTTTGATTCAATGTCCTAGTGATACTAAATGCCAAAGGATGTGCTGATCACGAGCATGAGCTTAGCACACACTACAATTCCACGCATTTAGGGACTGACACTATTCATTTCTAAACACAAGAATCTTGGCCGCAAACATTTCCGGCTTCTGGGGCGAAACCTTAAATTTGAGGCCATTGGAGCCACAAAACTAATTGCCCCTTTCGTTAAGTACGAGATTAAAATGACACCAGGACAGTTGGCTTTGCATTATAACGAGAGAAACCATGGTATATTGTACTTTATAAGCCTAACCAATTAATACACTATAGCAAAACACAAGCCTAAGCATTCCCTTCTTCACATACAGAGCAAATGGAGAACAGAGCGGCTTCTCTTTTAATTCTCACAATGGCAATCTTATGCTGCGCCGGACATACGGCAGCTACCGTCAAGCATTGCCCCGACTGCGGGCACATGCGGGTGCCATACCCGCTAAGCACATCACCGGACTGCGGCAACCAACAATACAAGGTCCGGTGCAATGCAGGGGTGCTCTGGCTTGACACTCTCAACAGCTCATCATACTTAATCACATCAATTAACCCACTAACCCAGCGCCTAATCATCCGGCCGCTGGGGTTAGCGAACAACGTCACGTGCATGGCAGCTGACTTTAAGTCCCAAGGCATTTTGCTGGACAACAACCTTCCTTTCAACATCAGCAGCAGCAACACAGTCATAGGCATGAACTGTTCCAATGAAATGCTCACTCTCTCTCAAAACTGCTCATCAAACAGTCTCTGCCACGACTACATTAAGCGCAACCCGATGGCTGCCACGGCATGCAGGAAGTTTCCGTTGTGCTGCTTGTACAAGACTGGAGGGTCTAACAATGCTTACAAGATCAGGGTTAGGAAGGAGAGGTGCTCGGCTTATGTGAGCTTTGTGAATTTGGACACTTCTTCTGGGGCTCTGAGCAGCTGGCCTAAGCCTGGGGTTGAGATTATGTGGGAGCTGCCGCAAGAGCCAGAGTGCAAGCTGCCAATTGACTGTGGCGATTTGATGAACTCTGTGTGTTCGGCGGATCGGTTTGGACAAAGAAGGTGCTTGTGCAAGGCTGGGTTTCAATGGGACCCCATCAATGCAATATGTCGCAGTATGTGTCTCCTTTGCCTTCTTAATGCTTAATTATAATTAGAGTTTTGTTTTCAATTCCAGAATCCAATTTCAGATTTTGTTTTAGGTTCAGAAATCACAGTTTTCATTGAACAAGATTTGAATTTTGGAGAGAGAATTTTAGTTGCCAGCAAACATTTATTGGATCCTCCTCATGCGGTGGTTTTTATTACTGTCAGGGGCTCCTGAATAATATATTGACTATATTTTTTTGCTCAAATTTAAGAAAAAAAAAGTAGTGTAGACTGTATAGTACTGTGATCTGAGATCTTCCGAGATTTCGAAGCAAATTTTATTATATATTTGACTCGTTTACAAAATATTTATATGTTATATGCTGATCAAAGGAAATGAATTCTCTGACAAATAAAACGGCTAATACAATAACTGTCTTTTTGTGTAGACATCGAGTGTCCAGATCGGAGACGCTGCAAACGTCGAAAGAAATTAGCTCCACTCGTTGGAGGTATGCCTTGGTCACAGAAGAAATTTATACTGTTTTTATTTTTTTCTGGTTAAATGATTGGGATGAATGGTTTTTTTTCTAATTCCTTCTTAATTAGGCCTGGTCTTTGCTGCGGTTGCAATGCTTATTGGAGCCATTATTGGATCTATAGTCTACAAGCGACGTGACCAAAACGTTGCGAGATCAGCACATTTTAGCTTGACAAAGTTCCGGGAAGACATGCTAAATGCCAACAATAGTGCTGGCAAATCAGCCAAGATCTTCACAGGCAAAGAAATCACAAGAGCAACCAACAATTTCTCCAAAGACAACGTTCTTGGCTCTGGTGGATTTGGTGAAGTCTTTAAAGCCTTTCTTGATGATGGAACAATCACAGCAGTCAAGAGAGCCAAGCCTGGCAACACAAAAGGCATGGATCAAATCCTCAACGAAGTTCGAATTCTCTGTCAAGTAAACCATAGAAGCCTAGTCAAATTGATGGGGTGTTGCCTTGAGCTTGAACAGCCTCTCTTGATCTACGAGTATATCTGCAACGGTACCCTTTACGAACATCTCCATACAGGAAATTTCAACACTTCAAAAAGGGTCTCACTCACTTGGCCTATGAGGCTTACCATTGCTCATCAAACAGCTCAAGGGCTTGCCTATCTGCACGATTCTGTCATGCCACGAATTTACCACCGCGACATAAAATCAAGCAACATTTTACTCGACGACAAGCTCAATGCAAAAGTTGCTGATTTCGGGCTGTCAAGGCTTGCCATGACTGAATCAAGTCACATTACAACATGTGCTCAGGGGACCTTGGGTTACCTTGACCCCGAATATTACCTAAACTTTCAGCTGACCGATAAGAGCGATGTCTATAGCTTTGGAGTGGTGCTGTTGGAGCTGTTGACGTCCAAGAAAGCTATTGATTTTAACAGACAAGAAGAGGATGTGAACTTGGTGGTCTATGTTAAGAACATTTTGAGGGAAGAGAGACTAATGGATGCCATTGATCCTAGGATAAAAGAGGGGGCTGGCATTGTAGAATTGGAGACTATGAAAGCCTTGGGGTCGCTAGCCTCGGCTTGCTTGGATGAGCGAAGGCAGAATCGGCCCTCAATGAAAGAAGTTGCTGACGAGATTGAGTACATCATTAGTATTGTTACAAATCAGGTTTCAGCAACTTAGGTCCATGAATGGCAAAGAAGTTAGCATTGGAAAATTTTAAATTTTATTTCTTTTTCCGATAAACTTCTGGCACATGCAATCATCCGTAGCGCTTTGTATAATAACGGAGGCTATAATTTTTGGTAGAGTTTCCTTGTTGCCTTCTTGGTTGAAAATTGAAATAAAAAAATTTGCGAACTTGTAAAATAGGAAATACTAAACATAAAAACTAACAGAGATATTAAGTTGATGAGGACATGGATGCTAATAAAAATGTGAAATTGATAGAAGATGTCAAACACAAATGAAAAAAAGATTCAAATCCGGGCCAAATTAGGGAACCGTCCATTGTATTTAACCATGGGATGAGGGTAGGGATTATAAGATAATTTCACTTTCCAATATGATAGAAAGGCCAATAAGGAAGGGACAAGTGTCTAATGAAGCCAAGGAAGATCTCTTGGAATTGTTAATTGGGATTTGACATTTGTTATGGGATGCTAAACAGAGCAGGATGGTTTTAGGATCTTGAAATGTTGAGTGGACAGGGGAACATGCTCATTCAAATGCAAAAGAAGGAGTGGTATGCATATCAACTATGAGATTTTTGTTACTTCCAATATCAATCAAGTCATGATCGAACAAAGAACTGAACAATGTTCCAAGAAACAATGCCCGGATGTGGATGACCTAGATGAGTTATAGCCATTATGCTTGCCAACAAGTTCTTTGGAAACACAAAAATGACTTGTGATTCTTTTGCTTAAGGGATCTTTTAGAGTAAATCTTATTTGGTTTTGTAAATGATGTGATAAGCAATGCAATCAGTAGATCGATACAAATAATTTTATCCATTATTAACAATTAATTTTTTATATCACAAATTGGTATTGTAAATTCATCTAAATTATACCGTTAATACACCGTTTGAACGTGAATTCGTAACACCAAGTGTTCCCACAAAATCATACAGCAAGATTCTCCATTAACTGGGCCAAACAAGTTACAATGCTGCAAGCACAATGGTTATAAGGCTCACTATATTTCATCCATTTTAACCATACAATGGAGAAATTCATGTTTACAACAACTCTCCATACACTAACACTACTACTACTATCATGCAGTGCCCACTCGGTAACCGCCACGCTGCGTTGCGGGAACTGTGGCCCCACTCCGGTGCCATATCCGCTAAGCACCGGACCCTGGTGCGGCGAGCCGTGGTACAGGATCCGGTGCACCGCAGGCACACTATGGCTGGACGCTCTGAACAACTCCTCCTACGCCATCACATCCATCAACCAGGAAACCCAACGGATCACAATCCGACCCGCCAGCTTCGCCCCGAACACTTGCCTGTCAAGCGATTTCCACAGCCAAGGCATTCAGCTGGACCCTAACCTCCCCTTCAACATCACGAGCAGCAACACCGTCTTGCTCTTGAACTGTACAGACGCCATGTTGAATTTACAGGCGCCGATAAACTGCTCGTCGAACAGCCTGTGCCACAGCTTCATCAGGGACAATGCGGTCGCGTGTACGCGAGCACCGCTGTGTTGTACGTTCAGGACTGGTGGGTCCCAGACTGCTTACATCATCATGGTCTACGGAGGAGGGTGCTCAGCGTATCAGAGCTTTGTGAATGTTGATGGTCCACCAAGTGGTGCAGTGGTTGGTGTGAAGAAGACGAAGTGGCCTGAGCCCGGTGTGGAGCTGGAGTGGGTTTCGCCGGGAGGGCCCATTTGCAAGAGCCCTGTGGATTGCAAGGACTTGTTGAATTCGAAGTGTTTGGTGGATCTGAGTAGTGTGGGGGCAGAGGAGGTGCTTCTGCAATGGTGGGTTCAAATGGGACTTCATCAATGGTTTTTGTTAAAGTAAGCAAAACCCAATTTGTCAATTTGATGAATTTTTGTCATAATTAGCTCACAAAGGAGAAATTATAGAATGGAGGTTTGATTAAGCTTTACTACTGGGAGTAGAGGTCAAGTGTAAGCATGAAAAAGGCTGCAAAAATCGAAAGAAACGAACTAAACTCATAGGTAATTTGTTCTCTCCATTGGTACGATGTACATAGGGTAACGTTCTCTTGTCAGATATCTAATATGTTACTTGGTACAAATTTATCTGCTTATAGCAAATCGTTTTGCTTATTTAAAAGTCTTCTTCAGGTATGGCAATGGTTGTGGGAGGAGTTGTGGGCATAATGGGGATTGTAGGGTACACCAAACGTCACCGTTTGAAGAGAAAAGCACAAAAGGGTTTGATGAAGAAGCAGGAGCGGAAGATATTATCTTCGAAAATCAGGTGATGAAGGAAGAGAGGTTCATGGATGTTGTTGATCCAGTTATTAAAGAGGGCGCTAGCGAGTTAGACTTGGAGACAATGAAGGCACTGGGATTTCTAGCAGCATCATGCTTGGATGAGCAGAGGCAAAACCGTCCTTCGATGAAAGAGGTTGCTGATGAGATTGAGTAATGATCGGCATTGTTACAAGTGATGTTCCTGCATCCTAGTTATTTTTGTGAGCACAGTCATGGCAACTTGTCTAAATCCTAATTTTAGAAACTATGGTCCTTTTTTCTTTCATCAACTGTAGAAACTTTTCTATGATTCAACTGCCTTACAGGCATTGTAGGTTAAAAAGTCATTTTCCTGTCTTGCCTCGATCTATCTACACACCCTTCTAGTTTCAGGTTGGTTTCTAATCTAAGCCAGACCTCCATCTGTCTCTTCAAATCAGGGGGCGTAAATATAGTAGCACTACCAAGTTGACAAACACATGAACACATAACCAACAAAGAAAGTGTAGCAGAAAAGGGAAGCAAAGCTCAGATTGTGTGATCGTTGATCGTGGTGGGGTGTTCGCCTACTCCAATCGCACATCTGCTGTGCATTGCAGGAGGATGTACATCCCCGCAGGTCCAGTAAATCTATGAACATTAACTAATGCTAAATTCCATGCCTAAATTCCGGACGTCTAGCAAACGAGAAGTCACATTGAATCTGCGGAACTTCTTCAGCACATCTTCGTACATTAGGTGGATCAAGATATGATGCATGAGCAGACACATTGAAACAAAAATAGGAGGATGCTGAATTGCCCCAAAAAAAAAGGCATGTTACAGAAAATTTCTCATTTACAAGTTGAAATAAATGAATGCTGTAACATACATGTGTGTCAATGGTAGGGCAGAAAAACATGAGTCTCTAAACCGATGCCAATAAGATCCAAAACATCACGTGAGAAGATATGGCAGTAAGGCCCCAGGTGACAAAAGCAAATGCAACTGCAAACTTGTAGTTGATGCATGGGAGATGGTATTCCCCCTTGCAGAAATGTAGGTCTCTTGAAAACAGAACTGTAAGCCCAGCACAAGAGCATGCAGCAGCTAGTGATAAAGTAGCTGTTACCTGAACATTTGAAATTTTTATTTATGTCAGCAGCCAGTATACAATCTCAAACATGCCCAAACTAGAATATCAGCGACAACTTAGCAGACGCACGTGCAAGCATCTGATTCATATTCTAGCAAGAACTAAAAGATGCTCAGAAAAGTAAGATGTGAAAAGAGTTTAAGAGACAAGTGAAATACCCAATCACCTACAACAAATAGGCTCACTAGGATTGGATTTTGAAGGTCTCTCTTTTTCCACAAAGCATAAATATCAAGACAAGCAAGCCCCAAGCTCCATAGCAGTTGAAGCCCCATTGATGCAATCAAATAGCTGAACCATAGGACAGAGATCAACATAAAGTTTGTGCAGAATAATTAACTAGCAGTGAACCCTAGTAGTTAAAACATATGCAAGAAAAAGAAAGTGATTCATGACCCAGACCCATCTTAGAACCATCAGGAAGAATCTAAAAATAGCAGTTCACTATAATCAATAACATTAGGGTTCAAGAAGCAAATATGAGGAGCTAACAAAAGTGAAAAATTGATACCAATTTAACATAATTCCACACATAAAAACAATAGAATCGCTACAAAAAACAACACGCTAAAAACAGGGGGAGACGTAGGATTATTTTGGAAGAATATGAAAAGTTAGAAAAATTCCAAACAATGTATTTGTCAATTACTCATGTGTGGACAATTTCTGCATTTATGTATGTACCAACAAGGCAGTGGATTATGCGATAATCTCTTTCTAAGGCGAAACAGAGAAATCAGACGAAGCCTCCCCGACTGATCCATACAGTTTCGTACACGAAAACATAACGTCAACAAAATTGCTTGGACTGGTCTCCCATTCGACTATCAAAGAGTTGTGTCTTCAATGCAATGTCAAAGCAATAAACCCAACAAAACAGCAGCTTAAACCAATCAAAAACAGTTCATCACTGGAATCAAACCAAAACATATTACACAGGCAAAAACAAAACCCATCAAAGTCCAATTACAAGCATTTTTTAAATAAAAAAAACCAACAGATGATTATCAGATATGTGGCGTCCTTATCATATCCAAATAATTTCTGGGTAGACTAAAAATGCGGGGAACTGAAATAACGAAAAACAGAAAAACCAAATACCAGAAAGCAGTGAAGGTAGCGAAGCCGGCAGTGGTGACCATGACTGAAATGGCAATAGAAGCGCATGAAAATTGGCCTATCCTGAGCAATAACCCACTCACCGACCCAGGCCTCCCAATCAGCTCCTTCATTTCTGAACCAGACTGAGCAGAGACTGCAGAAGGGCCCTTTCTCCAAACAAAAGGGCCCTTAAATCCAAAACCCTAGAATTCACAATCCTCCTCCCATCACACCTTAATCTCCCCCAATCTCCTCCATATTTTTCTCAACTTTCCGATTTCGAACCAAGTAAATTATTTTAATTGGATTCAATTAGATTCAGCGAATATCTATCACGCATTGATTGATTCCGATTTTGGAAGCAAATCACAAATCACGAAGACGTAATGTTTGATTATGTCTTGATGAATTCGGTTTTGAAAACGACGGGAAAGTATCAATTCCGGTGGACTGGAGCTGTCTATTTTAGTAAGTAGTTTAATTGAGGAGGCACGCTCACTGACACTTCCGACGTGGACTTCCTTTTCTATATTTCTGTTGGTATAGTGGAGGTGAGGTTCCTGTGCATGCGAGACTACCCAGTCTGGGTGGGCTCGCCCACTTAGGTGTATTGAATTTGCTGGCGGGGAAATGGTAGTGGTTAGGACCACGTATTGTCAGTGGTCTCGGAAACACTGGATTTGTAAGCTTTATAAAGTACCCGCCACTTGGTTCGGCGCAGCGACCCACCCAATATTTTTTTGGGGTTATACAGGTGGCAAAGCCCAAACAGACCCACCCAATTTTAAACTCACACATTGCTGCACATAAAATTGCTCAAACGTCAGTTTTTTGGCGAAATTCTATAGTGATGTGTCATATATGGGCTCTTCTCTTATTGAGGCATGGTAAGAGAGCTAAAGGTATATAAGCAAGGCAAAATCAGCGACTGCAATATGAATTTTTCGTGCTCTCTCTGCACTAAAACTAAAAAACTGAAATGATTATCAAACGAGCCTTTATTTTTAAAATTAACCCATTTTTCTTTCACAGATTAAAGAACTGCCATTCATTTTCTTTTCTCATTTGGAACCTGGGAAAATACCACATACCCAATTGCGTAAAGTCTTTGATTTTCTGTGGATAACCAGGGAAATAGGTACAATTTGGTAAGCAATTCATTTGGTTTGCTTTAAATTTTGTTGTGATTTTGAAAATCATTGTCTGGGTTTTCGTTTACTGCCTTGTGTTGCCTGAAAACTTTAATTGTTATTGTATTTTGTTTACTTTTAATCAGCTGCTTTCTTTCTGTACTTGCTTGCATAAGTTATTTTATATATTTATTGCTTCCTATTGGGGTTTTACTCTGTATCTAGTAGCTTTGATTGAAAATATTGTACATTCTTGAATGGTCATTAGTTTGGTTGGTTGAACTTTTGTTTCTCCTTTGATATATTTTTGATATGTTTTAACTTCTATGTTGATGTGAATTATAGATTTCTTATTTTATTTTGCATGCTTAATTCAGAGAGATTGAAGAACTAGAGCAATTTGGTTCATTAGGAATATAAAGAAAAGGGAGATGCTTTTTTACTTTTGCAGTGATTGCTATTTTGGCAATGCATAATCCAACTTCCATTTCCTTCTAATTTTCTATTTTATAATTTATAGTTCTGCTAATACTGATACACTTTTGTTGAAGTAAATTTGAATAAGTTTTCTCCTTTTCAGATTTAAGGGGTATATTCTTGTGTCCTTGAGTTGAAGTGGTGGTCTTGGATTCACTTTGACTATTTCAAATTTGAAAGGATTATCAGCTTGACACAGGCCAGTGAATTAGTCAATCATTAAGCTGACGGGCACTTCTGAAGCAGTTCAAGTTTTTTGCGGGCTGTACCACGCCTTTGTAGTACTGATTTGTAAAATTGTAAACAAAGGAAGAATATTTGATTACTGGATGATTTTCTCTTTACAGTATCTATACACAGATTTCCTACAATTAAGAGACTAATAAAGGAAACCAAATCATGTATTATCAATTACATATAATTTGGATAATCACTCAATCCCTAATATATTGGGATTTAGTTGACTTCTCAACACTCTCCCTCAAGTTGGAGAGTGAATATTGTGAACTCCCAACTGCACACCATAGCCGAAAAATCTTCTTTTCCCAAGGCCTTTGTAAACACGTTTGCTACTTGTTTTTGAGATGAAATATATCTTGTAATCACTGTTCCATCCAGAATTTTATCCCTGATAAAATGACAGTCCATTTCAATGTGTCTAGTTCTGTCATGGAACACTGGATTGGCGGATATGTGCAGCGCAACTTGGTTGTCCCAGTGTAAAGTAGCTGGTCCTGGGTCTGGGAGTTTCAGGTCTTGCAATAGATAGCGCAAAGTAATTTCACAGCAAGCACCTATCATTGCATGATATTTAGCCTATGCTGAAGAAAGAGATACAGTTTTTTGTCTCTTTGTTCTCCATGAGATCAAAGAATTTCCAAGAAACACGCAGTAGCCACTTGTTGACCTTCGTGTTGTTGGACATCCCGACCAATCTGAATCACAATATGCTGTTAACTTCATCTCATTTCCAGTTGGAAAGAAGAGTCCTTGTCATGGGGTACTTTTCGGATACCTCAAAAGTCTCATGGCGGCATCTAAGTGTGGCTTGCGAGGCTCATGCATGAATCTACCGAGTATATGTACTTAATACATAATATCAGGTCTTGTTATGGTGAGATAAATCAGATGTTCCGCCAACCTTCTATACTTTGCTGGATCATGAAGTATCTCACCTGTATCAAAAGAAATTTTGGAATTTTATTCCATGGGGAAAGCTTACTGGAGGTGCCCCCAAAGCTCTTCCATCTTTAATAATGTCTAGTGCATATTTTCTTTGACAAATAGAAATACCTTTCTAGGAACGTGAGACCTCAATGCCTTAAAAATATTTAAGATGACCAAGGTCTTGATCTTAAAACGAGTATTAAGAAATTGCTTGAGAGCATTAGTGGCAGACAAATTATTTCCTGTAATCATGATGTCATCAACGTAGATCAAAAGAGCGGTGAATAACTTGTCATTTTGCAGGTAAAAAGCGAATAATCGGCTTTGGATTGAGTGAAACCAGTAGCTTGTATGGCTTCAATGAACTTAGAAAACCATTGGCAAGATGCTTGCTTTAATCCATACAAGGATTTGTGAAGGCGACATACCAAATGTTCCCCCTGTTGTCGAAGACAAGGAGGAGGTGACATATAGATTTCCTCATAAATCGCCATGGAGGAATGCATTGTGGACATCAAGTTGATGCAGATACCAGTTGTGGGCAGCGACAAGAGCAAGAACACATTGAACAGAAACCATCTTGGCAGTAGGAGAAAAGGTGTCATGGTAGTCAAGACCTTCAATTTGAGTGTATCCTTTGGCCACGAGACGAGCCTTATAGCGTTCAATGGTGCCATCAGAGCGATGCTTGATTTTATAGACCCATTTGCATCAAATGGGTTGCTTCCCTGGAGAAAGGTCTAAAATATCGATGGTATAGGAAATATCGGTAGTCCAAAAACATGGAAATTTCAATGGAAATATCGGGATATTATCTATATCAATAAAAATTGAATAAAAACCATAGAAATTGTAAGAAAAACTTGAAAATTTTTATTGAAACTTTGGAGGATGTTTATTTAGTCAATTATCTATTAGTTTATCACAAAAAATTGGAAGGACATGCATTGCATGATGGGTTAACTGATTTAAATTGATTATATAGCGAGCTGACAAACATTGTGAGTGTAGAAAATATGTAGTAATTAATGAAAGAAGATTAAACACACCATAATCATTTATATATAATGATGTACTATAATATTTACACTTTATATATTATATGATAAAATACATGAGTGACTTAGTACCAAACAGAGTTCTTATGAGGTTCAAATTTTTCATTATGTTTATCATCTCTATCTGTAGAGTAAGTGTATTGTGAAGAGTAGTCATCAAATGATAAACCCCAAAATAGTTTTGCATGTAATTGTTCAAAACAAAACAATATAATATACATATTTTAGCATATTATCACAAAAACATAAGTAACATGGTGGTTAAGTCGTTGGAGGAGTGAAATGGCAATGGTTTGAATCCCTTTTGTGTGTGTGTGTGTGTGTTTTTTTTTCATTTTTTCCATTACATTAATATTTTCGATATTTTCGATATTATAGCGATATTTTGACAAAATATTGCTGAAGTGTGAGCGAAATTATCGACATCAATATTTTCTGATATTATCGATATTTATACGATATGTGTATGGATACGTTCCGAATATCCGTGACCTGAAAAAAACGATAATATCATAGATATTTTGTCGATATTATCGATATTTTAGACTATGCCTGGGAGGAAGAGAAGTGAGGGACCAAGTCCGATTGGATTTTAAAGCTGCAAGTTCAGATTGCATGGCCTCTTACTAGTGTGGATTAGAAACAACCTCTGCAAAAGTGTTAGGTTCCATTGACCGACTAATATTGGCAATGAAAATAAAATGTGAGGGTGAGTAATAGTGATAAGAAAGAAAGTTAGAAAGGGGATAACAAGTACCTGTGGTGCTATAGGGCAAGGAGTCCGACGATTGGTCAAGTGTGGGTAAAGCGATCTGTGAGCAAATATAATCTTGGAGATGGGCTGGTTTAACCTTTTGGCGAAGAGAGTGGTGGATGGGAGAAGAAGGTGGTGATGGAGGTGATGTGGCAACGGTGTCGGAGGGGAAAACGGGGGCATCAGTGTCGAAAGAAGCCGTGAGATCAAGTGGGGTGGAAGGAGATGGAGTACGTGGTGAGGGTAGGTCTGGAGAGAGAAGTGGAGTAGATGACAAATCAGATAAAGGAAGAGGTAAAACATGAGGTGGAGGTTCTGTGTGAGAGGAAGAAGGTAGACTTTTGAAAGGAAAATGACTCTCATGAAAAACGACATCGTGACTGGTAAAATATTTTCTAGTGGTAAGATCAAATAATTTGTAGGCCTTTTGACCAGAAGGGTAACCGAGAAAAACACAGCGCTTGGCTCTAGGGTCAAATTTATGGGAAGGTTGGACAATGGTGGCATAGGCTAAACAACCAAAAATGCAGAGGTGAGTATAAGAAGGAGGTTTATGGTACAACTTCTCATAGGGGGATTGCTTGGATAAAAGGGAAGTGGGTAGACGATTGATCAAGTATGTGGTGGTGAGAAAATACTCCCCCCCCAAAAAGAAATAGGGAGATTTGCCTAAAAACGTAAAACCCTAGCCATCTTTATGATATGTTGATGCTTGCGCTCTACAACACCATTTTTTTGTGGTGTGTAGACGCAAGTATGTTGATAGATGACCCCATGTTCATGAAAGAAATGGCGCATGGAAGAAAATTCACCTCCATTATCAACCTGTATTTGTTGTATTTTAGAATTGAATTGTGTTGGACAAAGGCAAAAAAGGATTTAAGCAGGTTCTGTGTTTCAAATTTATGTTGCATGAGAAATAACCATTGTGAACCTAGTAAAGTCATCCACAATAGTTAGAAAATAACGGGGCCCTGAAAAAGATGCAGTTTTATAAGGCCCCCAAATATTGCAATGAATAAGAGAGAATGGTTTGGAAGAGGAAATGGAACTTAAATTAAAAGGTAATTGAGTTTGTTTTGCCAAAGGACAAACCTCACAAGCATTATTTGAAAAAGGGAAATTCAAAACATTCTTAGCTAAAGATTGTGAACGAGAAGATGATGGATGACCTAAATGGCTATGCTAGAGGTGAGAGGCATGAGCATGGTTTGCAAGATGGTTGGAGGAGGGAAGGCTTGTCTGACATCAAAGAACCAGATAGTAAAAGCCTCCTTGCTGTTTACCCAGACCAATCGTCTTCCTCGTAGCCAAGTCCTGCAAAATGCACCAATTAGGAAAAAAAGAGATGGAACAATGAAGTTCTTGTGTAAGTTTGCTTACAAACATCAAATTAACTTTGAAGCTAGGCACATACAATAATTTTTTTTAAAGAAAGAGATGAGTTGAGAGAGGCATTCTCAACAGAATAATAGAAGCCTTTTCACCGCTAGGCAATACAACTGGTGGAATGGAAGGGTTGGCATTTATGGATGTAAAAGAATGTGAGGTAGATGTAATATGACTTGTTGTGCCACTATCAATCAGCCAACAGTGTAAAGGTAAAAGGGAACATGACAAACTTGCAGAGTTTTATTGTGGCTCTTTCTTATCATTCACCATGGTAAGCATCTGCTAATACTCATTATTAGAGAGGTTTGGCATGGCAGACTTCAACTCTTACATAGTGGGATTGTTTTGCACGTGATTGACAGAGGAACTTGAGCCTTTCTTGTTTCTGTTGGATTTGTGCAGTCAATGCCCGGGAGGATAGCCATGAATTTTGTAATAGGCATCAATTGTGTGATGGTCTCGATTGCAGTGACTGCAACGAAGAGGCTTGCGATTGGAGTTTGAAGGTCCCTGGTGTTGGCGAACAGCCATTGCAGCAGGTCCGTAGGCAGCATGAGGAGTCCCCAGTTGTCGTTGCTTCTCCTCATGGGAAATTAAGGAATAGATGTTGCGTATTTACGCTAGTGGCTACATAAGGAGAATCTGTCCACGAGCAGCAGCATATGAATCGTTTAGACCCATAAGAAATTGCATCACCCTATTCCTCTCATCGCGTTCAGCGTGGTCTTTCATGGCACCACAGGTACAAGTCGGCACGTCACTGTATGACACCAACTCATCCCATAGTCCCTTAAGTCTTGTGTAATAAGCTGGAAAGTTCGAGGAACGTTGCTTTGAGAGAAACGCTCTTTCAAATCTTCCCAGATATCATGAGCAGTGTCTGAGTAGATGACATTATCAGCTATGTCTTGATCAAGGGAATTCAAGATCCAAGATAGGATCATATCATTGCAACATTGCCAAAGAGAGAACTCATCATGATGGTTTTCTTCGAGGGCTTCGTGACGGCGCCATCAACAAACCAAGTTTGTTCTTGGCACTCAAGGAGATTCGCATGGAGCGACACCATGTCCCATAGTTGTCTCCATTCAGTGGCTTGGATACAAGAACCATGCCAGGATGGTCTGAGTGATGAATGAAAAAAGGGTTGGAAACATCAGACTTGTTTCCATCCTTGGAAGAAGTTTCAATTTCTTTGTCGTTAGCCATGGTAGAGAACTAAAGAAAACAAAGAATGAGGAAGCTGGGATTTTGACGGTAAAGAGAAAAAAACAAGAGCTAGGATTTCTCCCACTCTGACACCATGTAAAATTGTAATCAAAGGAAGAATATTTGATTACTGGATGATTTTTTCTTTACTGTATCAAGGGGTATCTATACACAGGTTTCCTACAATCAACAGATTAATTAATAAAGGAAAGCAAATCATGTATAATCAATTACATATAATTTGGATAATCACTCAATCCCTAATGGTGCATTCTCATATTACTAAATTTTGTGGACTAGAAACATTCTCTAGTTGAACTTTTGTGGTATGCAATTGTATATATCAAATTCGGTTTAGATACACGATTGTATTCATGTGTGCATATATATATATATATATACGGAGAGAGATTCAAATATGGGACACAATGTTTGGGCTCACCCTGCAATGTTGTCTAATGAGAGGAGTTGTCTGTTTTTTGGTCCACTTGAAGAATAATGCTCGCAAAAATCATCCAAATTGGAAAACATTTAGCCATGTGATTATCATCACAATTATTTTAGTGTTAATTAAAAACACTGTATTTATTTTATCCCAATTAGATGTCTAAATGGTTTTGATTTAATTAATTTCTGCTAGGATGATCCTTCAATTAGATGTCAAAATGGTTATGATTGCTCGTTTATGACTAGCTTAATTTTTGTTTATGACCATATTATTAACAATATATTATTAACAAAATGGTCTAGTTGTCTCTGCTAAGAAAATTAAGTTGTTTCAAACTAATATTCGTTTTCTTGGTTTCAATATTTGTCAGTCACAGATCAGTTCAATTGATAGAGTTATCCAGTTTGCTGAAAAATTCTGAGATCAAATTCTTGATAAGAGTCAGCTTCAGAGATTTTTAGAGTCTCTTAATTATGTATCTGATTTCTATCAAAATCTGAGAAAACAATGTAAGCCCTTATTTGACAGATTGCAGGTCATCAGTCCATACAAAAATTGTCAAACAAATCAAAGTCCATGTCAAGACACTTCCCTGTTTTGGTATTCCTTCAGTCGATTCATTCAAAATAGTTGAAATTGATGCCTCTGAAATAGGTTACAGAGGTATTCTCAAACAAAAAGGTAGCCCAAATCAGCCCGAACAAATTATTCGTTTCCATTCTAGAATTTGGACTCAGTTGCAATCCAATTATATTACTATTAAGAAAGAAATATTATCTATTGTATTATGCATTACTAAGTTTCAAGATGATTTATTAAATCAAAATTTTTTAATCAGAGTTGATTGTAAATTTGCAAAACATGTGTTAGAAAAAGATGTTCAAAATATTGCATCCAAACAGATTTTTGCAAGATGGCAATCAATTTTAAGTATTTTTTATTTTAATATTGAATATTTGAGAGGAAGGGGACTAGAACCAGAGGGGATTAGCATAGATAGTAAGAAAGCATACATAATAGAAAATGCGGAATTTATGCATGAATGAAATTAATGCATAGATGAAAATATGAATAATTGAAAACAAAATACTTAAAATTACTTACGGTATCAGAGCTGTAAGAGTTGAAGAGTCATTCTAAGTCTGCAATTCATTCCGCCCAAGTAGTTGGTTTAAGCTTTTGAGTCGAAGTTTTTCAGTTTCTTCTTCTACTTTCTTCTTATTTTCCAGGTCACCTGTCCTTCTCTCTGGTCCAAACAGTAAGTCCTAGAGTCCAAACAGTAAGTCCCAGGTAGAGGCATGAGCGGTTGCGGCCTGAGCGGAGAGAGAGAGAATCACTAGGTTCCTTGTTAATTAATGAGTCAGTTTTAGAAGTCCTTGTTCACCTTCTTCTTTAGAAGTTGAACCTAGAACTTGAGCCATAATGAGTCGCTTATTTAGAAATAACCCTTGTAATTCTGGCATCTCTAGAACCAGTATTAGTCGTCTCCCAGAGATAGTTAATGAAGAACAATTAGAATATGATTCTAGTCATGAATTAGATTTTAGAGATTGGAATATGCCTAAAGTCTCCAGTCAAGACATTTATAAGAAAAAAATGGGCACTTTCTAGTTTCAAGTCAACTACCCATGTCAAAATAGTTGAACAAGTTTATGCTTTAAGTAAAGAACATGAAACATGCCAGTTGCTTAATCTTGAGTCAATTAAGAAACATAAAAATGATGGAAACAATTTCCTACATATTGGTCTAGTTCAAGTTGCAGTTAAGCCACTTACCATATTAGGATTAAAAGCTTCTATCCTTCTATGTATTCGTGATTCTAGATTCACTAATTTTAGCGACAGTACGCTAGGAATAATTGAATCAAGTATGTTTAATGGACCAGTTCATTTTGATTGTTACCCAGATTTTACAGTCAGTCTTAGTGATCCTCATATTTTGAAAACTTTAACTTTAAATATTAAGACTTCCGGGTATCAAGTCTTGCCAGGAACCTAGCCATTAGCCCTAGTCTATAGAATCTATTACAAGGTCACAGGAACTAAAATGAATTTCCAAGCCCTTAATAAGAGTCCTAAAGATCAAACTCCATTAATTCAAAGTAGTAAACCCGAGGCAAATATAAGAGTCCCTCACACATCAAATGGTCAGAAGTCACCCTTCCTCTTGATTGGACACTTACCACTGAGAATCAACCTGCCCTAATCCAACACAATTTAAACAATTTAGTTTATATCCAACAATATCTAGATGGCACAGTCAAAATCAATTTTGGAAATCAACCTCCACAAAAGTCCACAGTCCCAGTTACAACAGTTGCCTACACTTCGTCAATCCCAGAGACACAATCCTGCTAGGCATTCCTTTGCAGCTTCCTCCTCTACTCTAGAACGAGATCTAGAGTTAGAAAAAGCAATGATAGATTTTAAATTAGAATCCCTAAGAAAAACTTCCCAAGTCAACCATCCCTGTTATGGTAAACAACCAGTCAAAGAAGAAAATAAATCTGAGTCTCCTGAGTCGCCCACACAAACTCACTGGGCGCATTCTTTTTTGACTAGGTTCATGGAAATCGGGAGGATTCTGAACGACTGGGATGATTGGGATGGACTGGCTTGTGCTTTCTGTTTGTTTTTTCTGCCAGCCATTGCTTATCCTGCAGAAATTCTCTAGTGAGGAAATCAGGAATAGAATTCTCACTTCCTTTTCAGATCAACACCCAAGTTGCCCAGTCGCCAATCCCCCTTCGGAAGTCATCCCTATATTTCCCAAAAGACAGTACCCATCTTTTCATAATTGAGTATGTTCTTGATAATATTGCTGATCCAGTCACATTAGCAAAACACTATTTCCCCCCCAAATCACCATTTTATGCCCTAATGTCCTTACAAATCCCTCAAATATTACAGGGACATCCTCCATGAAACCCAATCAGTTGAAATTAAGCTTATCAAAGACCTCGAGAAACCCCACATCATTCTATACCATTCTATTTACATTCACAAAATCATGAGTCAAGAAGAATTTGGTTGCCATCCTTATGATATGAAAACCCTCCAGTACAACTATGCTGATTACGTTGAAGCATTGTACACTATCTTCCTCCACCAAAGAGTTGATTTTAGTCACTCTTGGTTCATCAATTTTGATAGTAAATTCAAGAGTCCCTTTCCCTTTTGGTTTCTTCATTGGTGGGAAAACATGGCCCAGTCGCTGATATCCTTCCTACCCAAATCCATAATTTAACCAATTATTTTTCCAGTAATATAAATTTAATCAGTCAGAATTATTCTTTCCCAAATTACTCCTTTTCATTGCCAGATACAAAGTCCCCTGGATATTGAAATGGGACTATCATGCAAATTGGGAATCCAGAGTTTTATCTTGCTAGTTTTCAGTCAAATGGTGGGATAAATTCAAAGTTGAAAGAGTTGCAGATTATGTTTACAGAGATTTTCCTTCAGTTGCACAACCTTCGAAGACTAAACCCACCTCTCCCTGTGGATCTTCTTCTCTCTCAAACCGAGGGAAAATCAAAGTTAGAATTGCAAGAAATCTCCAGACAGTTGATTATTCAAGCCTCACAAATGGATGATGATGATGATGATGATGATGATGCTACCCCAAAATCAGAGTCATCTCCTAGTCAACCTCAGTTGCCTACTAGTCAAAAGAGTCCAGCTCAAAAGATGCTTTGGGCAGACTATCAGGACAGTCAGATCCCTATGATTTGAGCTCCGACTAGTCAAAAGTTTTTTCCAATTTTAAAGCACTTAGTAAAAGCAAATGCTTTCGCGTGTCTCTACAGTCAGATTCCCCCGACAGTCATCATCAAAAGTAAAAGTAAAAGTTGCTCGTGCCTCTACAGAAAGATCCTCAGTATCCAATGCTATGAATAGTTCAGTTGTTTTCTTTTTAAGGGGCTTTGGCCTCATTTGTAAGCAGAATACTTTTTTAGTTTTCTTCTCAGTTTTCAAAGCTTTCCTTAAGACTCCCTCAAAGAGAGCTATCAGTGTAAAACCGAGTGCTACTATGTATCCTCCTTACTATCAATAAAATCTTCCAATCAAGATTTTCAATAAGTATAATGTTTTCAATTATTCATATTTTCATATATGCATTAATTTCATTCATGCATAAATTCCGCATTTTCTATTATGTCTGCTTTCTTACTATCTATGCTAATCCCCTCTGGTTCTAGTCCCCTTATGATATGTATATATATAAGATAAAGTGAAAGTGATTTTCCTTTACCAAATCTTGAACAGAAAAGCCAATTCAACATAATGCCCTTTTAGTCATTATACACGCTCACAGCACTTTCACAAAAAAATTTAGCAAACACTCAGAAACTGATTATTGTCAAACAACACTTATAAAAAAAAGTTTACCAAACACCAAATTGCTTTCTCTCACAGCAAGGCCCCGTTTGGGATTGCTTTTTTTGGCCAAAAACCTGCTTCACTTTAAAGTTAAGCAATTTGTTGTGAATTGATTGCAAGCACACATTTCGCACAAGTAATACAGTGATAAGTGAAGTGTTATTCCCATGAAGAGTGATTTAATTTACTAAGTACCAATTGTGATTAACCCAAGACTTTATTGAACAATTGAATGACGAGATTTGATTGATTATTAACTAAAACAATGAATAAAAGCAAGCGTAGAAAAATAAAGTAGTAAGATACAAGTTATGAGAGCACTAGAGCTTTCGATTTCACCATAGCCAATTCTACCCAGTTCCCTTAGCATGTTAATCCTAATTATTCTCCATGTTTGAAAATGGTACTTAGGTGACGAGGGGTAAATTTAAAAGATATTCAACCAAGAACGCAGCAAACTTCACACACTCTAGACCTTGACCAAATACTCTTATGACTAGTCAACTGTCATATATGAATTATACCAAACAATAACATACACAGAGCACACAAAGATGTACCTGCAAGCCTAGAGAATTACTAGTGACAACCTAGGCACTCAGAAGGACCCTCAATCTAGGCATCCCATGTGCTAGCAACAACTATGGTGAAAGTGTGTGAAGACCAAACAACAGAATCAAGCAAACACCAAACAGCAGAAAAAGATGACTAGTCAACTGCACAAACCCAGATGACTAGTCAACTGTCAAGAACACAAACCCAGAAAATTTACAGAGTTGGAAACCAGAAACTGTTTACCCAGAACCCACCATTGGGAAAAACTGGGGTCATCAACCGACCAGGCAATCCACTAAGTAGAAAAAGATTCTTACAAAGGAACACAAGCAAGCTCAAGAAAAACCTAGATCTATTTAGGAAGATGAGCTATACCTCTTTTGTGCAATCTTCTTCTCCAACTTAGCAAAGCTTGAAGCTCAGTTCTTCATGGCAATGGCAGCTCCTTCTCCAGCTCGTTCATCCCATGGCACTAGCTTGCAAGCTCCAACACAAACCGAAACCAAATTTGGATTCAAAGGAGAATGACCAATTTCTTCAAGAAACCATACTCTTGAAGAAATCAATCTTGAATCTGACCTAGATATAAATGATAGAATGATTTAAGTAGCTAGATGCAGATTTGTGTTTCAAATGCAGTTTTTCAAAAAGAAATCAATTGGAAAAACTCATAGATGAAATAAGATGGTTCTCTCGAGGAAGAAGAAGCGAAAGATGGCAAGCCAAACTTTCCAAAACTTCCACCCAAAAGAGACAACACCCAATGACCAAAAACGTAGCCTTTACAGCCAAAAAATTCCTTAGGTCAGAAAACACAGATGGCAGCAGAGAGAGAGAAAGAGGAATAGGACAAAACAGTTTGTTATCCAGCTGGAAATCCTACAGAGCAAGGATGACTAGTCATCTGAGAAACGGATGACTAGTCATCATTTTTATGAAGACTGTTTTATGAAATGATATGCAATGCCAATACCTTTGTCAAATTGCTTGAAACCTCCATACAACAGAAGTTAGAGAAGAGCACCAAGAAAAGGTTTTCCTTAATCTAAACTTGAGCTTGATAAATAACACCCCAGCTTCTATTACAAAAATGGGGAAAAAAAAAAAAAAAAAAAAAAAAAAAAAAAAAAAAAAAAAAAAAAAAAAAAAAAAAAAAAAAAAAAAAAAAAAAAAAAAAAAAAAAAAAAAAAAAAAAAAAAAAAAAAAAAAAAAAAAAAAAAAAAAAAAAAAAAAAAAAAAAAAAAAAAAAAAAAAAAAAAAAAAAAAAAAAAAAAAAAAAAAAAAAAAAAAAAAAAAAAAAAAAAAAAAAAAAAAAAAAAAAAAAAAAAAAAAAAAAAAAAAAAAAAAAAAAAAAAAAAAAAAAAAAAAAAAAAAAAAAAAAAAAAAAAAAAAAAAAAAAAAAAAAAAAAAAAAAAAAAAAAAAAAAAAAAAAAAAAAAAAAAAAAAAAAAAAAAAAAAAAAAAAAAAAAAAAAAAAAAAAAAAAAGCTAACCTCCTTTGTGCAATCTTCTTCTCTCAACTTAGCAAAGCTTGTAGCTCAAGTTCTTCTGGCAATGGTAGCTCCTTTCTCCCAGCCCTTTTTTTTCGTTTTTCATCCCATGGGCACTAGCTGCAGACTCCACCAACCGACCGAACCAAAATTTGGATTCAAAGAGAATGACAATTTCTTTCTTCAAGAAACCCCCAGCTCTTGACGAAATCATCATCTTTTGAATTTGACCTAATATACATGTAGAAATTTAAGTAGCTAGATGCCGATTTTTGTGTGTTTCAAATGCATTTTCCAAAAGAAGATCCTTGGAAAAACTCATGATGAAAATAAAGGTTCCTCTCGGAGAAGAGAAGCGAAAGATGGCAAGCCAAACTTTCCAAAACTTCCACACAAAGAGACACCCAAATGACAAAATCGTGCCTTTACAGCCAAAAAATTCCTTAGGTCAAAACCAGATGCAGCAGAGAGAGAGAAAGAGGAATGGAGGACAAAACCAGTTTGTTAATCCACTGGAAAATCCTACAGAGCAGCTGACTATCCATCTAGAAACGGATGACTAGTCATCCTTATTTATGAAGACTGTTTTATGAATGATATGCACATGGGGGGGGGGGCACAATACCGTTGTCCAAATTGCTTGAACCTCCATACCACAGAAGTTAAGCGAAGAGGCACCAAGAAAGGTTCCTAATCCTAAATTGTGAGCTATAAAAACAACACACAGTCCTATACAAAGTTGTCAAGGGAAGCCAAAGAAAAAGTAAAAACCATACATTAACATGTTGACAGTCGTTTTCCCTACTTTATTCTATCCTCATTCGTGGTTATACCAAAAGTATTCTTATTACCAACCCACTCTATCCCTAGTGATGGAATCAAGATAATAGAACCAATTAAACTCCTTGGAAAAACTGCAAAACAACTACATAAGTCATGGACAAACATCCCTATCTAATCATATAACTATTACAAGAAGCAACCCAAATTGATATACTATCGCCAATTTTGCATCAAAACAATTAAATATTGGCCAAACATTCAAAGCATTAAGCATGGTAATAGATAACTCAACATGGAAAAATACATGAATTAACATTAACTCAAGTAATTGAGTAATCATGGCTGGCTACATCGAGCCCTACAAAAAGAAATTAGTTCATGACAACTTTAATAAAAACATGATAAACAATTCATAGGAAAGAAAAAACCAATTGAAGATTTGATTTATGCACGACACAACTCAGCTCCAGTCGTCTTCTTTGTCTCTCTAAGACTCTCTCTCCTTTGAGTGTTTCGCTACGAGTATGAATATGTAAGGAATTTTATGGTGGATGATGGAGGGATAGATTATGATCATGACCTAAACTCCTTCTTTATACTACTCCTACAAATCCGCTATCTAAAGTATATTACAATTATTATAAAAAGTTAGGATTCCTTAATAATAAGGTCTTCTTTTATTTATCCTTGTTGGACCTTGATAAGACTTTGAACATTGTTGCATCTACCCAAGTGCAAGTAGTCCACACGTAGTAATAATCTCGAATTCCAAGTATGTATCCTCAGGAGCAGGTGGCCAATATCTGTACACAAAGAAATAATTAAACGTAACCACAATAAAGGACAAGCAAATGGAAAATTAATTGGATTTGATTGTTGTGGAAAATTGAGTTTAAAAATGAAATATCATTAATGGAAATGCTAAGGCACTCAAAGTCATTCTTTAACAAAATTGTTTCATGCGCTTTAATCCAAAGTATAACTCAATTAAAATCATCGTTGAGAAACTTTAAAAACCGGAAGATAAGGAAATTAAAAACCACTGTAATTTTTCAAAGTACTCTTGTATAATGATTTTTCAAAAATGGAGTTGCTTATATCTCTCTTTTAATTTAAAAGCATGTCCAAGTCTTTCCTAAAATGAGAAAAAATATTGGAACTCATGAAAAGATAATGCACTTAACCTCAATCAAATACAAAGATATGACAATATTGAACAACCAAAACTAAAAGAATTTTAGCATTCATACCATCTATTGGATTAAAAAACTTTCCAAACTTTACTCAGGCAAAGAACACTCTTTAGCCTTAGCTATAGTTTTCAGCAACCATTACACAAAGAAACACAATAAACTAAAGATAAGAAATCCGTCGTAGGGGTGCCCTTTGGCCAAAGAAGTTGAGGGTGATTTATATAGTCAATGAGAGTTAGTGGGAAGTGAATAATTGTGGTGGTGATGAAGGGTTTCAATTGAGGATTAATTGGATTAAACATGTGTTGATGGTGGAGAGTTAGTGGAAAGAATATAACGGTTGAGGTAGTGGGAGGGTTAAATGGCTATGAATGACATGAAAATAGGCTCTTTAGCTTCCCCGGTTTGTCTTCTCTTCTCCCCTCTTTACTTCTCTTTATAATCACAAAATATCCCACAATCAATTCTTCAATTAAAATCTGCCAACAATTCTCTTCACACCTAGCTTGAACTTGGACAAAGTATGTCTTCATCGGTTGGCTTTCCAACTTCCTACAGAAAATAAATTCACCTAATAGTCACCCAATGAAATAGAAATTCATAAATCCAGTTGTGAGAGAAAATTTAACAACAATTGAAATTATATTCATTAAGCCAAAATTATATCATAACGTCTCCAAAATAATAGTAAAAAGATGTAATGTTAGATTCTCATCACCATCGTGAAACTAGGACCGTTGACAACAGTCCTTGCAACATAGGAATGACTTGGCTACATTTTTTAATTAACTGCCATCTCATCTTCTTTCCTTTTTTAATCACACTTTCTTCTCCTATTTCACAATTCCTTTTCGTCACAATTCTCACAAAACCATTATCACAGGCACGACCATTTAATCCAAGAAATTAACAAATAAATAAGCAAGGCGGCATACATATATATTATATATAATATGGGCTATCCAATTTAAGGTGGTGTTGATAACGTAAAAATTCCCTATTATTTAAAATTAGGGCCTTTTGTAGCCAGTTTTAAAAGCAGGCTTTGGTTGCTGTTTTTTCAAAGTTGCTTTTAAAATAGCAAAAGATGAGTCTTTAATGATTTTTTTAAATTTCTAATAGCATAATTAACTTTTAAAACAATGCCACACCTCCACCCCACTCCACATTTAGGACTCATCATTTGGCCCGCGGGCTCATGGGCCGATGGGCGCCCGGCCCATTGGAAAAAGCCCGGCCCGCCCGTTATGGGCTTTGGGATGGCCGGCCCGCCTTGGGCCGGGCTAGGCTTGGGCTTGGGTGTCTGAAGCCCGGCCCGGCCCATAGGCCCGGCCCGATTAAGCCCAAGAAAGCCCGGCCCGGCCCACCCACAAAAGCCCGGCCCGTTAGGCCCGCATACATATATAATTATGTATAAATAAGAGTTTAGGATTAGGATTATATCACTTAAATCACATATATAATTTGTTTCATTTCATTTACTTTTCTTTACTCATTCCTAATTTATAATTGGATGATTAGAACATTAATTTGTGTCAATTATTAATACAACAATTATATATATATATATATAAATAAGATGAACAATATATCATATCACTAAATATAATCATATCACGAAACATAATCGTACTACTACCACCAAATATAATCATGTTTTCTTGAACACATCACCAAACATTTACATATTTATTTATACCATCCTTTAAAAAAAATATCTTTTTGATACTTATTATTTTTTAAAATTATTTCTTAAAACGTATTACGGTCTAATTATGTAATAACCTCAAAAATAATATTTTGTTTTATTATTTTTGTGGAAAATCTTATTAAGTTGTGTGACTTTATTGGGTATTTTATGAATTTGGTTTGATGTGAAAATATTGGAATTAAGTGAGTTTAATCTCAAATTTAGACTAAAATGCCCTTATGATTAAGTTTATGATTTTTTTCGAATGAAGTAGGCCCGTTTCGGCCCGGCCCGTTGGGCTTAGCCCAGCCCGGCCCAATGGGCTTTCTCAAGCCCGACCTATGGGTCGGGCTTGGGCTTTGAATTTTCTAAAAAAACCCGGCCCGGCCCGGCCCGATATTTTCTCTCTCCTCTTTAAAGCCCGGCCCGGCCCGGCCCAAGCCCGTTAAATTTGGGCCGGGCTAGCCCGGCCCGGCCCATTGACGAGCCCTATCCACATTCATGTGGATCACCAGCCTTTTCACTCAATTTTTTTGGTCTTCCCGCTTTTGGTGTCTTAATGTTTGTATTTTTTATGTCCCTCTGGTCTAGTATACCTCTTTTTTCTTTATGAATAAATTTCCTTTTTTTATTTTTTTTCATAAAGAAGTTCAATATCGTAATTGTCATAGATATATAAGCATTGGACTAGCCATAGGTTTCTCTCTGTCCCTGTAACCTGTGTTCGTTTGCAATTGTCAAGTTTTCTTAATGTCTTTGTGAAGGAATAATACTACTCTTACCACATTTGTATACCACATTCTCATACAACATTATGTGGTGGATGAGGTGGATAGTCAGATCAATCAAAATTAATTTAACATTTTCTTTTCTTTTATGATTTATTGACACTTTTTAATTGAAGTGGCTGTTCACTTCATGTGCCACATAAGGTGGTATCAAAATGTGGTAATAATAGCATTACTACTTTGTGAAACAGAAAATGCTAGACTTACCAGAGAGGTGGTACACAATATGGTATAAAAATATGGTAAGTCTAGCATAGCATTACCCTTGTGAAATATGAAGTCAAGTTTTCTTAACGTCTAATATGGGAGAATATGAGAATGAGAGAAGATAATTTTTCTGGTTTTCAACATAGTTTCTTTGTTTTGCTAACAACAAATTTATACAAGTAGATGGCTTGCTAACCAAGCTAATCATATTTGGTTTCCACAAGTCAAGTGAATATTTCCTAGTTTCACACCTCCAACATTTATTGCTTTCACACACAAGCTAACAGTTAGTGTCCATAATTTCTACATAAAAGCTAATTAGTGACAATGACGGTCAAGTTGTTTGACAATGTCCCGCTACATTAATTGACTTAGATTTTTCTTTGGTAGATGTAGTTGTTGACTTGATGTGTATCCAAAGACTCGCATTGAAGGATATGTTCAGAAAGGCATTGGCTGAGAATCAAGAATAGCCATGTTTTTCAAGCTTGTAATACTCTTACTGGTAAGCTTAGCAGCAGCAGAAGATCTCAGTTGTGGTATCTTCGAGGTTATCTTGTCAAAGGTCAGTAATGTATTTCTAGAGGGAAATTGAATGCAGATTTTTGGCCTAGTTGTATGGAAGAATTTTCCAGTTGCATGATTCTGATTTACTCTATATTTTTTTCTTGTTAATTTGTGACAATGTCCCCTGTGGGAGTAAATAATCCGGCTTCCAATCACAAGACGCCATGTAGACGAGAAGAATATCTCATAGGTCAATTAATTGCGCCTATTTATTTGGCAAATTATTAGGGAGTTGTACAATCGTATTTCTTTTTTTCCTCGGAGCTGGACCTGCCAGTTACAATAGTATTAAATGCAATTTTGCTCTACAAAACTCAGAGGCCAGGCCATGTTTCTGGTCTAAGTCACATGTATCTCTTATTTGTATTTGTTCAAAGATTCTTGTCTATTTTTTTTTGGTTACAAGGCAAGCTGAAGTAAGAAAGAAAAAAAGCTAACAAGGCACATCCCTACTCAAGGCCGGTCTTGAGATTTTGAAGACCCTGTGCGAACCTTAAATTGGGGCCTCACATAAGCTAACACAAACTTACACCATTACGTAATGCCATACAATAAATGTTTTTTTTTCTTAAAGTGACCAAAGTATCCCTACTCCCAAGGACAAAATTGAAATTTCACAAAAGAATTAAATTGGATTAAATTGATTAAATTGGGTCAGGGATGTTACACCTTTTGAATAATCACCATGATTGTGACGACGAGTCTTTGACATCATAGATCATATTCAGATATTAAATATTTTTTAACACCTAATTTATTTTGTATCAATATTCCAGGAACATCATTAATTTGATGGGAAAAATTGAATATATGAGCATAGGGTTTAGGGTATTTATTATTCATTTTGTGGTTGTGAGAGTAGCTGGGATATTGAATGTTGGTGTTGACATCGGACAAGCCTTTTAACACAAGCGGGTTTTGAAGTCTCGCCCTGAATAAAGTTTGAGGCCCTGCAAACCAACACAACTAGGAACGTCTTTGTGTCAACAATTTACTCACTCGGTATATATATAACATTTGTTAAACATATATTATACACACAAAAATCGAGGCCCCTCAAAAATCAGGGGCCCTGTTTGGTGGCAACCACTTGCACACCCTCAGAGCGACCCCTGGCCCTACTTTGGGCTCTTCCTAGATCATCATCCAGCAACAAGCTTGAGAGGGAGACAGAAGCAGACTCGAAGTTATGAAGCCCCAAGGGTAACTCATACCCCCAAGTTAGCAAGATGATCAGCTGCTCTGCTTTGTTTTTATGGGTATAGTCCATGACTTAATAGCCATGTTTTTTCAAGCTTGTTATAGTCATACTAGTAAGCCTAGCAGCAGCTGAAGATCTCAATTTCACCTACAATGGTTTCCTGTCTGCTAATCTTAGCCTAGATGGCGTAGCCCAAGTCACATCCATGGCCTTCTGAAGCTTACAAATGACACTGGCCTCGGCCATGCCTTCTACCCCAACCCAGTAACCTTCAAGAACTCATCCACTGCTGCCGCTTTCCTCCTTCTCTACCACTTTTGTGTTCGCTATCAGACCCGGATTGGGACCACGTTTGGGGTGGCCATGGAATTGCCTTTGTCATTGCTCCAACAAGAGGGCTCCCCGGAGGTTTTCAAACCCAGTACCTGGGCGTTTTTCAATGAAACCAACAATGGCAACGCCAACAACCATATTTTTTGCTGTAGAGCTTGACCCCGTACAGAACCCCGAGTTTGGCGACATCAACAACAACCATGTTGGGATTGATATCAATGATTTGCGCTCAGTGAACTCAACTCCAGCGGGATATCATGCTCTAAACAATGGCGGTTTCCGAAACTTGACCCTCCTCAGTGGTCAACCAATGCAAGTTTGGGTGGAGTATGATGGTATCCAGAAGCAAATCAATGTCACTTTGGGTCCAATCAATGTTGATAAACCCCATATTCCACTCATGTCTTTGAAGTATGACCTTTCCACGGTCCTTAACATGATCATGTATGTTGGCTTCTCCTCTACTGCTGGCTCACTCGTCACATCTCATTATGTTCTAGGATGGAGCTTTGAGATGAATGGCCAGGCTCCAGAACTTGTTCTCTCACAACTTCCTAAGCTGCCCCGGATAGGAGGTAAAAAAATATCTAATTTTTTGACTATCGGTGTGCCTGTGATGTCTGTGAGTTTGGTTTTGCTAGCAATTTCAAGTTTAATTTATGCCATAAGAAGGAAGAAGAAGTTTGCAGAGCTGCTTGAAGATTGGGAGCTTGAGTATGGGCCGCAAAGGTTTAAATATAAAGAGTTATATATGGCAACAAAAGGGTTTAGGGAGAAGGAGCTTTTGGGAAGTGGGGGATTTGGTAAGGTCTATAAAGGCATATTACCTTCCTCCAAAACTGAGATTGCAGTGAAGAGGATCTCACATGAATCAAGACAGGGGATGAAGGAGTTTGTTGCAGAAATTATTAGCATTGGCAGACTTCGTCACCGAAATTTAGTACCACTGTTGGGATATTGCAGAAGAAAAGGGGAGCTGCTCTTGGTCTATGACTACATGCCTAATGGAAGCCTGGACAAATACCTGTACGACCAACCAGTGGTCACTCTCAATTGGAGGCAGAGGTTCAGAGTGATCAAAGGTGTGGCTTCAGGGTTGTTGTATCTTCATGAAGAATGGGAACAAGTTGTGGTTCACAGAGATGTGAAGGCCAGTAACATATTACTAGATTTGGAATTTAATGCAAGACTAGGAGATTTTGGCCTTGCAAGATTATATGACCACGGAAAGGACCCTAAGACTACTCGTATAGTTGGAACACTTGGGTATCTAGCTCCGGAGCATGCAAGATTAGGCAGGGCCACAACACACACCGATGTGTTTTCTTTTGGGGCATTTTTGCTTGAAGTTGCCTGTGGAAGAAGGCCAATAGAGACACAAGATCAAGATCTGGATGTGGTTCTGGTTGATTGGGTGTTTTTCTTGTTGGAAGAGAAGTAATATTCTTGAGGCAATAGATCTAAACTTTGGTTCAGAATTCGTAGCAGAGGAGTTGGAATTGGTGTTGAAGCTTGGGCTGTTGTGCTCTCATTCAGAGCCTTCTGCTAGGCCAAGCATGCGCCAAGTAGTGCATTATTTAGAGGGTGACATTCCACTGCCGGAATTGTCATCTCTTGGTCTTTCTTCTGGTGGCTTGAAGGTCGCACACCACGAAGGTTTTGATGATTCGGCAATGTCATATCCGTCTTCTATGGGCAAGGAGATGTCATATGTTCCAGAGTCGTCACTTCTCTCAGGTGGTCGCTGAGGCCAATCAATTAAGATTCTCACCCAAGCTGCCATGCACGAGGCATAGAACATATATACATGCAGCTTTGAATGTTTCCTCTAGTTTATTAGTTTGTAACTAGTTACATTAAATCAATGCTGCATATAAAATAGATTTTTTGTATTATACTATTTTTTAAATATTTTTGTTGATGTTGATAATATAATATGTTTTATGTAAGAAAACAGACATGGAAATTTTAATCTTAATAAATAGTAAAAAATTAGAACGGGAAAAAGGAGCAATTTTAAGAGGCGGCAGTCGGTTGGGTCCGGAATGCGGGCCGAATCTCGGACTTGTAATTACTGGATGAGTGTGGCGGAGAGCTCCGCAGACCTCCTCCAGTTCTCAACTTTCAGATCCTTCACCGTCGTCCGTTGTCAAAACAGATCTCTGGCCATTTTCTAGATAATGGGGTTTGGCAGAAACCTCCATTTCTACTTGCTACATCACGTTGTTGTAGGAGCAGGATTGAATTCTTGAACCTTCTAGATGCCTCGTGTTTTTGCCTCCAACTATTTTGGCTCCGTCGCCTTAAACCAAGTACATTTGCATCACTGCGAAGGTTCAAAATTTAGTCGTGGAAACGACAGACCTCTCCCCCAGCTAAGTACACTTTGAAGCATTAGACTGGCCACAGGTTTCTCTCTGTCCCTGTGCCCTTTGTGCGTTTGTAATTGTCAAGTTTTCTTTAATGTCTTTGTGAAATTTGAATTTACATTATATATATCGACTTACTGGTGTGCCAATATTGTAGCACTAGTTGATGATTGTGGCAATCTGCATGGAAATTGCAAACTTGTTAGCTTTTGTTTCGGTATATGATCATTTTATAAAAATAAATTTGGCATTTTGCTGCATGAAGAATTCGATATCGGGACACTTGTTTACTCCTTTTTGGTAACAGTGAGTGATTAAGATATGGGGTCGGAGAGTCTTGTACCTTTGTATCTATAGAATTGATCATAACACTAGTGGGAGACGAGTGTGAGTGATTGTAAAAGTAGGGTCTTGGCTGAGAACCGGGCCGAATCGGACTGGATCGGATGAACAATATCAATTCTGTTTTAGTTTTGGTTGAGAATCAGGCCGCACCGGATCTTGCCCAGACCTAGTATTACTCTTGTGAAAAATGTGGTAAGCCTAGCATTACCCTTGTGAAATATGAATTGTCAAGTTTTCTTAACGTATAATATGGGAGAATATGAGAATTAGAGAAAAAAATTCTGGTTTAAAAAGTAGTTTCTTTGTATTGCTAACAACAAATTTATACAAGTAGATGGCTTGCTAACCAAGCTAATCATATTTGGTTTACATGGCCCGGAACTTGCAAGCTGCAGTCTTCACAAGTCAAGTGAATATGTCCTGGTTTCACACCTCCAACATTTCTTGCTTTCACACACAAGCAAACAGTTAGTATCCATAATTTCTACATAAAAGCTAATTAGTGACAATGACGATCAAGTTGTTTGACAATGTCCCGCTACATCGACTTAGATTTTTCTCTGAAGGATATGTTCAGAAAGGCATTGGCTGAGAATCAAGATCTCAGTTGTGGTCCCTTATCTTCGAGGTTATCTTGTCAAAGGTCAGTAATGTATTTCTAGATGGAAATTGAATGCAGATTTTGGACAAAGGTCAACACCAACATTCAATATCCCAGCTACTTTCACAATCATAAACTAAAATAATAAATACCCTAAACCCTATGCTCAGATATTCAATTTTGCACAAAATAATGCATCCAACTAACTCAACCAAAATAATTGCATCGAATTAATGATGTTCATGGAATACTGATACAAAATAAATTAGGTGTTAAAAAATATTTAATATCTGAATATGATCTATGATGACAAAGACTCATCGTCACAATCATGGTGATTATTCAAAAGGTGTAACATCCCTGACCCAATTATAAAAAAAACATTTATTGTATGACATTACGTACGTAATGGTATAAGTTTGTGTTAGCTTAGTTTGCATCATTGAATATCTGAGCATAGGGTTTAGGGTATTTATTATTTCAATTTGTGGTTGTGAGAGTAGCTGGGATATTGAATGTTGGTGTTGACATCGGACAAGCCTTTAACACAAGCGGATTTTGAAGTCTCGCCCTGAATAAAAGTTGAGGCCTTGCAAACCAAAACGTCTTTGTGTCAACAATTTGCTCACTCGGTATATATATAACATTTGTTAAACATATATTATACACAAAAAAAAATCGAGGCCCGGCCCCTAAAAAATCAGGGGCCCTGTTTCTTGGCACCACTTGCACACCCTCAGGGCCACCCCTGGCCCTACTTTGGGCTCTTCCTAGATCATCATCCAGCAACAAGCTTGAGCGGGAGACAGGAGCAGACTCGAAGTTATGAAGCCCCAAGGGTACCTCATACCCCAAGTTAGCAAGGTGATCAGCTGCTCTGCTTTGTTTTTATGGGTATAGTCCATGACTTAATAGCCATGTTTTTCAAGCTTGTTATGGTCATACTAGTAAGCCTAGCAGCAGCTGAAGATCTCAATTTCACCTACAATGGTTTCCTGTCTGCTAATCTTAGCCTAGATGGCAGAGCCCAGGTCACATCCAATGGCCTTCAAATGACACTAGACTCGGCCATGCCTTCTACCCCAACCCAGGACTCGGCCATGCCTTCTACCCCAACCCAGTAACCTTCAAGAACTCATCCAATGCTACCGCTTTCTCCTTCTCTACCACTTTTGTGTTCGCTGTCAGATCCGGAATGGCACCGCGTTTTGGTGGCCAGGGAATTGCCTTTGTCATTGCTCCGACAAGAGGGCTCCCCCGAGGTTTTAAAGACCAGTACCTGGGCGTTTTCAATGACACCAACAACGGCAACGCCAACAACCATATTTTTGCTGTAGAGCTTGACTCCGTACAGAACCCCGAGTTTGGCGACATCAACAACAACCATGTTGGGATTGATATCAATGGTTTGCGCTCAGTGAAGTCAACTCCAGCGGGATATCATGCTCTAAACAATGGCGGTTTCCGAAACTTGACCCTCATCAGTGGTCAACCAATGCAAGTTTGGGTGGAGTATGATGGTATCCAGAAGCAAATCAAAGTCACTTTGGGTCCAATCAATGTTGATAAACCCCATATTCCACTCTTGTCTTTGAAGTATGACCTTTCCACGGTCCTTAACACGACCATGTATGTTGGCTTCTCCTCTGGCTCAGTCTTCACATCTCATTATGTTCTAGGATGGAGCTTTGAGATGAATGGCCAGGCTCCAGAACTTGTTCTCTCACAACTTCCTAAGCTGCCCCGGATAGGACGTAAAAAAATATCTAATTTTTTGACCGTTGGTGTGCCTGTGATGTCTGTGAGTTTGGTTTTGCTAGCAATTTCAAGTTTAATTTATGCCATAAGAAGGAAGAAGAAGTTTGCAGAGCTGCTTGAAGATTGGGAGCTTGAGTATGGGCCTCAAAGGTTTAAATACAAAGAGTTATATATGGCAACAGAAGGGTTTATAGAGAAGAAGCTTTTGGGAAGTGGGGGATTTGGTAAGGTCTATAAAGGCATATTACCTTCCTCCAAAACTGAGATTGCAGTGAAGAGGGTCTCACATGAATCAAGACAGGGGATGAAGGAGTTTGTTGCAGAAATTATTAGCATTGGCAGACTTCGTCACCGAAATTTAGTACCATTGTTGGGATATTGCAGAAGAAAAGGGGAGCTGCTCTTGGTCTATGACTACATGCCTAATGGAAGCCTGGACAAATACCTGTACGACCAACCAGTGGTCACTCTCAATTGGAGGCAGAGGTTCAGAGTGATCAAAGGTGTGGCTTCAGGGTTGTTCTATCTTCATGAAGAATGGGAACAAGTTGTGGTTCACAGAGATGTGAAGGCCAGTAACATATTACTAGATTCAGAATTTAATGCAAGACTAGGAGATTTTGGCCTTGCAAGATTATATGACCACGGAAAGGACCCTAAGACTACTCGTATAGTTGGAACACTTGGGTATCTAGCTCCGGAGAATGCAAGATTAGGCAGGGCCACAACGCAAGCCGATGTGTTTTCTTTTGGGGCATTTTTGCTTGAAGTTGCCTGTGGAAGAAGGCCAATACAGAGACAAGGTCAATATCTGAATGTGGTTCTGGTTGATTTGGTGTTTTCTTGTTGGAAGAGAAGTAATATTCTTGAGGCAATAGATCTGAACTTGGGTTCAGAATTCGTAGCTGAGGAGGTGGAATTGGTGTTGAAGCTTGGGCTGTTGTGCTCTCATTCAGAGCCTTCTGCTAGGCCAAGCATGCGTCAAGTAGTGCATTATTTAGAGGGTGACATTCCACTGCCGGAGTTGTCATCTCTTGGTCATTCTTCTGGTGGCTTGAATTTCGCACACCGCCAAGGTTTTGATGATTCGGCAATGTCATATCCGTCTTCCATGGGCAAGGAGACGTCATATGTTCCAGAGTCGACACTTCTCTCAGGTGGTCGCTGAGGCCAATCAATTAAGATTCTCACCCAAGCTGCCATGCACGAGGCATAGAACATATACATGCAGCTTTGAATGTTTAATCTAGTTTATTAGTTTGTAACTAGTTACATTAAATCAATGCTGCATATAAAATAGGCATGGAAATTTTGTTTCCTCTAGTTTATTAGTTTGTAACTAGTTAATATTTTTTATATCTTTTTGTTGATGTTGATAATATAATATTTTTTATATAAGAAAACAGACATGGAAATTTTAATCTTAATAAATAGTAAAAAATTAGAACGGGAAAAAGGAGCAATTTTAAGAGGCGGCAGTCGGTTGGGTCCGGAATGCGGGCCGAATCTTGGACTAGTAATTACTGGATGAGTGGCGGAGATCTCCGCAGACCTCCTCAAGTTCTCAACTTTCAGGTCCTTCACCGTCGTCCGATGTCAAAACAGATCTCTGGCCATTTTCTAGAGAATGGGTTTTGGCAGAAACCTCCATTTCTATTTGGTACATCACGTTGTTGTAGGAGCAGGATTGAATTCTTGAACCTTCTAGACGCTAGCTTTTCTATGTTTTTGCCTCCAACTATTTTGGCTCCGTCGCCTTAAACCAAGTACATTTGCATCACTGTGAACAGTGGCGGAGCTATATGAGGGCCTGAAGGGGCCTGGCCCCCCCAAAAGTTTCATAATATTTGATTTGTGGTCTTCTGTTCCTATAGATTTTAGAAAGTAAATATGATAATTTTGCTTGTGGCCCCCTCAAGATGTGTTTCTCTTTCCAATTAAATATATATACAATAATAACCACTTGCCACTTGACTGAAGGTTGTGAATGTTTCTATCCTCACGCCAGTTTTGGTTTTTTTAAAAGTAGAATCTCATGTCCATCAATATATTAATATAAAAAAATTAAAACAGCCAATCAAATAAAGTTTTAAAAAATTTCATTTATCAAATAGGAAATAGACTTTTACCCAAATAAAAAAGGATTGGGATTTTAATTTTTGTTCCTATATAAAGCAACATGAACTTAGTTCGAAGCAGCCGCACACAACAAAAGAAAATAATTGAATTTGGTTGTTTGCTCTCCAACCTCCTACTTCAGAATTTCTAATTCCAGGTTAGATAACTTTACAGTCATATTTTTTTTTTCCTTTGTTTATTTACTTTTTATGAGAATATATTTGTATATGTTCTATGCATAGATGGTTTTCGAGATATGAAAAAACGACGAGTGTTATTTTGATACCTAATTGAATAAACAATTTTTTTTGCCTTTAATTTTTCCAAACATTGTTAAGGTTGAAAATTTGAAATTTTTTAATGTCTTGTTTGGTTTATATATTGGCCCCCCAACACATAAATTCCTGGCTCCGCCACTGACTGTGAAGGTTCAAAATTTAGTCGTGGAAACGACAGACCTCTCCCCCAGCTAAGGACACTTTGAAGCATTGGACTGGCCACAGGTTTCTCTCTGTTGTGCGTCAAGTTTTCTTTGATGTCTTCGTGAAATTTGAATTTACATTATATATATCGACTTACTGGTGTGCCAATATTGTAGCACTAGTTGATGATTGTGGCAATCTGCATGGAAATTGCAAACTTGTTTGCTTTTGTTTCGGTATATGATCATTTTATAAAAATAAATTTGGCATTTTGCTGCATAAAGAATTTGATCTCGGGACACTTGTTTACTCCTTTTTGGTAACAGTGAGTGATTAAAATATGGGGTCGGAGAGTCTTGTACCTTTGTATCTATAGAATTGATCATAACACTAGTGGGCGACGAGTGTGAGTGATTGTAAAAGTAGGGTCTTGGCTGAGAACCGGGCCGAATCGGACTGGATGGATGAACAATATCAATTATGTTTTAGTTTTGGTTGAGAATCAGGCCGAACCGGACTTTGCCCAGACCTAGTGTTTGTGCAAATAATCTCGCGGGAGACTACTCGCCTCTAGATCCTTCAACCTTCGATCTTCCTTCTCTCTCTTCCTCGATTCCTGTAAAAAAGATTGGAGTAAGTAGACCACACCCGGGGGGTGTTGGCCAAAGGCCCTCCGATGCCTAAGTTAGTTCGAGTGTTTGTAGGAAAACAATAGCTAAGCAAAGGGTACGGAGTTTATGTATGGTGTGAACTGGGCGGCCGGAGCCGTGTGTGGTGGCCAGAGCTGTGTGGAGAAAATGAGATTGGAGAGGGACAGAGAGCTTCGGGTATTAGGAGTAGGTTTAGATGTATCTTGAATGATGAATGAGGTCGTCTATTTATAGGAGTCCCGGGGCTAGGGTTTTGTAGAGAATATGCTAAGTTTATTCTCTACCCAAATTCGTAGGGATCGAGTCGGGCTTAGATAATATCTGATTTAATGATATTATCTCTTTATATGAAGATAATATTTGAATTAAATGATATTATCTCTTTTTATGAAGATAATATCTAAATTAATGATATTATCTTCTCTTTATTAGGATAATATCTGAATTAATGGTATTATCTTATTAAATAAAGATAAGGGAGTTTCACTAAAACACCCAAAATGGGAGCTGAAATTATAAAAAACTCAACACCCAAAACACTTTATAAGCACACCAAAAACCCATCATTACACACTCAAAACCCATTTATAAACACACCCAAAAATATACAATTGTTGATTTTGGGGTTGATTTTGGGTGTGTTTCTATGTTTAAATAGTGTTTGAGTTTTTTTATAAATACATGTCTATGATTGGGTTTATTTATAAATTTGTATAAAGATAATATCATATTAATAAAGATATTTATCCCAATTAATTAATTCGCCAGATAAACTAGTTCAATTAATCAATTAAAAGAGATAATCTTCTTTTCCATGTGGCGTGCTGTGATTGGAGACTAAAATATCTGCTCCCACACCTAGCATTACCCTCGTGAAATATGAATTGTCAAGTTTTCTTAACGTATAATATGGGAGAATATGAGAATGAGAGAATAAAATTCTGGTTTCCAACGTAGTTTCTTTGAATTGCTAACAACAAATTTAGATGGCTTGCTAACCAAGCTAATCATATTTGGTTTCCAAGGCCCGGAACTTGCAAGCTGCAGTCTTCACAAGTCAAGTGAATATTTCCTGGTTTCACACACAAGCAAACAGTTAGTATCCATAATTTCTACATAAAAGCTAATTAGTGACAATGACGGTCAAGTTGTTTGACAATGTCCCGCTACATTGACTTAGATTTTTCTCTGAAGGATATGTTCAGAAAGGCATTGGCTGAGAATCAAGATCTCAGTTGTGGTCCCTTATCTTCGAGGTTATCTTGTCAAAGGTCAGTAATGTATTTCTAGATGGAAATTGAATGCAGATTTTGGACAAAGGTCAACACCAACATTCAATATCCCAGCTACTTTCACAATCATAAACTAAAATAATAAATACCCTAAACCCTATGCTCAGATATTCAATTTGCACAAAATAATGCATCCAACTAACTCAACCAAAATAATTGCATCGAATTAATGATGTTCATGGAATACTGATACAAAATAAATTAGGTGTTAAAAAATATTTAATATCTGAATATGATCTATGATGACAAAGACTCATCGTCACAATCATGGTGATTATTCAAAAGGTGTAACATCCCTGACCCAATTATAAAAAAAACATTTATTGTATGACATTACGTACGTAATGGTATAAGTTTGTGTTAGCTTAGTTTGCATCATTGAATATCTGAGCATAGGGTTTAGGGTATTTATTATTTCAATTTGTGGTTGTGAGAGTAGCTGGGATATTGAATGTTGGTGTTGACATCGGACAAGCCTTTAACACAAGCGGATTTTGAAGTCTCGCTCTGAATAAAAGTTGAGGCCTTGCAAACCAAAACGTCTTTGTGTCAACAATTTGCTCACTCGGTATATATATAACATTTGTTAAACATATATTATACACAAAAAAAAATCGAGGCCCGGCCCCTAAAAAATCAGGGGCCCTGTTTCTTGGCACCACTTGCACACCCTCAGGGCCACCCCTGGCCCTACTTTGGGCTCTTCCTAGATCATCATCCAGCAACAAGCTTGAGCGGGAGACAGGAGCAGACTCGAAGTTATGAAGCCCCAAGGGTACCTCATACCCCAAGTTAGCAAGGTGATCAGCTGCTCTGCTTTGTTTTTATGGGTATAGTCCATGACTTAATAGCCATGTTTTTCAAGCTTGTTATGGTCATACTAGTAAGCCTAGCAGCAGCTGAAGATCTCAATTTCACCTACAATGGTTTCCTGTCTGCTAATCTTAGCCTAGATGGCAGAGCCCAGGTCACATCCAATGGCCTTCTGAAGCTTACAAATGACGCTGGAAATGGCACTGGCCATGCCTTCTACCCCAACCCAGTAACCTTCAAGAACTCATCCAATGCTACCGCTTTCTCCTTCTCTACCACTTTTGTGTTCGCTATCAGACCCGCATTCGGACTGGGTGCCCATGGAATTGCCTTTGTCATTGCTCCGACAAGAGGGCTCCCCAGCGGTTTTCAACACCAGTACCTGGGCGTTTTCAATGGAACCAACAACGGCAACGTCAACAACCATATTTTTGCTGTAGAGCTTGACACCATAGAGAACATCGAGTTTGGTGACATCAACAACAACCATGTTGGGATTGATATCAATGGTTTGCGCTCAGTGAAGTCAACTCCAGCGGGATATCATGCTCTAAACAATGGCGGTTTCCGAAACTTGACCCTCATCAGTGGTCAACCAATGCAAGTTTGGGTGGAGTATGATGGTATCCAGAAGCAAATCAAAGTCACTTTGGGTCCAATCAATGTTGATAAACCCCATATTCCACTCATGTCTTTGAAGTATGACCTTTCCACGGTCCTTAATACGACCATGTATGTTGGCTTTTCCTCTGGCTCAGACTTCACATCTCATTATGTTCTAGGATGGAGCTTTGAGATTAATGGCCAGGCTCCAGAACTTGTTCTCTCACAACTTCCTAAGCTGCCCCGGATAGGACGTAAAAAAATATCTAATTTTTTGACCGTTGGTGTGCCTGTGATGTCTGTGAGTTTGGTTTTGCTAGTGGTTTCAGGTTTAATTTATTTCATAAGAAGGAAGAGGAAGTTTGCAGAATTACTTGAAGATTGGGAGCTTGAGTATGGGCCTCAAAGGTTTAAATACAAAGACTTATATATTGCCACAAAAGGATTTAAGGAGAATGAGCTTTTGGGGACTGGGGGTTTTGGTAAAGTCTATAGAGGCATATTACCCTCCTCAAAAATTGAGATTGCTGTGAAGAAAGTCTCACACGAATCGCGACAGGGGATGAAGGAATTTGTTGCAGAAATTGTGAGTATTGGCAGGCTTCGTCATCGAAATTTAGTCTCACTCTTGGGCTATTGCAGAAGAAAAGGGGAGCTGCTCTTGGTCTATGACTACATGCCTAATGGAAGCTTGGACAAGTACCTCTATGACCGCCCTACGGTCACTCTCAATTGGAGCCAGAGGTTTAGAGTGATCACAGGTGTGGCTTCAGGGTTATTCTATCTTCATGAAGAATGGGAACAAGTTGTGATTCACAGAGATGTGAAGGCCAGCAATGTGTTACTTGATGGTGAATTGAATGCAAGGCTAGGAGATTTTGGCCTTGCAAGATTATATGACCATGGAACAGACCCTCAAACTACGCATATAGTTGGAACACTTGGGTATCTAGCTCCAGAGCATATAAGATCAGGCCGGGCCACAACGAGCACCGATGTGTTTGCTTTCGGGGCATTTTTGCTCGAAGTAGCTTGTGGAAGAAGGCCAATAGAGGCACAAGGTCCAGACCAGGATTTTATTTTGGTTGATTGGGTGTTTTCTTTTTGGAACAGAGGTGCCATTCTTGAGGCAAGAGATCAAAACTTGAGTTCTGAAATTGTAGCCAAGGAGGTGGAGTTGGTGTTGAAGCTTGGGCTGTTGTGCTCTCATTCAGAGCCTACAGCCAGGCCAAGCATGCGCCAGGTTGTGCAGTATTTGGAAGGTGACATTGCTTTGCCAGAGCTCTCTCTTCTTGGGTTCTCTTCAAATGGCTTGATTTTTGCTCACCATGAAGGTTTTGATGATTTTGCAATGTCATATTCGTCCTCTCCGGGCAAGGGGTTTTCACATTCATCTTATGCTGCAGAGTCCGCATGCCTCTCAGGTGGTCGCTGATTCGACGCAATTATGATTGTCTAGCTCACTAGAATGTTGACTCTACTTATTAGTTTTGTAACTTGTTATATAAAAATCAATACTGTAACAATCTGTATGTAAGTTGGGTAAGAATAAAATTCTGCAAAAAGTACTAATTCCACACACACAAACTCGTGCCAAGGGAGTAAATATTGAAGTGACAACAATATCATGAAAAAGAAAGGGAAAAACTTGCTTGTTTTAGAAATTTCATGAAGTTAATATGCAATCTGCATTGAAATTCCGAACTTGTTGCGTAAGGTAGCCGGTATTGGACAGTCTGGATCGCTCTTTGTTCTACACAAAGACAACACATTTAATTAGTCTGAGAATGCAGGGTCAGCTCAGCTTCATTGGGTTTTGCTTTATTTTTTGTGGGTATACTCGATGATTTGATGCATAGGGTATTGGAAATGATGAAAGTCACAACTACAAGTGTTTGGATAGACAGAAAATGAGAGAATCGAAACAACTGAGAGAGAAAGTTCTAGAACCACTGATCTCAGATATTTCATTAATCAACAAAATGAATCCATTGGTCTTTGAATACATTACAACTATACCAATTTGACTCATATTCTAACTTTGTGATGATTGGATTACTATTCTATGACTTGGTTCCGGAGAGTTGTACACTTTTACAAGAAAAACTTACCCTAGTAAGTATGTGAAGATAAAGATCACAGATAAGTTGGCAGAGAATTAGAAATAATAGACATGTTTTTCAAGCTTGTCACAGTAATGTTGTCCATCCTGCTCCTAGTTGAAGAGCATCCTACCCATCCGCCAATGAATATGCAAGACACTCCCCACTAGTCACGGCAGCCTGTAGCCATTCAAGTGTGATTGATTCAGTATCTCAATCAATCCTTATAATCTTGGAACTGCCTATTTTATGTTTTACCGTTTATATAATTTACCCTTTCTATATTCATGTACAAAGTCAACTGTATAGCATATAAAAGAACTCCAATACAACCAAAATACTCATCGTGGGGTATTCTTCCTATTCTACTTCTTATTCTTTTCTTACCTCTCTCAATTTCTCTACATGGTATCAGAGCCTCACAGAGGCTAGCAACCCCTTTTCGATCCTAATGACAAACTCTTCCTCTCCTGTGAACTCTCCCTCTGACTCTCAGCCTTCTCAGATCTCTCAGAACAATTCTCAAAATACCATGACCACCACGCCATCTTCTATTCCAACTTCTTTCAATATCGCTCACTTGTTTACAACAATAATGGATCGTAATAATTTTCTCTGTTGGAAATCTCAGTTTGAAGATGAACTAGAATTACATGATCTGGAAGATGTGATTAAGATATAAACCCATCCTCAGAAGAAACTTCCCGATGGTTCTCTCAATCCAGAATCCAGCCTATTCAAAAGACAAACTATTCTTAAGCTGGATCAAGGCCACGGCTTCATCTTCTATTAAGACCCTTCTGATTCCATGTTCTACAGCATATGAGGCATGGACGCTGCTTGAGAAACGGCTGTCACACCTGTCCAAAACTTATATTCGTACCCTGCGAGATTAGATACGCACTCTCAAAACGGATCCAAAACAGTCAGTTGCAGATAATTTGATCCACGCCAAGTCTCTCTTTGATTTTGTCACTGCGGCTGGCACCTCAATTTCTGATGGCGAACTTATTGATTATATACTCGATGGCCTAGGCCATGAATACAAAGAATTTACTACCTCCCTTCATCTTCGACCCTCTCTAACTTGTGATGAATTTTATGATTTGTTAATACAGGAAGAACAGTTGCTAAAGAGGATGTCTTCCCTCTCCTTATCACAAAGTGTAGCACTCACCTTTGATCGCAATACCAATGATCAGGCCACTCAGAACCGAGCCCAAAGCACCAACCACCACAACCATTCTCAGAACCGGTTCCAAAACTTTGAAAGAGGATGAGGACGAGGCCGAGGTCACGGTTGGCATAATGGAAAAAATTCAGGTCGTTCTCTTAATTGGAATTCCAACCACCATAATGGTGGGGCCTCCACCCGTGACAAAGGCTGGCAGAATAGTCGTGCTTACTGCCATCCTCAATTTCTAACAGACACCAGATCATCAATGCCTTCACATGATGGACGTCTACCACTGCTCCCAACACCACCATATCAACCTCCTTTTCAGTTTCAAGAAACCTGTCAGATGTGCAATCGACAAGGCCACACTTCACGTGTATGTCATGATTGTGGTTATTACGCCTATATGGCAGAGTCCAACACCTCCAATATCCCTTCACCATCTGTTCCTAATAACACAAGTTGGTGTGTTGACTCCGGGGCAACCCATCATATGGTGTCCAGTGCTTCTCAACTCCCCTTTGTGAAACCGTATACAGGTAATGACTCCATTATTGTAGGTAATGGCACTCGTCTCTTAATAAGTCATATTGGTCAAACTAATATTGGTCCTTTGAAACTTACTAATGTTCTATGTGTTCTTGCTATACGAAAGAATCTATTGTCTATACACCGTTTTTCTAAGGATAATAATTGCTATTTTGAGATGCATGCTAATGGTTTTCATGTAAAGGACAATATGACGGGGAGGACTTTTCTCACTGGCAGTAGCTCTGGTGACTTGTACCATATTCAAGCAGATCCTACAATCTCAGGGAAGCTAGCCTTTTTTGGTGAAAGGACTACCCAAGATATTTGGCATACAAGACTTGGCCATCTGTCTCATGATGTTTTTCGTATTTTACTTAATAAATTTCACTTGCCTATTAGTGGTAAGGTTGATTCTATAAGGCTTGTCATATTTGCCCTTTGGGAAAATCATGTAGACTTCCATTTTCCAATCGATCTTTTTATGCTCATGAACCTCTTGCAATACTTCATCTAGATTTATAGGGACCAGCCCCAGTCTCATCAAATTTTGGTTGTCGTTATTATTTATCTATTGTTGATGAATACACTCGATTTGTGTGGTTTTATCATGTAGCAAAGAAATCCAATGTGCTTACAACATTTGTCTTCTTTAAAAGATTTGTGGAAAAACAATACAACCATTATATTAAAACAATACAAATTGATGGTGGTGGTGAATTCACAAACCGTTTATTCCTTAATTTTCTTCATGAACATGGCATCACATATCACATTTCATGCCCTTACACACCAGAGCAAAACGGAATTGTTGAGCGTAAGCATAGACATATTCTTGAAATGGGACTTTGCTTGTTGTCACAATCACACTTACCTTCGAGTTTTTGGCTCGAAGCTTTTTCCACTGCTGTCTTTCTTATTAACAGGTTACTAACTGCACAACTTGGTCAAGTTTCACCATATGAGAAGTTGTTCCAACGCCCACCTTAGTGCCATACAACAAGCATAAACTTTCCTCCAAGTCTATTGAGTGTATTTTTCTCGGGTATGACAATCACTACAAGGGGTACAAGTGCTTTGAACCAATCTCTAGGCGAGTGTATATTTCAACGAATGTTACTTTTGATGAATCTGATTTTTCTTACACTAATATTCTATCCAAGTCCTCTAATGATCACAAGTCAGTACCTCTTGCACCCACATTATTGGAGCCTCATCATGTTCCTTTATCTCCAGGTCCTCCAACTACTCCACCTCCTTCTAACCTTGCTACGGACAGCCAGCTCTCCCCACCAGCCACACATCTTCCACTCTCTATTATGTCTTCATCTCCATCCAACCAACATCTTCATCAATCTGCAAGCACTTTCCCTTCTTCAATAGAAATCGAGTCATCTCTGACCACTCCAGCCACTACACCACTACCATGTGGGTTCCGCAGCCTTCATGATCTTGTCTACAACTCCACACACCATCCTCTCCATTATGTCTTAACTGCAACTCTTATGTATCCTCTCTCAATTGAGCCTACCAGTTATACTCAAGCCTCTAAATTCCCTAACTGGCAGGTAGCGATGCAAGAAGAATATACAGCCCTTATAAAGAACCAAACTTGGTCCCTTGTTCCTTATACACCAACCATGAACATCGTGGTCTGTAAATGGGTTTTCAAAGTCAAGCGAAAAGCGGATGGCACTATTGAAAGACACAAGGCACGCTTAGTTGCCAAGGGATTTAATCAAATGGAGGGCCTTGACTATGATGAAACATTTAGTCTTGTTGTCAAGCCAGCTACTATTCGCACTATCTTAACTATTGCTCTTTCCAGGAATTGGCCCTTGCAACAACTTGATGTTCGTAATGCCTTTTTAAATGGTATCTTACAGGAGGAGGTTTACATGAAGCAGCCCCCAAGTTTTGTTGACCCTCTTCGCTCCAACTATGTCTGCAAACTCCACAAGGCACTCTATGGCCTTAAACACCCCTCCCCTCCCCCCCCTGGCCCCAGTGCATGGTTTCATCGACTCCATTCTTTTTTAATTCATCAAGGATTCTTCCATAGTCAATCTAATGCTTCACTTTTTATTCGTCATACAACCTCTCACTCTTTATGTCCTTGTGTATGTTGATGATTTAATCACAGGTAGTACCCTTCTTTCAGTTAACAAATTCATTGATGACTTATGTTTAACCTTTAATAGTTGCAGGCTGGGAGAGCTCAATTTTTTTTGTTGGCATGGAAGTTTGTCACACTAATGGCTATCTATCAATCTCTCAAGCTCGTTATGCATATGACCTTCTCACCAAATTTAATATGGAAGCATGTAAACCAAGTGCCACACCACTGCTCTCCTCCACCAGACTCTTTGCAAACGATGGTGATCCGATCTCTGACCCCACATTATACCGAAGCATGGTTGGGGGCTCCAGTACCTTACTCTGTCTCGCCCCGATATCGCTTTTGCAGTGAATCAGGTGTGCCAATTCATGCATCATCCGTGTTCCACTCACCTCCAAGCTGTTAAAAGGATCTATCGCTACATTAAGGGCACTCTTGAGCATGGCCTTCTCTTTCGTGCTTCTGCTGACCTCACTTTACGAGCCTTCTCCGACGCTGATTGGGCCGGCTCCATTGATGATCGCCGCTCTACTACCGGGGCATGTGTTTTCCTTAGTCCGAATCTTCTCACTTGGACCACTAAGAAACAATTCACCGTATCCCGCTCAAGCTCTGAAGCCGAGTATCGCGCACTTGCTACCACTGCAGCTGAGCTTCGTTGGTTTGGCTACTTGTTTCGTGAGTTGGGTATTCCTCTTCGTTCCCCTCCATGTATCTTTGTCGACAACATATATGCCCTCCACATGGCCGCGAAAAATTATTGAGTAGAAAGTGAATAATTAAACTTGAAAGTGAAAAAAATTATTGAGTAGAAAGTGAATAATTAAATTTGAAAGTGAAAAAAATTTAGAGTTGAAAGTGAAAAATTATTGAGTAGAAAGTGAATAATTAAACTTGAAAGTGAGAAAAATTTAGAGTTGAAAGTGAAAAAATTATTTAGTAGAAAGTGAATTTGTTGTTAAAAGTGAAGAGTATGGATTGGTATTTATAGAAAAAAATTCAGTATTTTTTGGGGTTTTTTTAAAATTTTTTACCATTTTTTTCATAATTTTTTGCTTTGAAAAATTCCAGGCCGTTGGATTTGATGAAAATTCGGAAACCGGAAGGACCAGATCGCGCCACGTGGCAGCTGAAAGAAAAAAAAATTTGCGCCTGCTGACGTCAGCTTGCCTTCGGGCTGCTGCTCGGGCAGCCCCTGCCTTCGGGCCAGCCCAGACAAGTGGACCCCACATTACCCGGGCCAGCACTTGCTGCTGGAATGATGTTTTGGCTCGCCCCCCCCCCCCCCCCCCCCCCCACCCCCCCCCCGAGCCCGAGCCCGAGTGGGCTGCTGGAAATGGCCTTAGAGGTTGGGTCTTAAAATCGTTTTAGGCAAAATAAATGCCCTAAAAATCCAACGGTAGAGTAAGGCAATAATTGCCCAACATGATCAACCAATTAATTACCAAAAGTAAATATACCAAACGGACACAAATGGTTGTTGAAAACAAAACGTATTAAACTACAATATTGTGACCATTTAAGTGATGATCAAATCAAAGCTAACGGGCCTCAAAATTAATATAAAAGTATCAGGTCATAATAAATTTTATAAATATACAAAATAATTGCAGTTTTAAAGAAGTAATCAAACCACACAAACATCTGGAAAAATAAATTCAACATAAAATAAATAATAAAATAATTTTGTATTTTAAAATACTCACAAAAATTCCAACAAATTCTAGATAAGAACGATTTGTTAATTAGTGACAATGTCTGCTTCGTTGACCTAGCTTTTTCTTTCGCGGCTTTAGTAGTTTGACTAAGCGCATCTGCAAAGACTTGCAATGAAGGATATGTTAGAGTTTTGCAAAGGCCTTGGCAGAGAATCAAGAATAGCCTTGTTCTTCAGGCTTGTAATATTCATACTGGTATGCTTAGCAGCAGCTGAAGATCTCAGTTTCACCTACAATGGTTTCCGCTCTGATAACCTTGTAGAACCTATAATTCGGAGCACTACGATCCAACAGTTCACACCAACTACAAACACAATACAGCCCAATTGCCTACTCCATGACAAGCAAATATGAGGAACTAACAAAAGTGACAAATTGATACCAATTTAACATAATTCCATACATAAAAACAATAGAATCGATACAAAAAACAACATGCCAAAAACAGGGGAAGACGTAGGATTATTTTGGAAGAATATGAAAAATTAGAAAAATTCCAAGCAATGTATTTGTCAATTTCTGCATTTATGCGATAATCTCTTTCTAAAGGCGGAACAAAGAAATCAGACGAAACCTCCCCGACTGATCCATACAGTTTCGTACACGAAAACATAACGTCAACAAAATTGCTTGGTCTGATCTCCCATTCAACAATCAAACAGTTGTGTCTTCAATGCAATGAATCAAAGCAATAAATCCAACAAAACAGCAGCTTAAACCAATCAAAAACAGTTCATCACAAAAATCAAACCAAAACATAATAACACAAACAACAAACAAAATAAAAAAAAAAAAAAAAAAAAAAAAAAAAAAAAAAAGATTATCAGACATGTGGCGTCCTTATCATATCCAAATAATTTCTGGGTAAACTAAAAATGCAGGTAACTGAAATAACGAAAAACAGAAAAACAAAATACCAGAAAGCAGTGAAGGTAGCGAAGCCGTCAGTGGTGACCATGACTGAAATGGCAATAGAAGCGCATGAAAATTGGCCTATCCTGAGCAATAACCCACTCACCGACCCAGGCCTCCCAATCAGCTCCTTCATTTCTGAACCAGACTGAGCAGAGACTGCAGAAGGGCCCTTTCTCCAAACAAAAGGGCCCTTAAATCCAAAACCCTAGAATTCACAATCCTCCTCCCATCACACCTTAATCTCCCCCAATCTCCTTCATATTTTTCTCAACTTTCCGATTTCGAACCAAGTAAATTATTTTAATTGGATTCAATTAGATTCAGCGAATATCTATCACGCATTGATTGATTCCGATTTTGGAAGCAAATCACAAATCACGAAGACGCTGCGTTAAAGAAACCCTAATGTTTGATTATGTCTTGATTAATTCGGTTTTGAAAACGACGGGAAAGTACTAATTCCGGTGGACTGGAGCTGTCTATTTTAGTAAGTAGTTTAATTGAGGAGGCTCGCTCACTGACACTTCCGACGTGGACTTCCTTTTCTATATTTCTCTTGTTATAGTCGAGGTGAGATTCCTGTGCATGCAAGACTACCGAGTCTGGGTGGGCTCGTCCACTTGGGTGTTTAGAATTTGCTGGAGGGGAAATGGTAGTAGTGGTCTCAGAAACACTGGATTTGTAAGCTTTATAAAGTACCCTCCACTTGGTTCGGCGCAGCGACTCACCCAATTTTTTTAAAGGGTAATATAGGTGGCAAAGCCCAAACAGACCCACCCAATTTTAAGCTCGCACGTTGCTGCACATGAAATTGCCCAAACGTCAGCTTAATAGCGTAATTCTATGGTGAGGTGTCATATATTGACTCGTCTCTCATTGAAGAACTAGAGCAATTTGGAACATAAAGAAAGAGGAGATGCTTTTTACTTTTGCAGTGATTGCTATTTTGGAAATGCATAATCCAACTTCCATTTCCTTTTTAAATTTTTTTTAAAATTTTAAAATTTTAATTTATTTATTATAGTTCTGCTAATATTGATACACTTCTGTTGAAGTAAATTTGAATAAGTTTTCTCCTTTTCAGATTCAAGTTGTATATTCTTGTCCTTAAATTGAAGTGGTGGTTTGGATTCACTTTGACTATTTCAAATTTGAAAGGATTATCAGCTTCATTAAGTTGTATATTCTTGTTCTTCAAGTTTTTTGTTGGGCTGTGCCACGCCTTTGTAGACTGAATCATGTTTTAGCAAATGTGATCCTATATTTTCTTCTAAATACCAATTAAAATGTCGGAAGAGAAGGGTCTCAAGATACATGCAATTGCTCAGTTGTTCAGGTATGCAACGAAGGGGATAGGGAGTGGTTTGTTTGGAAATATGACCGTAGGTGATTCTTGGATTCAGAGTTGCAAGTGCCAACAAGCTGAAAGTATAAGTGGGGCAACTACAGAAGATGAGAATGGGACATGGTTTGCGGATAGTGCAAAGAAATTGAACACAATCAACAACATGGTGAATGCGCCGAATGCTTTGGAATTTCAAGATGTTCAGCAGTTGAAACAGGAAAAGGAGGGCTTGTCACCTAATGGAACAAATGGAACAGTTAGATATGCCTTACACAAGATTAGTGTTGATTCGCTCGAGGATGGAGCGTGGGATCGACTACGTGAATCTATATGGTTTATTATTGCGGAAGTCCTGTTGGAACCATTGCTGCAAAGGATCCTACCAGTTTCAATGTGTTAAATTATGATCAAGTCTTTATTCGTGATTTCATACCTTCTGGCATAGCTTTCCTCTTGAAGGGAGAGTATGATATTGTTCGGAACTTTATACTTCATACTCTTCAGTTGCAGGTAATGTTTGTAATCTGGTAATAAAGACCTTCTGTTATTCCACAGTCAATATTACTAAATGTTGCATTCTCATATTACTAAATTTTGTGGACTAGAAACATTGTCTAGTTGAACTTTTGTGGAATGCAATTGTATATCTCAAATTCGGTTTAGATTCTCAATCAAATTCATGTATATGTGTGTCTATGCTTGTATTCATGTGTGCATATATACGGAGAGGGATTCAAATATGGGACGCAATGTTTGAGCTCACCCTGCAATGGTGTCTAATGAGAGGAATTGTCTATTTTTCGGTCCACTTGAAGAATAATATGATCGCAAAAATCATCCAAATTGGAAAACATTTAGCCATGTGATTATCATCACAATTATTTTAGTGTTAATTAGAAACACTGTATTTATTTTATCCCAATTAGATGTCTAAATGGTTCTGATTTAGCTAATTTCTGCTAGGATGATCCTTCAATTAGATGTTTAAATGGTTATGATTGCTTTTTTATGACTAGCTTATTTTTGTTATAACCATATTATTGACAATATATATATATATATATATTTTTAATGAAAACTTTATTTATTCTATAATTAAAATAAAATTTAGGGTGTGATGGAAACATATTTAATACAAAAAGCCAATTCAACATAATGCCCTTTTTAATTATTATACACAGCTCACAGCGCTTTCACAAAAAAATTTATTGAACACTCAAACTGATTATTGTACAAACAAAAGTTATATAAAAAAAAAGTTTACCAAGTGCCAAATTGCTTTCTCTCACAGCAATGCCTCGTTTGAGATATATATATTTTTTTTGGGCCAAAAACCTGTCTCACTTTAAAGTTAAGGAGTTTAAGGTATTTGGTAAAAATAAAATGTTTCTATTATTTTAAAAGTAATGGCCTTTTGACAGCAGCATTTAAAAGCAGGCTCTGAATTGCTTTTCAAAACTGCTTTTAAAAGAAGCGGAGATGAGCCTTTAATGATTTTTTTTTAATTCCTAAAATACTGTCATTAATTTTTAAAAATGACACCACCTCCACCTCCACCTCCACAACCACCTCCACCTCCACCTCTAGATCCAACTCTACCACCTCCAACATCGCCTCCACCACCGCCTCCTCCTCAACCTCAGCCAACTCCTCCTCAACCATCCCCACCACCACCACTACCACAACCACCACATCCACCTTCATCATCACTATCACCACCACCACCATCTCCGCCACCACCTTTTTCACCACCACCTTCACCTTCATCTCTTTCACCACTACCACTACCACCATAAGATTAGTGCATAACACTTTCAACATCGCGTCTATTTTAGTCATTATTCACAATTACAATAGTTTTATATTAAAATTTGCCAAAGAGTTTTGACACTACTTTTTGTATTAACAACACATTAAAAATATTGTTTATAAAAAATGAAGTTGCTTTACTTTACAACTAATTATTTTCAAAGCATAGCATAAACAACTTTTTTTTTTTGAAAGTGACAGAAATCCCAAATTGGCCCCAAATCTGACATCGATTATTTTCCATTTTGACATTGTACAGTACACTTGTTGAATTGATGCATATATACAAAAACTTGCAATGAAGAATCAAGAATGCGCCAAGTTGAATTGGTGTTGAAGCTTGGGCTGTTGTGCTCCCATTCAGAGCCTTCAGCTAGGCCAAGCATGCGCCGAGTTGTTCAGTAATTGGAGAGTGACATTGCTTTGCCAGAGCTCTCACTTCTTGGACTCTCTTCCACTGACTTGACTTTTGCGCCCCATGAAGGTTTTGATGATTTTGCGCAGTCATATCCCTCTTCTTCAGTCAATGGGGTTTCAAATGTTGAGTCGGCAGTTCTCTCAGGTGGTCGTTGACTACAAGAATTAGGATTCTCTTGCAAACTGGAATTCATAGCTAATGCGCTTTGATTGTTAGCTCTAGTACTTTTTTATTTTATTTTTACTTTAATATAAATTAACGGGGCAAAACAATCTGTACCACAGTGCTTGTTGTTGAAGAACAATCAGTATAAATCGTAAAATAAATTACAGAATACTGACTTGAATTGTAAATAGAGTCCTGCAGAGTTGCAATGTCCTTTAGGCCCCCAAGGCCCAATTCCAAGCTCAAACCATTATGAGGCCCAACTTTGCCTCAACTAGGCCCATACTCTATTTAGTGTTTCTAAAGTGTTGGTGCTTATAAACCCTGGAAGGAAACACCTCCCTTCCAATGTGTGACTAAATGCAAGTGTATTTTTCCTATACAAAATCTAACACTTGTTACTTGTTAGGTTGTAATTTATGTTTATGGTGCATTAATAAAGTACCATTTGCCAATGCTGTAATATCCTATATACCAGATTGGTTTATTAATTTTATATGAAAACAACAATTATTCATAGGTTTGGGCATCGGAACTGAAGAACTGATCAATCGAACCAAACCGGATCGGAAAAAACCGAAAAAAACCATATTGACTAAAAATTCAAACTCGATTAAAAAACATAACCAGATTGATTCTCACTGGTTCCAATTTCGATTCTATACCCCAAAAAACTGAACCGAACCGAACCAAACCGGCTAAATTAAAAAATATATAATTTTAATATTATTTATATATTGTTAGACCTCTCTCCACCAAGCCCAACTCCAAAAGTCAAATAAGTAAATAGGCCCAACTCATTTATTTATTTGTATTTTACTTGGAAACAGACCCAACTCTTTTATATTCATTTGTAACACTCAACTAGGGGTGTAAGTTGGATTGGAAAATCCGATTCTGACTGATTCCGGTCCGAATATTTCCAAAAAAATCGGACTCCAATAAATCCGATATCCGAAAATGCCGAATCCGATATTTCCGATAAATACCGAAAATTCCGCAATTCCGATCCAAAAAAATTCCGAAGTTCTCCGAACCCATTCCGATTCGATTTTTCCAATTTTTTCTGGAAAATTCTGAGTTTCTAATTATAATTACATTATTTTTAATGTATAGGTCTTATATATGTTTCATTTCTTATTTGTTATATTTTAATACCCCACATACAAATATTCATATATATATATATATATATATTAGCATAGGCTCTGTCAAAAAAAGAAAATGTTAAACATAGTAGTATATAACTTTAAGACTATTCAGTTTTTTGCAAATGTACTTGCTTGAATATAACAAAAATGCATATGGGTGCTTGTTGTATCCAAACATGCTACATATGTGATAACTGTAGGGAGTATCATACTATTCCATTATATGTACTAGCCTCTTCGCATGCGCTTCCGCGCTTTTTATTTTAAAAAAAATTAAATTTATTTTAGAATTAAAAAGGATAATGAGTAGTTATGTTCCATAAAAATAGGATCCATTATCTGTTTTTATTTTATTTAATATGAAAAAGTGTGAATTTACCATATTATCATCATTTAATTAATAATTTCAATCAACCAATGGCATTTTCTGGTATTTTGAATGTTTCACAATTCTCTGCCTTTTGCTTGATATATATAGATGTATGTATTTTTTTAAGTTTTAAACTATCTTCATTTAAACATTTAATTATAAAATGAGTAATGCTACACTTACCACATTTTTATCCCACATTTCTATACCACATGATGTGGCATGTCCATATCATATGCCACATCAATTAAATGAATGAAGTATATTTTAATAAATAAAATTAGAAATACATAAACTATTATTTTACATGATGTGGTATGTACTCATCAACTTCCACATCATGTGGTATGAAATTGTGATATAAAAATGTGGTAAGACTAGTATTATTCTTGTAAAATTATTTTATACATGAAACACCACATACAAGATAAATATATTCATTGAGCTTGACAATTATAGTATTCCACAGTTGTCCAGAGCAAGACTAACAAATTGGATGCAAATTTAACACTCTTTACACATATAACATGTAAGCACAAACTACTTTGATTAAGAATGAACAAATAGTATAGATTGTTATATATATATATATATATATATATATATTATACAATGGCGGAGCCAATGAAGGCCCACAATGGTCAACTTTGACCCTTCTAAAGTTCTCTAAATAACTCTGCATTTGTTTATATTTACTCTTTGTTTCTAATTCATTCTTAAAATTTGACCCTTCTGACTGAAGTTCCTAGCTGCTATAACTCTCCTTTTTCTTTTCCTCTCTCTCTCTCTCTCTCTCTCTCTCTCTCTCTCTCTCTCTCTCTCTCTCTCTTTAATAACTTAAGAATTATTAACCCAAAACCACTTCTTCTTCTTTTTAATGATTTCTTTATTATCTCAAATCAAGAAAAATAATGTTCATACAATTTCTTTATTATCTGAATTTTGAAATTTGATATTATTACTAAATGAGAGTTGTTACTAAAGACTTTGTGTTATTAGATAAATTTATCTTGTTTTGCAATGATTTTATTATTTGAGGTTGACCCTCCTTGATGAATTTTTTGGCTCCGCTCTTGTATATATATATATATATATATATATATACATATACACTTAAATAAGGGAGACTCTTATAGGGCCCACTCCGTATTAAAGGGAGACTTTAGAAAAACCCAAAGGAGAGAGAAATTTTGTAAAATAAGCCAAAATGGACAAAATTGCCCTTATTTATTTTTGATTTCCTAAAGAATCCTTTACATTTGCATGTCTTTGAAATTTTTTTTATGGATAAAACCTAAATTTACTTATTAAATTGGGAACTAACCCAAACTATCTATTTTGTAGATATTCATTCAAAAATATCATCTCTACAAAAAAATAAAAATAAAAAATAAAAAAATCAATTGAATCCGATATCATTTGACCATTCAATTGAATTATACTATTTGTCAACCAAATAACAAAACTCAATTTTTCATCTTCCATTATATATTTTCTTAACAAAAGGAAAATTAAGGCATAAAGTCCTCAATCCTCTCTAAATCTGAAGTATTAAAATTGAAAGAGAACAAACATTCAGTACCATGTTGTTGGACCTTCAAAGATGTTTGCTTTCCCTTTTTTTATTTATTTTTATTTTTATTAATTATGAATTTATTGAGATAAAAATGAATGATCAACCATTATCAATCATCCTCGAAAAAAATTGGAATAATTTGTGGGATAAGTTTCTTGGGAAATTTAATTGATTTGGAGTGACAATGGATTCTCGAAGCCTCCTCTTCAATTATGCAGAAAACTACATACCCAGCCAAAAGTATATAGTTTTCTTTGGATGTGTGGATTGACTCTGAAGATGTGCGAAGGGAGAGCTCTTGAAGTTGAGTCAATGTTAGATTGAGAGATGTTGGGAAAGCTAATGCAGATGCTGTGAAGAAATCTTGCCCACGTGATCGCAGGGGATTTCCTACTCCAGAAGCCAACGCTGAGATTCAAGCCGGAGAAGAGACCGGGTTGCGGGTACTAGGTAGTTGCAATAGTCCCACATCAACAAAAAGAAAAACTTCAGTTTTTTTTTTCTTTTATAAATAGCTCCACCCCTAACAACTTTTTCTATAGGTGTAGTTGGGTTACTTCTTAAAGTCGTAGCTCGGCTTCTAAATTAAGTAGAGATATTTTTTTAAATGCCTAGTTTGGCATTTAAATCTCTAAATATTTATTTGTGAGTTAAGGTCATTAAAATTGTTAAGTTCTGAAGAGTTTGAAACTTTGGAATCGGAAAATTCCGAAAATTTTCGGAATTGGAATCGGAAGTAAATATTGGATTCCAAAAGGTTTTGGATTGGAATTGGAATGGTCATTTCCAATCCAATCCGGCCGAAACACAGGCCTACACTCAACTCAACCATTTCTCATAACCCTAGCCGACCACTCCCCTTTATCATCTCTTTTTCCTTTCTTTCTTTCCTCATTCTTTCTTCTTTTTTTTTTTTTTTTTTTTTTTTTTTTTTTTTTTTTCTTTTTCTCTTTTTCTTACTCTTATGCACTCTCTCTATCTCCTTTTCTCTTCTCCTCTTTTACTCTATTTTTTGTTGTTGCTCTTTTTATTTGCTACTCTTTTTTTCTCTTAGGAGATTCACTATTATACTCAATATAGGGGCCAAAATTATGAAAAACTTTGTATAAAATGTACTTTAGAAACACACCCAAAGCTTATTTACAACATAACATATAGGCTTTTAACTTCTTATAAATTATAAAATTGTCTTTGATTTCTTAAAACAAGTTCAACTCAAAAACCTCATTAAAAAAAACTCAAAACACTCAATAAGGTATCAAGGTAAATTAATAATCAAAATTAAATTCAATAGGGTCAGTCATTTT